CGCAATGGAGGCGCCGTTACATTGGAAGTGACCTTTGACTCGATCACGTCTTCATCATTTTATTTCCATGTGTTCGCTTGATGCTTGCTTTGCTGCTTATTTGGTAATTTTTAACAGTTCTGTTGATCTTTGAGCATTGTCTTAATGTTCATTGGTTAATTTTATGTGTATCATCCTTTTAGGACACTAATTGGACAATAGATTAATCCGATTATACAGTCGCATCTAGCGTGCCAGCTTTAGGGTGGAGTGAGTCTTGATGGGCCAGCCGCTACGAGAGAAACTTTGTTGGTGAAAAAGATTTGACGTTTTTGTCGAAGTAGAAGTCCAGAAACACTTGCCGTACCCGAGGTTCAGACTCAAGTCCAAGATCGTTCAAGCATCCGCTTTAAAGCTCACAAAGATAATCTCAAGGTCGTGAGTTACCTTACTTATTATATTTTAGTAATTTAGTGGTTTAATCTCTTGATGTTACTGGGTTTTTACCGAAGAACTCGCAATTCTTTAGGCTTTTCTCTGCTAGATTAAGCAAAAAGGTTAATAGCAAAGCAGCCGAAGTGGTCATGCTTTTTAGATAATATATCATTCTGTGCTAGTCTTTAATTCTAGTCTTTTGAAATGTTCAGACTGTGTCCTTTGTTGGCAGAAACAACGAACATCTTCTACAGATTTTCGCCTGAGCTGTCTTAGAATTTAATGTTTAAGACAATAGAAGGGAGTGCGGGTTGAAGTACTGACAATACCCTGGGTACCAGAGCCGCAAAAATTAATATTATTTTTTAATTTTTGCGGCTCTGGTACCCAGGGTATACTGACATGTAACAGGATTGAGTTGCAAGCAGATTGAAATAACAGTTTCTGGTATTATCCAGGCATTCTTAAACGAAAACTTTGATGGTTACTGTTCAATATATCGGCTTCACTGTTTCATTTGTTTATTTGCCAAAAGGAAATTTCAGATCGACTCTGAGGTAGCTATGGAAACTTGGCACAACATAGGGTGCGCTGTCAGCTTGAACCTTAAAACTTTTCTATGTAAGGAAATCCTTCTATGTAAAGGAACAAAATTAGAACTTTTGCTAATTACGAATTAAACAACAAAATCAAGCAAAACATTTTCATGCAAAGATAGTTAACTGAGCATGCCTTTTTTTCATTTTGTCACTAGGATCCTCATATGTTTCAGATAGCTCTAGGAATACATTGGATAAATGAGAGCTTTTCTTCTGTTTATTTTACGTGCTTCGTATAATTACATCGCTACCATTCCCCCGGATCCTAAAACAAAATATATTTACATAAAAACAACAATTGCATATTTGTTGGGTATAAAAACAGGTGACAAACATCACGAACTACAGTTCTGCAAGGTGCTCTGCTGGCTGCTTCAAACAGGTAAATTCTTACAATTTATTATGATATTTCTTAAAAATTGTGACGGAGCTTAAAGTATGATAATAAACAAGTTTAAAGCAACAGTCGATATTACCATTATTAACATTATAGGCTGAATGAATAGATATTTGAATGCAGCTTTTAGTCAATGCGGGTATCGAGTCTTTTTTTTGCATTTCAGTATTTCCCCCGAACAAGGCTAAGATGATCTTACTGCTGCTTTCAGTTTTGGTGGCCTGTGTGGGTTCTGAAGAGACCACGTGCAACACTTTCAACGAAGGTCTTATAGTATCAGGCAATGTGTGCCATTTTGAATGCTGCTTATCTCAAGGTCTACGGGAAATGCAACTTGGTGGCAAGGCGCTCCAGGAAGCATCTACAAAAAATCACGACAAGGTTGGCGGAATCTGCGCCCCCTTTTCTGAAAATGGGAACTCTTGCAACGAGAATGGACATACATACCCACATAAGGCTTTCATAGAATACGATGATTTTCGGGGCCGCATCTGCAACAACGGTAAAATTGTTGAATATGACAGATTGAAGTCTTTGAGATTTGGTTGATCTACATCAGACATATAACTATCATGAAACTATTATTCTATTTGATTTATTCCTTCAGTAAATAAAAATTGTAAAGCAGAAAAAAGTCGTGCTTCTTTACATGTCTAGAATTATTGATTCATAGTAAATGATTGAAACAGGATGCAGTGATATTCTGTTTGACAATTCATTTGATTTTCTGCAATAATTCTGTTTCGCTTCATTATGCTAGCAAGCCTACCATATGATGATGTGCAATTAGAAAATAAGTTAAAATTACTGGGAGAATAAAGTGTTTCTCTTTTGCATTTGTTTGTCATAAAAGGCCAACGTCAAGCAGGCTAAAATTTGCCTGTTTTTTTAAGAGCACCCTTCACAAGCGCCGGAAGCTTCATGATGCGGGTGGCAGGAACCACAAAAAAGGCACCTGCAGGGGCATCGTGGCCAGTTATCTCTAGAGAGGGTTAAAAAGAAAAATTTTCTGACAAAATTTATTTGATTTATTTTTATTAAATAGAAGAATTTCATGCAAATGTAAGAGGGGGAGGGGGTTGCAGAAAAGTTCATTCTGATTAGCCTATATCGATCAACAACTGGCTATTATTTGTACTTTTCATCGTGTTCTTTTGGACCCTTATTCTGACGTTTAATATTTTGTGTTTCAGATAAAAAATTTTAGGTAGTACGTTGTGAAGTGTTTGCTTTTTTCAAAGCCATTTTGAAGTTTTGTACTGCCAAAAAATTGTTCACAAAAACTCAAAGATATTAAAAGTGCACATTTATTTTCTTGATATCTATTTTGAACGATTCTGATTCCTTGCAACCATTTAGATCGGTAGACAAGAAAAGGGGAAAATTTTTTTTATTACCTTAATGCTTCAAGTTTGCCGGAAATTACATTCTTTGGAGAAAATCTTAATAATAAAATCGTACTCCTAAGATTGACTTTCTTGTTATCGTTTTTATTACCTTATGCATAAATTACAAATGTATTACAAATGTTTTACCTTATGCAACATAACTGCATAAATTTTCAAATCTGGTGATTGGCACAAAATTGGCACTGTCCCGGTCTTCAATATCAAATAAAGATATAATTTATGACCAATATTGAAAATTTTCATAAACAAATTTGGCCCTTTTGAAGATTCGGATTTTTACTGACAAGATCCAAACAGCTAATCACTTTATTGTAGAAATTGGTAAATCCTGAGAAATCATTTTTAATTTATCGAAACCTAGTAGTATTTTCTTTACAAAAGTGAATTGCCCCTTGGCAATACGGAATGTACTTTAGTCCGAGTGATTTATGCCGTTGAAGGTTCGTTTTGCTTCTCGTTTTTACCCACAACTCAAGTTTGAGAGAGTTTTCCGACATAACAAGGATTTTTCGGACAACCCGTCAAATTTTGAGAACAGAGGAGGTCACGGCCCTCCTGCCCTCCGGCCACGACGCCCCTGGACACTTGGGACTTAGTGTGTCGAAGTTCGCTGCCAAAGCAAATAGAGAATCGTCGTTCAGCCAGTGCTGAAAACATGTTGTAGGTGATGGCCCTGCCCAAAGTCTGAGTTCTGGGGGCGTACCCTCCAAGAACATTTCACCTTGCCACGCCCTAAGGACTCTCGGAAAAGAAGAGGTACGCCTATAGAAATACATTGAAATCAAGATCCAAAGCCCAAATTCGTTTTTGAAATTTCTATTATTTAACTCAACATCAACCATCAAAGGATGCTTGACCCAATCCACACACTGCCACCATGAAAGTAGAAGGAAGAATATATAAACAGGGCCATCATTGATAGCAGCACCTTTGTTGCTGAAAAGAGAACCCTCTATAAATAGACACGTCCCCCCCCCAGTTCTCAGCAGAATCGATGTTGTATTTCGTCTAAATTCGATGAGAAAATGTTGGGGGAGGGGTAATATTTTAACACCGTACTTTTTGTGATGTAACCCTTTAAGGCAATATAATGATTTTCAAACTGCCAATTTTCAACAAAAGTTAGTCATAGGCGTTCCTTTCGGAAAAATTGGCGTTCCCTGTTGGTAAAAGGGCATTTTCTGGTGGTTAAATGGGCGTGGTTTAAATTGTTTTGGGTTTGTCCCCCCCCCCCCAGAGCTTAGTGGCTGGCGCCGCCATTGATATGCCCGATAGGACAAGCAAAAGTGTCGAATATGAATACCGTGCGGCATGAAACTTTCTTGATCCAAAAAAAGTCTTGAACAAAAAGTCTTGAATTCAAGACATTTTTGTCCTTCGTCCGAATAAGGCCCCACCTTCGAATAAGCCTCCCTTCAATTAAATCCCTACACTAAAATAATTTTTGTGAAATAAGCCTCCACCCTCGAATACGTCCCCTTGGGGTGAGGAATTCCCTCTACATCAATAGTTTTATACCTGCATTTTGAAACTTACTGACCGGCCTCAAAATGCGGATGAAAATCTACCCTGGTAATGTTTTTGGCTGCTGCTAAATGAGCCACCAACTCACTCAAGTTTTTGACAAAACACTTACTCCGTTGCGGGTTGATGTCATCGATTTTCTATCTCGCTATCTACATCTTTCACAAAAATGGACTTCAGAATTGAAATCTTCTGAAAAATCATGTTGTTTGGAGTTTGGACCGTTCGGTCGCTAGGTACCATGATTCGAATGATTAGATATTTCTTTAGATTTGACCGTAATTTGCTGCTGCAGTGAAAAAGTAAAGCAACAAATTCCATTGAAATGTTATTAAAAACGGGTTAATTCGCAGCCTGGTGGCCCAAACAACCTGAAATTTTCGGCACATACTAATTTCAACAAGAAAATTCCAATTCCATGATCAATTTTTACCAAGATCTTGTGATTTTCAGGTAGCCAGCGTCTACATATTTATGAAACTTCTCTACTTTATTGACTTAGATGTCCTTTCAGTATCTCGATGAATTTATAGAAATAGGAATAAAAGTACCTGGGTTGCTTCAATTATAATGGGGTTCTTTGGGGGTATGGATACTCCTGTCCCTCGTTGATTTCAAAACAAGGATCTAATCTAGTGCAATAGGCGGCCTCGCAGTAACAAATAATATTCGTCAAAATGGCTGCCGCAAGTGGCACTCCCGCCGCTGGCGGCTCGCTTAAAATTGGAACCAAAGTTGAAGTAATTGGAAAAGGATTGGTCGGAACTGTACAGTATTCTGGAATGACAGCTTTTGCTTCTGGGAAATGGATCGGTGTTGCCCTTGACGAGCCAAAAGGCAAGAATGACGGTACAGGTAAGGTCGATTCGATTTTGGCCTAAGAAAGGCAGATGGTCGACTTTTAAGTAGAAAAAAGTATTTTTTTAAAAATAGGACACAATAAAGACATGGCCAAAAATATTTTTCTATATCTGTGCTATTATTTTACATTATTTTTTTAATTTTGTATGTTTTCTTATTGAATTTGGTTTGTAGAGGGGCAGTTGATTGAATTGAGGTGAATATATAAGGGCAATTCCATCAGGTGTACGAGCCCCATACTTTTTGGAAACAAGGGTAAAGTGCCTACTTGCAGCTTACAGTGGGACCCTTTTTTTCTATATGCAGGGGCTTGGTGGCCCATCGGGATTCTGGAAATATCCTGGTAGGCCTTTTAAAACTTTTCGTGTGAGCCGCTTGGATTTGTCTTCTTTTAAGGAATCTTTTCTTATTTGTAACAACAGATTTGTGAGAAAAAACGAGTGAAGTAAGGCCGCACACTATCTCTGTGACACTCATTTCCAATATTTGTGATGACAACAAAAAACAATCAGAATCAGAAATGTATTTTTACTTTGTGTACAAATTTTGTTACATAGCCATTAAAGCCAATACTCTGCATTAGCAAGAAATATAATTCTTTCTGAAATTTTATGAGTCCTTTTATAAGTTTCCTGAAATTTGCTATAAGTGAAGCCCTTACAAAAAATTTTGCTTTGACCTTCTAATATCTAGCTGCATATTTTCATAACATTGTACCTAAATTTAAGCTTTTTTATCAAGTAGAGATAAATTGATCTTAATCTTTTCTCTAGTGCAACAAAAAAGATATTTCACCTGTCCTCCGAATCATGGAATATTTGTAAGACAGTCACAACTTGCTGTTCTATCAGATGTTGTTTCAAAAGAGGATGAGGGGCGATCTGGAGCCTCTTCCAAGTCACCAGATAGCTCAGCATCATTGTCCCCTTCCCCTTCTCCTTCTCCAACACAGCAAATGAGCCGGCTGCCTGGAAAAAGTGGTCTAGTCCGACCTGGGTTTGGGAAAAAGGTAGTATTTTCTCAAAAACTAAGAGCACAGTTATCCTTAAACTATTTTTGTACCAAAAACTTTCAGTGATTTGGTAATGATTTCCTCTTTTGTATAGCCTAATATTCAAGTCCTGCAGCCTTTATTTTTAGAAAATAACTTTTTCGCAATGCTTTTTTGTTTAAATGATTGATTTTACCTAATCTTTCTTGAGTTATATATATAAATTGCTTATATATAAATTGACTAAAAATCACTAAAATTCATTCATGGACTTGTGAATTTATATCATGTGTTTCATTCCAGGGGCATCCTGTACACTTTTGGAAAAATCCCTAAAAGTCCTATTGTTCTAAAAGATCTTGCATGCTGTTTAGGAAGAGTGATACACACCGCAATTAAGAATTTTGTTTTTAGATATTCAGAAATTGAGCTTAAATTTATTGTATTTCAAATGTACTTTTCAATTTTTATCTCAATTGAGATATGTAAAGTAAGTCCTATGTTTTTTTTCTTAAGGCTGTTGGCCAAGAAGAATTAAAACCAAAGCAAGAGAAAAGTGAACCTGCAGTAGCTCCACCAACACCACAGCCCACTGCAAGTATCCCAACCTCACAACCAGCCAGCACACCCATCCCAACTCCAATAAAATCTGCAGTTCCAGAGCCTGCTTCAAAGTTAGATGTACAATCACCAATGACATCTTCAAGATCTACAGCTGCCTCTGAGGAACTGACTGAATTGCATAGGAAGCTAATTGAAAAGGATAAAGCTGTAATCGATCTCGAGGAGAAGCTGGCAACACTGAAGCAAAAGAGGGCTGAAGATAAAAACAAGCTGAAAGAAGTTGAGAAATTGAAAATGCAAAATCAACAGGTAGCAAATAGATTCATAAATTATTTGTTGATATACAGAGTCTTGGATTTCAATCTGATACTACATGTGTTATGATAAAAATATTTTTTGTCAGTTGATGTAAATTTACCAGCCACTTTGTAAGAACCTTTTTTGTCAGGCAGAATGGTCTGAATAAATGCTCTAAGCCAAATTAGGCAATTTTTAGTGTTAGCCTAGTTGAAAACTATTTAATTTGAATTTGCTGAAGCAGGATATGACAATTGAAGATAAACTTTGTCAATATTTGAGTCTGCAGCAGGTTTTGTTTGAACTGCCTCATATTGTTTTCTATTCAGTTGACTGAATACAAGACAAGATGGCAAGAAACACAGAAAGAGCTATTGCATCAACTGAGAACTTCCCAAAAGGTAATTCTGTTTCTCTTTGTTTAGTTCTTTGGCGTGCTATCATACATCATATTTCTTTGGTGCATTTTTTATAAAGCGGACCGGGGCCATATAAAGTGTGATGCTCTTCCCTATCCTAGCAAAGCGTTTCTGGATAGTCACAGAATAGCTGAACACCGTACAACTGTCTAAACCAGGTTAGATTTAACCATCAAGTGAATCCGATCAAAATGCACAATCAATGACCTGGTTTGGTTTGGGCTGGTTTGGCTTGGCAATGTGAATTGGGTATAAGCAAACTGTACCATAGATGTTAGTCTAGTTCCATGTCTTTATGTAGTCATTTATTTTTGCTCCCATGGCATCACTCTATAGTGTTGCATAGTTATTTAAAGCATAGTAGAATGTAGCCTATGTTTGTAATATTTTATATGGATATAAAATAAAGTAGCTGAACAATCTATGTTGAAGATAACCAGATCATGATATGGAATGTGACTTTGCAGTATTTCGGTCTTTCAGTCCACCTTGGACAGACAACCCTAGAGCAAACATTATAACAGAATGCATGCCTGCGGATATGCTCCGAGACAAATAGGGGATTGTCCATAAATGTTCAAAGATTCTAGAGAAAGATACTGTTTCAGTTCTTTTTGAAATCCCCTGTTAATTCCATATCGGTTAACAGAAACGGTAAAGTACCTCCTTGCTGCCCACGGAGGTGCCCTTTTGCTACGTCTGAGTTTTTGCATTTCTCAAGTTTGATCTTCCATTTTCGATAGCTTCTCCAGTAAATCAAAGTATGAAGTGCTTTAACAGTCAATAAATTTTTGCTGTCATAAATAAAAGGCTTTGTAATATTCCGCAATGTTGAAATGTACTCACTTCCCAGTTGTAGTTAAACTACGTTGGGTAAGTATGTGCTGCGTTCTCTCGCATGTTATAACGTCAAATGCTAAACCTTTATAAAGATGCATTGGATGGCAGCAGTGACCAGATATCTTTAGTCGATGATCATGTTGAATGACTTTACTCATCATTTCGAATTAATGCGATGTTTGCTATGATATCAGGGGGATTATCATCAACATTGTACGAAAGCCATTTTTCAAGCTGATATGAATTGAACGTGTAGTCGTAATAATACTGTAAGGTTGTGTCAAATTGCTTATAATGGGTTCTTTACACTGATCTATAAAAAAGACTTTTTATAGATCAGTGGTTTTTTAGCAACTGTTTGTAAACGAGGCGATAATAAAATGGCTCGTTTGATTAACAGGAAGCAAGGGAAGCAAGAGAGGAGTTGGCGAAACATAGTGATGATTCAGTGGATTTACAAGAGGCAGTTGAAATGGCAACGCTTGATAAAGAAATGGCAGAAGAAAAGGTACCTCGCGTTTATGCATCTTATTGTTCCTCATATCTCTTTGTTTTATATCAATCCTACATTTGTTAATGTCTATGTAACTTGCTAATACCTATACCTGTATGCATGGCAGGAAAACTATATGGTATTAGATTGTGCCATCTTAAGTTCTAAAGCCGTTTTCTGTCAAATGGAAATTCAAGACTTCACGATATTAACAGACGATCATCAAACAACTGAACATTGTTTTGGAGGGTTTTGTGAACTTGAGATTTTATGTATTGGCAATTTTTATTTATAGTGTGAAAGTCTTCAAGCTGAAAGTGAATCATTAAAGGAGAGAATCGAAGAACTAACTCTTGAATTGGAAATACTTAGAAACGAGATCAGTGATGGAGGCAAGTTCTTCCCAAGACCCTGTCGTTATTCAATTTCATTTGACTTTCATGTCAGGCTGTTTTTGTTTTGATGTTTTTATGATTCATGTTTAGTTCTTTTTGTGCAATTTGAACTGGCAATCCTGACTAAGCCCATTTTCCTAATTTTGTTTCAAATTGTACACATATTCTACCCGTTCATAAGCTGGGCATTAGTAAATTACACTCCAATGGTTGCTGGTTTTATGAATCTTCTGCGAAAACATAAAGTAGAATAGGACAGAGAGAATATACGGAAGTTAATCAAGTGAAAAATAAAGTAGATCGTCTTAGATCAGATAAAATTAGAGCAAAGGAAATAATTTCAAGAAGAGCAGTTACCTATTTAGCAGCTTTAGAGACCAATCTGCAGCTCCTCTTCGGCATTTGAGGGGAACCTAGAGGGAAGCAAGAGCTATGGCTCTCTTGAAGTGACCAGGCATTATTTAGATGTGTCATTCCCATTATCTGCCAGTGTGTAGGGTGATATTATTATTAAATCATTGCTTTTTTATGTACCGGGCTGTTTTGTTGAGAATATTTGGATCTGAAGAATGCCGTACGTACCTCTTCTTGCTGTCATTCGTTCATATGATCAGTTACGTCATTGCACGCGCTTCTTATAGGGGTTGAAGGTGTGGCTGCAAATGCGGAAGTAAAGAAGTATGAGCAGCAGAACACGAGATTAAAGGAAGCCATTGTGAAGTATGTTTTTGTTGGCTTCTCTTAAAACTTGGTTGTATCGAATAGGTGTTTTGTAACAAATACTTGGTCAATAATTGGATTTTTGTGTATTCAGCAAAGATTTAAAAAATGGAATTCAATTTTTTTGGACGTTAATTGTAAGTTAATTAAACATCAAAACACAAGCATGATGGTCGTTGGTCAAAAGTTTTGAGTGCGGCCAGCGAAAACGATAGGAAATAAGGTATAAATCCCAAAAACCCGTTTAAATATCTGGAAAATCTCTCTGTTTCAAACGCCGATGTCATCCGAATAAAGCTTTATCGTGAATGTAGAACATGTCGTGAAAAACTAGGAGACATGTGTGATGAAAGAAGAGTGCCTGACAAAAAGTATCTCAGTATGTTATGTTTCCGATTTTTCGTGCCATCGTCAAATTTTGTGGTTTCAAGAACTTGTTGGTTTTAGGAGAATAAAGCGTGCGATCGTTCATTAACCGTACTAATCTCATATTTTCTGTATAGAATGAAGGAAATTTCTGTGAGTGACAAGACGGAGCTGCAACAACTTCAGAAGCAGTTTAAAGAAATGAGTAACCAGCTCAGTGAAATCTCTGCGGAAAGAGACAAACTACAGTCACGTTTACAGGTATGGCAATTTGTGGTATTTCTAGATTGCAATTTGTATATGTACTAAAATGGTCAGATTTGCATCTAAACTGATTAATTGCGCCAAAAAGAAGTGATAAAACATTTTGTAACAAAAAAATAGTCAACATTAGAGATAAGGCGCATGTTTTCATAATTTATTTTTTCATTGTTAACAAAATTTGATTTTAACTACCACCACTAGTTATCTATTACCAGAATGATATTTTCCTCTTTAGAAGATTAGCACTGTCTCGAACTTCTATTTGTGGTTGTGCTATCTTAATAACAACCTTTTCCCATTCTAAATTCAAAGAATCATAAATTGACAGCCATTTTCACTTTATGTTTTAGGTCGCCGAGGAGTCAATCGACGAGCTTAAAGAGCAGGTATGAGTTTATATGGGACAATAGCTCTTGCATGAAAAAATAGAATCGGGTAAAGTGATGCCCCTTTTTCTTGTCAATGAACCAAAACGGTTATTGCCTTTCACAAGAAAACACAGAAAGGTTTGTATGGGTATGGCAGCTTAAGTTTGATGCTTTGAAATCCCTCATAGACGTCATCAATGTGTCCCTAACTTTATCTTGGCTCTGGATAAAAGTCTGAACTCACTTAAAAGGAGATACATCAGACGCCAGCCAGATTTGATATCTGGTTATATGTAAGCTCTGTATATACCTATGTAGTCAATTGATGATTTTTGTTGAGGCCGAGTTCATCATATATTCAAAGAGACAATTCAAGCAATAATGATCGATTTTCCTAATGTCTTACTGAATTGTTCAGCTTTTTAGGCCTGCTCTTTGAAAAGCTCGATAGTGCTAGAAGTGTTATTCACTATTGTTTTGTCATATTTTTGATTCGTTTCTTTTTCTATGATATAGGTCGATACAGCACTTGGAGCAGAAGAAATGGTTGAAACACTGACCGACAAAAATTTAGCTTTGGAAGAAGAGATTGATAAATTACAGGAGACTGTTGCAGATTTGGTATGTTATGAGAATTTTTTGTTGCCTAAAAGCTTTCATAGAAGTGCTTGGATTTGATAGCAAAATACCCGTCGAAGAGATAGCTTATCCATTCCACTGGTCGACATAGGTTCCAGCTGCCATGGTCTTACGGGCTTGAACCTCCGCTTGGAATTTTAACGAATTGGCCTAGCCAGTAGAATTCAATTTTTTGGGGCATAGTTAATTTTGCTACTTTGCCGAAAATTCCGCACAAATTTATTGCTTCAAGGAGCTGTATTTTCATGCCAACCCCATGGCACACTTCCCCATGGCCACTGCCACATGCCCACTGCCCCATGATCCATGGCCACTGATCCATGGCCATTGCCCCATGGCCTCTGCCTCATGGCTACCCTAGAAAAATGTCAAAGCAACATCTGCAAAGTCTTTGCTGCAAGTTTTCCACATAGTATAAGATGTGATTGCTTTTTGATGATCGTAGTTTTCACAGTTATTCGATCCGAAATCATTTTTCACAGGAAGCTCTACGAGACCTGAATGAAGAATTGGAAGAAAACCACTTGCAAACTGAGCATGATTTAAGAGAAGAACTTGACATGACAATGAATAAGAAAAGAGAGGTTAGTGCTATCTGAGTTTTCACCTTGTCTTTTTTGTAACAAAGTCTTCATTTTTATAAAAAATTCTTTGCGAAAATTGGGAGCCTTTCTGAGAAGGTTATAATACTGCACTAGAAGACGTCTGCTGTTGATCTTTTCACAGTTAAAGAACCTATTTTAAAAAAGATTAGGTAATTGAAATATAAACAAATGTTGACTAGATAGCCATTTTCGGAAAGTTGAATTGCAATCCTTATCGTTTTGCCAACTTGATGATGTTAAGTATATCTCAAGGAATAATAGTATGTTTTAATAAAGCGATTATCAGTCAGTAAAAGTAAAAAACTTTAGAAGTTGCTATCCTATAAGATTTTCACAAAAAAGAGACAATCTGTACGAAGTTGCAGAATTCAGAGCAAGGTTTCTTGTAGAAGAAGCAACTGCTGTTGATGATGTGATTCTCAGTTCTCAATTTGTATAAGGCAAAGTTAATCGCCTAATCAATTATGCCATTGATTTAATTGATTGTAATACCGATTACAGTCATAAGAAGTTGAGGTTAGCAATTCTTACAGATGTTTAATAATCATTGAATGTACTTTGATCTACCCACTAAAATTTCAAGCTTGAATACTTACTAAGTGATGCAAATGTGACAAATTATGCAAAGGTGGAATTTTCTCATTTGTATACAATGCTAGTATCCTTGTATCAAAGTCATTAGATAAGAAATGATAGCAACCAGGTATATTCACGCTGTTATACAATACCTTCTTTATTGCATCTAATATTAGCTTGATTGATGGTAAAGAATTCATAGCAAATACACCAATTCAACCTACGGCATCGTTTTGAAAGATTCTTCAATAATTTTTTGTTCAAAATTTTTGACCTCAGATTCAGATTGAGAGCAATGATTTTAGCTTAATTGTATGTGTTCATTATGATATTACTCACGGTATTGATTTTATGACGATACAAAGATAAAAACTTTATAAGGGATTTGACCGTGATTGGCGACTAGGGGGGTAAAGTTTCCCCCGGAACGATTTTTGCGGTCAAATCCCTTACAAGTTTTCAAACTTCATTTCTCCGTAAAACCTAAAATACAAGCTGAAACAATATGAAAAATGGTATCCCGCCTAAAATTATGGCGATAAAACCAAATCTGAGCTTAAAAAAGTCGTATAATTAAATTTGGAGAAATTTCCAAAACGAGGTCGTAAGTCGAATTGGTGTATTATACTCATGTTTTAATATGAAGCTTAGCTTATATTGTTGCTTTGTATATTCTCTAGCTTGATAGAAAATTGGATGCCACTCATGAAACAATCGCCGATTATCAAGGGACGATAACGAAGTTCAGAGATTTGGTTAATAATCTCCAGGTAATGTTTGTGACATTTCTTGACATATTGAAGCATATTGTCTTCACGCTCAAACTCAGTTTTGAGTGTTGTAGCAATGTATCCTCCCTTGAAAGCTTAGCAAATGATATCATTTCTATATCTCAAATCTTTATTACCACTTGTTAAGAAATGAATCCTATCTTTTGCAAAGCAAATTGAATTGCGTATTTGTTGTTGCTGTACTTTATAACGTAAAGTGACTCTTTTCATTTTTAATTTTATAATATGTATACAGGTTAAAGGTTCATACATATATGTTTTTCAACCTGACCTGTTTAAAAGATTGAAATAAGCGCTAATAGATATGTTATAATACTAATAACAAAAGAAATTTACCAAACAAACCTAATTTACAATATTTAATAATACTAAGGCTATAAAAAGTGAACGTAAAGATGAAATAAAAGTTGTCCCCGACTATAGTTGTTCTTTGAAGGTTTTCAGGGAGGGGGCCAATTTGGTAGCCCTTTCTAGACTGTTCCACAGTTTTGGACCGCGATAAGAAAAAGCCTTTTGGCCATTTATCGTTTTTAGCAAATGGCTTGTTTTAGCAAACTTACTCTCTTTAGCAAACACTCTTGAAATGGCTTGTTTTAGCAAACTTAATGTCATAATTTATTTGACTCACGTTGTATACAATTCGAATATCTTTTTGTAATTAAAACAATTTCATTGTTTAAAAAAGTTCAATTCTGCTTTCTGCTTTTTATCCGCTGGCTCTATTTAGATGGTAGGAGAATTTCAGAAAGATACATGCTCTCTCAAATCAAAGTTTTCAATTTGTGCCTACTTATCCATTCTTCGGGACTGCTAATAGTTGTTATAGGATTGTAAACCTTAAGTAGCCTAAACCAATTGTTGAAATGTTGCATCATATCTGCCTTGAAAATTACAGTAAAATTTGATCCTCACAACAGATTCGCATCCATGACTTGCAACAACAGCAACAAGACCAATCGGCAGAAAGCGACCAGGCTTTGTTGTCGCAAGCTGCCCCGGAGATTGATTTCAAAATCAAATTTGCTGAAATCAAGCAGCATGCTCGAGTGAGTTGCAATAATATTGAGTTGTATTTTATCGTTCTTTTTAATTTCGTTTGATTGCAGAAGACAAATACTTCTTATTGTCGTTTGATTGCAGACGATAAAGAATATTTTAAATATGGAAATGGGGCTTTAGTCTTCGTTTATTCTTCATTTCCTTTCTTGCGTTCAAAGTGGTTACTAACAATAGAATAGAATGATGGAAATGAATACCTAAGTACTAATAAATCGAAAGGTATGATTGAATAGCAGATGCTGTCGTATGCGCACAATTGATTAAGAAGCTGTGAAGTGAAAATTTTTTTGCTTAATATAATTAAGCTATAGTATAAAAGGAACCCTACATAGGTCTTTTGCGTGTTTGCAGGCGTTTTCCTATATAAATTGGGATTTTTATTGTCACCGGAAGTAAGAAAACATGAGGTATTCCAATCTGAAATAGCTAATGAAGATGCACTATCAGATTTCCTCTCACTGGACAGTCACGAAATTGATGATGATTCGTTCAACGAAGCTAATTCAAACAAAGAATTGAACCATGTGACGTCACAAAGGAAGTACAAACTCTCAGCAAAAATTTTCGTCATGGTCATACTTTGGATGGCCGTTTTGTGCAATTTACATCAAATTTGAACGAGAAACAAAACCTGTCCATTTTATCTGACCCTAGACAGCGCAAAAATAAGTTTTTACAGATTTCATAATTTTCACTTCACTGCCCCTTTAACAATATAAGGATACACTTAAGCAGTTTGATTGATAGGCGTTTTGAAGATAAATCACCGTAGATATGTTTTAAAGGGGGGGGGGGGAGCTTCCTCAAGACAGGAGAAAAAATTACACTACTTTTTGGCTTTAGTATTGTCTGAAAGACGATTCATTCATGCAAATGATTTTCTAGATTTATACCAAAGTAAAGCGATTTCTAGGCATTTTCATTTACACTAATGGTGTATGCAATTGCCATGGAGTGATTATCCTCTCAGTATTATCTGTGTCATATTGTACGCCTTGTCTGATCATGTCAAATGTAAACGACAAATGCAATCTCAAAAGAACAAACAATTTTTTCAAGGGTTTGTTAATAGGTATTTGTATGTGTTATGAAATTTTTGGATTTTCGTTTTGTTTTTAAGACGACATTATGCCTATTTATGCCTGTTTGTCTCATTGAAGTTTATCCGATACTGATTGATTAAGTCAAGTCCATCTAAATATACTCGTCTTTTCTTAGGGAATTGAACTTGAGTTACGCAAGTTTGAAGTTCAAGAGGCGAACGAACACGTGAAAATGCTGTCTTCATACTTGCCAGATTATTTCTCAAGACGAGGCGGTATGTTCGTTTGAAAAGGGGTCTGCCTATTTCTCTGTTTAATGCAAATAATAGTCAAATAATCGAAATTTTAAGCCTTGTGTAAAGGCAGCGCGCCTGTTCTTATTTGCAATGACATGAAATATTTTTAATGTTGCTATAACGACTTTTCTTTGTGTAAGCCAAATTATCTGTTTCAGAAAAAAAATTAGTCCCACCTGCGCCATATATTCATTGTTTTTTTTCTAATTTTTGGGTAATTTTCTGGAGAAAGGATGAAAAATGTTCTGGACTCAGAACCATTTTATACGAATCTGTTGCAGTCCTTGCTTTTATAACTTGTGCAGGCAGTCATTAAAAGTTCTGCTTCATCATTCCTGAATGTGCTGAAACTTCTTGATGACTCAATAAATTGCGTGATGTTAAGTTTATCTTACTTCTTTAGCCATGTTTATTAATCTATTGGATGAATGTTACCAATGCCTTTATAATATTTTAGGTATCATCAATAAGTGTCTGTGAACGTTACCTTTCTCTAGAAACAGGTAATCTACAATTTGACTCCTAAGAAATCTTAATTGCGCATCATAATTTGTTTTAACCTTCCAGGTGATTACGATGGTGTGTTACTGTTGTTGCTGCTGTCAAGACTTAATTTTAAGACTGAGCTCCTCAGCAACCAGCTTCGAGAGAAGGTATTTTTGTTTACTTGCAGATATTATGTGTTTGTATCATCTTTGAAGTTTGTCGGCCTTGTCAGACTCAAGCTAGCGATAAATTAAACGCTGATTGCCTTTAAATATTTGTCAGTTACCAAGTCAGTTGTCGTGGGGTGAAATATAAACCCCAAATAAACCACGATGAATTCCAATTTCCTGATAACCAAATCAACATTTAGACCAAATTCGCGCATACTATCCCTTACTAATATTTTCTTCCTTAGCCAGCGTCAAATCTTGATTGGCTAGGAAAGGAATCACCGCCACGGGAATCGTCTTCGAATTGAACCAATCAGGTTGCGAGAAAGTCTTCAAGAAGCACGTTTTTTGGCCGTATGAACCCCTCCCGTTAAAATCTGATCACAGATACAGTGGGGGAATGGAATAAAACTTTGCTATTTTATTCCAATGATCCTGATACACATTTCCAGAAAGATCAGACGCGCGATCTCACGTTTTGCTAAAGTTATTGCAATTTTGATGAATATCTGTCGAAACATTATGGTTACTTTAATAGTCTGAATACTTAAATAAACAGTATAATATAAACTGAAACGCCAAACATTCATTTTCACGCTTGTTACAATGTTCTCTGCAAAAAATGCTTCGCTTGGTGGTACATAAGTCCAAAAACGTGCTTCTCAAAGACTTTATCGCAACCTTAATTGTTTTCAGTTTGAAGACGATTCCCATGGCGGTTATTCCTTTCCTAGTCAATCAAGATTTGACTCTTATGCTTAAAACACCTAGCTACTCCCTACCAAGATTAACTCTGTAAGTGCTTTTGCCTCTGTGAATTCTCACAAGACTAACTTCTCTAGATTTTTTAATGCAATATTTTATTAAAAAATTTTGAAAGCTGCATATAACACTCCTTATTTGTAGAAAATTTCGTTTATTTTCAGCGATTGTAACTTCAGTTGATGACGTAATAATCTTATCTCTATATATGAATTGTTAGATTCCAGTGAGTCATAACTTTATTTACTCCAACTGCTCTTTGGAGTGAGCTGTACAGTTTCAGAAACGTGTCTGTCTGCGTATTTATATGAAATTTATATTGTTGAAATCTAAGCTAATATGAGTTACTTTTAGAAAACATCTCTCTTTTGGCAGTCAACTTTATTAAGCGCATTCCCTTTATAAAGCAGAAAGATGCTAGGTAGAAAAATTCGGATACAGAAAATAACAAAGGCATTAGCCACTGAATTGGGGTTGATTCACATTTCATTTCCTCAAAGTCTACTGTTCTTAGGTTTGTCATTTTAATATAAGTATATCGAATTTTTATTTTAGCACGACATTGGAGAAATCGTTGATGATGGCCAACCACTGAAGGGATCTCGGGGTGATCTTCTAAGCCATGCAACGCAAATGACAATGTTGTTGTACCTATATCAGAAAATAATCGCAGAGTACACGAGGTAGGGATCGTACCACACGTTTTGTGCTTAGAGACATATTTCGGCTGCTACTTATAAGGCTCCTGTCCTAGAGAGATGCTTGATATTGTTACCATTATGTCTGGGCTGCCAAAAGGGCGCTGTTCGACAAGGTCTCTCTCTATATGTTTAGATTGTTGTAAATCCAGCCCCTTTATTTTGTTGTGTCCATTACTCTGCTGCTTGGGCTGCTCTCTTAATTAAGATGCAGAGAGGTTTTAGACATCCTTCTTTCAGTTACCCCAACAAGTCTTGGACTGTACCTTCTCTGTTCATTCTATCTTTATTATCGCTATCAACCGTATGTTGCTGCTGTCGTTCCGCAGGGTTCAATTTTGGGTCCCTTACTGTTTCTAATATACATTAATGATCTAATACAGAACTTGAGGTGCAGGGTGAAACTTTTTGCGGATGATACATCACTTTTTGCTAGTGACTTAAACCATGGCTTGGATCTTATAACGTAATGGGCACACAATTGAAGAATGACATTCAATCCGGATCCTCGAAAACAAGCTGCCGAATTAATATTTTCAAGGAAATGTAAAAAAATGACCATCCTGTGATCCTCTTGAATATAACACCCGTAACAAAAGTTGTATAGCATCAACACTTGCATCTGCTCTAGCAGTACCAGGAACTTGGAGAGGACGGCTAGAGAAAGGCTATATAATGAACTTGGATGGGAGTTGCTAAGTGCTAGAAGATGGAGTAGACGTCTCATTCTTTTTTATAAAATCATAAATAAAATGGCTCCTGGGTACACAAGGAATCCTATTCTAGTACTTAATGAGCCTAATTAATTCCTTAGAAACCAACCTGTAGTAGGGCAAATAAGGGCAAGAACTGAAAAGTATAAATCTAGTTTTTACCCAAACTCATTGCTTGAATGGAACAAACTTGATCCCGACATGGGAGAATCTCTTTCCGTTAGCATTTTTAAGAAGAAATTAGGCTCACAAATCAGACCTCCACAAAACTCCGTATATGGTATCCACAATCCAAAAGGTGCTGCATATTTAACCCAATTAAGGGTGGGACTAAACAAAACTAAATTTCCATAAATTCAAGCATAATTTCAACGATACAATAAACCCACTATGTCCAACAAACGATGACATAGAGGATACGGAACAACACTTCTTGCTGATCTGCCATTCCTTTAATGAACCTAGAAGAAGTCTCCTCGCTGCTGTCAAAAATGTACTCGAAGCCTATGGTAAACCTGAGGCTCTAGATGACAATATATTGAAAATCCTTTTATATGGAAATGAAGATTTGCCCTTGGAAGCTAACAAGCTAATTTTGAATCTCACAATCAAGTATCTTTTTGAAACCAAACGCTTCGATTAAAGTTTACTTCTTATAGACTAACCTACCCGCCCCTCGTATATCTTTAAGTATTTGTAATTACAAACGTGCATTTTTCCCCTCTATGTTATGACCCTGGGGTAGACAGAGTTGATGCTCCCCGGGGTATCGTCTTTGTAGTGTAACTTTTTGGAATGTAAAAAAAACCTATAAAGGGATCATAAACTGACAAATACCCTCTCTCCCTTGGCCTGCTTCTCGTCAACCCCAGAAAACGAACACTTCTCTGACACGACCTTCTCTCCTTATGCTCTAGACCTGATCCTCATAAATCTTATATACCGATCAAGTAATTGATATGTCACACTTTCTCTTTTTACCTGTCATGCTTTTTGTGAACATTATTATGTATGTATACTCACATTACTCCTTATAGGGCGGCAGGATCCTGCGATGTCTCTGTTTTTACAAGAATCGCAGCACAGTATCCAGAATTGGCTGCTGATGAGAAATATATTGATCATTATTTGAATCTCCTTACCAAGGACGAGGTAATACAGCCTGTTTCTTATTGAAATTTCACGTTGTCTACTGTTGTCTTTGCAGCTCTCTTATATTCAATTGAGCTCAACTGTTACAACTCTTGGCACTAACAATTCTATACGTCTTTTAAAATACTGTTCCTTTTTTCACGACCCATATTGAAAATCTGAGATAGTTCCAAATTCTTGAAAAGAACAATAGCATATAGGCATATAAAGGCATCCTAGTGCTAGGAAAGAGAAGGGAATATATTTGCTCCGGTGATAAACCGAAAGGATACATGTTGAGAATTTCATGTTTAGCGTTAAGCAATTACATGTTGAAGCTTAAACCGCAAAATCAATGCATATTTCATGGTATACTTTTAGGATATGTGGTCAAAATTAAACAGATTCTGAAATTTTTTTGTGATTTTATAACTTTGGCTTTTCTTTGACGGTAACTATTTCGGTATTCGTTAGAGATTCATTTTATTTGATAAATTCGTGTTTTTTTATCATAGCTGGACGACACTGTGTCGTTGGAGCCCCTTGAGAAAGCTGTCAAGCACTTCACGGTAACTGTCAAATGTTTATTGGAATATTCAAAGGAGTATTTATGGGGTCTTTTATCTAATTGCTGGCCGCTTTACAGCCAAAATATTGTGACGGAAGAATTCAAAATGAGTATTGTCCCCGTGTTAAATTCAATTCGATTTTAAAACCATTTATCTTTTCCATTTTTGGACAAATTTTGGAGGTAAAATGTTTGAAAATTGTCTTGAAAAAGCAAACATTTTATAACGTAACTTAAGCTTTTCTTCTGACACTCTTCAGAGTATAAAACGTCAGAATAAGGGTCGAAAAGATCAAGAAAGAAAATATTTACCCAGTTATGAATCGAAATTTATGAAACCATTTTGTCACACAAATAACATAAATGAGACTAGTTTTGTCACAAATTGGTTTTAACCATTTCTGTCTTGGCTGAATAGGTTGTTTTAGGATAGTTTAAAAGCATCTAATTTAAAACTGCATCAAAATTGTTAGCTTGATTAGAAAATTGCTGTCCAAAGAATGCTATTTTTGCCTTTGAACTCAAAGAATTTTCAAAGTTCAAGGTGTCTCCAGATGTCATCATTTCCATTTATATGCTGTTTTGTTTTCGTTTCGTTGTCAATAAACTTCAATTTTCTGATTATAGTTATAATGAAGAATCTTTATAAAGGGTAACTGATAGCTTAGAAGTATGGGTAACTAACTGAGACCAGCTATTTACAAAAATACCTTATATGCAATACACCCAAACTACAGGTGTTACCTTTACAATTATCTCCACCCTATGGATTAATTTCATGTTATAAGGAGGCTCTAGCTTGATTTAGCTTTATCATACGAAGCAAAGCGTTCTTATGGAGTCTGCGACTGTACAAAATTGGATTTAAGCCGTAAGAATCATTGAAAACGCTTACATTTTAGGCACTGTATTCTCTCCATCTCGGGAACTTTGAGATCTCCCAAACCGAATTTCTCAATGACGCAATTAGAATCATTAGCAGTGGTGCTGAATGCTTATCGATGGACACCCAGAGACTGCGGTCGCTTGCAGCGGTATTCTTTGAATTATATACTTCATTTTTACGTATTTTTCGATGAAATCGATACTGCAGTTACCTGGATTTTTTTTATGTTTTTATACTTTATTTTTTATAGATTTTATTCGAATAAGCTTTAATGTAAGCTTCAAGACTTACTTACTCTCTAAGTAAATTAAAGAAAAAAGATTTTTTGTATTCAATGTACTTCACGTTTCAGTAAATATCAAATAATATTCATTATGCTGTGATCAATTTGTTTGGAAACAAATCTAGGTGTTCTGACGAATCTCCTTACCGCGGACAAGGCATATTGAGGGGGCTAAAACGTTTAGGAGGGGGGGGTTATAACGTTTGGGAAGGGGGGCTAAACATGCTAAAAACCAAGAGCAGGGCGATTTTTGGTATGATTTTAAGTACATTTTGGAAATTATCGCAGAAGCCAAAGCCCCTGTAACCCTTCCCGGCCCCTGCTCCTTATACAATAAATTTCATACCTATTCTCTCTCCATTAAATATCATATTTGATTTACTATAGTCAGTTCTGTTTATGATAACCCAGTAGATTAAAGGTATATTCCATTGTTTCACATTTCTTGTTCATTTACGCTTCACTCGATTTTTTTAATAGACCTGTGACGAAGGAAGCAAATTCATCAACTTTCTTGCGTCAATTGAATTGAGAAACATGGAAGTAAAACAGCTATGTAAAAAGGTATTTGTTGATTATCGAAATGTTCTTCTATTATAATTTTGGGCCTACCAGTAAAGTTCACCTTGTTCGCTAAATAATATATTTTAATCCGGGCCTTGCTGTGAAGAACAGATAATTCGATTAGAGTGAAGAGTTTAACAAGAGAAATTTGATATGTCTTTAACACCATGAAGGTCCTCACTTTAAGGTTTTTTACCTTTTTCGTCAAACATATCTTGACCTAATCCGCTGTTTTACCCCCGGAACTAATAGATCGTATATGTTTATTAATGAACGCCATAAACCCAAAGCCCAATGCTTCTGACTGAGTTCATTTCTCTTGGCTGTAATAATCAAAGGACGTTGAAAAGAGCATGGGCGTTAAATTAAGTATTTACCGTATATGTAGCGAATGCCTCGTTGGCGGAGCAATTCGAAAACCTGCAAATTGCCTAGGCCATGTTGGAAAACTTACACTCGCTTACAGTTAGACATACTTTTACAGAATGAAACATGCAGCTTAAATCTCTTCACTCACGCCTATTCATACAAAATTATTTGCTGTTAACAGGGATAGGTTTTTTACATTTTGCGGAATGTTTTGCAAATAAAACTAAACATTTTCAACTTGGTTAAATCCCTACAAGGAAGGAACTACATTTTATGTGTTGGTCCTGTCTTAAATCTGAATTTAGGAGCAACAAGGTCAAAGATTCTTACTATAGGCTCTTTCTAAAAGGTGTCTTACGATAATGAACTGAATCTGTAGTGACTGGCAATATGTTTCCCTTTGTGCAGTTTGGAATTTGTCAGGCTTCAACGATATCCTGCAAGTTGTCAATTCGTAAGAAAACTGTTATTGGAGTGAGTTTTCTATAGAAAGAAACCTTTTAGAAACACTGTGGTGGATTGTTGTAGTTTCATGTCAAAGATTATTTACATCTATGCTTGTTTTTGGGTTTTAGATAAAGAGAAGAATGCCTCCTAATGGTACCAGTGTGATTGAATATCCAAAAGAGGTTGGTTGATATCATTGCCTCGTTATCAACTAACTCAGATGATGGTTAAGAGAACTCGATCTGCTGACAACTTTTTGCTTTCTAATAAAAAAGAAATTCTAATTGAAATTCAAGGCATTTAGTCATTTATAATATAGTAATTTATGCAGGTTTCCAAAAAAATGTTCTTGTTAATCTCAATTCAGCCTGTATTGGCAGTTGCCACCTCTTCAACTGAAACTTGATCGGTGCCGCCATTTTTTCAAAACTTTGAGCAGAAATTTCATTTTTGAGCAGATTTCATGCCCCATATTACAAGTCGCCTCCAACCTTAGATTTTTTGTAATCAACCTCTCCCATAAAGGATGTTAATCAAACAAGAAATTCCGTTTATTTTTTAAGGTTATGGGTCAGATCGATAGTGTTGTCACGGAGCAAACGAACCTTGTCAAAATGGTTCAAGAGCTTGCAAATGTTTCTTCGTACAAGGCGAGTTCGTTGGCTGGTACGTACTAGAGGTTTTTAAGGTTATATTGTGTGAAAATCTGATTCTCAGAGACTTTTCCTGAAGCTTGGTCCTTGAAATACTAGGCAATTTTTCTTTTTCTCCATTATGCTCTCATATGTAGTCTTCTCGAAAACGAAGAATCTATTTTTCAGTTGCTTTATTTTTAACATGGCTTTTGCCTTCTCAGAATCTTGAATTCTGAGATTTAAGCCTGTAATTTGTGCCATATACAGATTTGTTTTATAAGTTGCGACCGTTACATTTTCCATTTTCACTGGAGAAATGACAGAGTTACCGTAAGTCTTTATATAGGCCCCCACCTAAGGCATAATCCCCCACGTGAGAATATTTTTGCAAAATAAGCCCCCAGGTGCTTATTCGGGGACTTACGGTACATTTAGCTTATCAATACAAAGAAACACCTTTCTGATCCCAAACTTATGAAGCCCAAACTCAGAGCTCTCAACATATCACGAGCATTGACCTATATTTATCTGTCAATTATTTTCACGCTGTATTGTTTTCTTGTGAAACGCACTAGAGGGTGAAGTGCTGTTGAGTGGCCAGCTAGAGGAATCTGCCTGGGACTGCGTGATGCTTGTGTATGAAAAAGACGATTGTGAGCCAATAGATTGTATCAGGTTTGTTACATTTGCATCTCCTCAAGTGATCAGCTGATTTTTAACACTACTTTCAACTTCATCACATTTCTTTCTGTCAACTTCAATCAGCTTCTTCCAACTTCTTCCAAATTCTACCAACTTCTTCCAAATTCTATTAACTTTCACCTAATTATTTTAACTCCTTGTTTTAAACGTCATTAAATTTTATTCCAGTTTTTTCAAATTCTTCCAACTTTTTCCAATTTTTTTCCAATTTTTTTAACTTCTTCAAACTTTTTTCAACTTCTTCCAACTTGTTCAACTTCTTCCAACTTTTTTCAACTTCTTTCAGCCTCTTCCAAAGTTTTTCCACTTTTTTAAACCTCTTCCAACTTTTTCACCTTTTACCACTTCTTCCACCTTTTTTTAACTTCTTCCAACATTTTTCAGTTTCTTCCATCTATTTTCAACGTCTTCCAACTTTTTTCAGCCCCTTCCAACGTTTTTCCATTTATTCTAACGTTTTTCAACTTTTTCCAACTTTTTAGAACTTCTTCCAACTTCTGTTATCTATACATACCAAATTTAGTGTCCGTTTTGAATAATACTATGCAAGATTAAAATCAAGAAAAACTAAAATATTAAAACAGACATATAACAGACCAAAGTTTTCTTCAGTCGACTGGACCATTTTGAACAGCAATCAATGTAAACGCGATCAACAGCCTCATTTTGTTCAGCATCAATCTCTACATATTGTTGTAGGAAACACTGGCAAAGCTTCGTATGAACAACTTTCTATACGTTTTTACTCCTTGCAACATTTTTCGAAATACCCTATCACTTACTCTATCATATGAAATACTCTATCATCTATTTTTTAAAAGCTGAACATATTAATTTCTTCAAGTTTTACTTGCTTGTTGCCCTAACTCTATTATTTTAAGATTACGAGCCCATTCAGCTTTAAGTAGAGCAATATCATGCACTGGATGCTGACATTTTCTTCCCTTTTGTAGTATCGAGTGGCCAAATGATGACGTCATAAAACCGATTTCTAGAATTTTTGAATTTTGACCACGCAATCTTGTAGAATACTATAAAATGCCTCTTAATGTGAAAATCAGTTAAATGTCTTACGAATAGTGTGAGATATGACCACATGAGCACAGGCACTTTTCCGACCAAGTCTTTGATTTTGGTGTGGTTCTAAATTCTAAGACCCTGACCGAAACAACAGTAATCCGTTTGCGAAATTCAAAACATATCTTTCTTGTACTTGCTGTATGTCAGCCAATTTGCATCAAATTCATTAAGTTGTCCTATTGGAGGTATTTTCTGTGCTCTTTTGGACCAGGCTGTCAAAACTCAAACACTCTAAAAGTAAATTTTTTGCTATTCTATTTGATGCATGTGGCTTCACATTTTAACTATTTTTTGTTTGCTTTTCTAGTGAAGGCTTCAAAAAGATTCTTCTGTGCTTGTCTGGTGTGTCGATCAAGCTGCAAGAAGGAGAGTATGATGCAGAACCTCCTTCGAAGATGGCAAGTTTTTTGTTTTTTATCCAAACACTTCTTTTAGGTCGTGAATTTGATCAAATTATGTTGAATAGAGGTCTTCGTCTTTTAACTTTCAAAGTCACAAAAGTCAGTTTTTAAAATGCTTCTGAGAAGATGTCATTTTTCAACAAATAAAAATAAAGTTTTATAGCTTCAATTGTGCAATATTTCTCAAAATGTTTTTGCAGCCAGAACAACCTTATTTAATACGCGCGAAAGCTTTTAAAGAGGAGCTGTCAATTACCACAAAGTTGGAAGAGAAAATTGAAGCAAAGGAACAAGAAATGCTTGAAATAAGGATGGCCATGAAGCTGAAAGTGCGTATAGTTTCAAATTCTGCTCTTCTGCTCTTTTGCTCTTTGCTCTTTTGCTAGACCTTTGTTTATTCAGCTTTTGTTAAAGGGGACTGCTAGGCGATTCCAATGCTTTGTGCTTGTGACCTTTTTTCACCTCACGTGCTGCACCACACGTTTAAACAGCCCCCCCTCCCCTCATCCAATTTAGGATCGAATCCAGTACTCTTAGTAAAGGGAATAACGTCATAACATCAAGCCTTCCTTTATAAGAAGTTTCCTTTTTGTCAACGAAAAGGCTTACTCAAAGCGAAATAAAGGTATGAAAAGCAATTTTCTTCCAGGTTTTGTTATGATTCAGAACCTCATTTTTAATTACCATATGGAGGAAGGACGCGAAATCATTCAAATTAAACTATTAGCTTTTCAATAAACAACCTTATACATATGGTAATATAGATATGTCATGATTTCCAGCAAAGTATATAAGACATGTATAATATTTTGAAATCAGCCCATCGAAATTAATAAACATCGATTCATTTACAAACCTTTGTTCAACATTCAAAACGAGGTTTGAACATGAAATAGAGGCTTCCTGGTACCAAATTTCCCCGTATAACATCGATTTTCGTAATCAGCGTAGCATAATTGACCAAAAAAAGTAGATCTTGCAAATTCCCTCGATGGGTGATGATGATACCCCCAACCCCCCCCCCCCCCCCCCACTTCCTCGCCTGGTTTATAGGTAGCATACGATTGTATATAGCATTTTGCGCTGTATGTGAACTGCGATTGAATTTTTTTGTTACAAGGCGTAAAGCTGGGTGATTATATTCATGTAATAAGATGATCGGCTTTAGACTTTTTCAATTATTTTAGTCGGCTAGGCGTTGGCAGAAGTGTTTCACATGATTGACTGAATCTTTACAATAAAAAGCTGTTTTCATAAAATCTTGTAAATTGTTGAATTTCTGGGAAAAATCCAATTTCTTCACTGCTAGTTATCTAGCTTTTTTTAAATTATCTTTTTCAAAAAGATTTATGCAAAAGTTTCGGCGAGTTTCTTGTGTGCTGAATTTATCACCATACTTTTTCTCGTTCGGACGATTGTCGCAGCTATGCCCTGTTAACTAGGACTCTGTCCAAGGATTCTGGTAATGGACCGGCCCCTTAAATTTTTTTATTTATGTTATTCACAATAAAGATATAAAGGCCGAAATGGCCCTGAATCAACGAACATCCACATACATTTTAATAATAGAACAAACAAAGCATTAACAACATATATATTACAAAGACAAGTAATAGTGTTTTTATTAACACAGATTCTAATCAATTACAATTATCATTCGGATAGTTCATACATAAAATATTTCTGTTACGATAGAGGCAATGCGAGATTGATGACTTTGTCAATTCAATGACTTGACTCATCGACCAAGTAAATTTCTTTTTTTAAAGTCAGCTTTGATTTATTGGGGTATTTTATAGCTACTTCGCGCATCTTAACTGTTGAGTTCATTTATACTGTGCCAAGAATACCACCTTCTTTGTACATAGTAAATTTATCTTTTTACCTGCATTTTTCCGTATCGGCAACAGGCAGAAGAACTTAGTGCTGCTAATATTCGCATCGGATTACTGGAAAAGCGAGCAGACAATGCTGCAAACGACGTGAGTCTCTTTTGCTTTTTTCTTAAGATATTTGCACAAAGCTGTGTATTAGAGATTTTGTTCCATTGGAGGCTCATTTCCTGATAGTAACATGTTTGAGCGGTAGCAAGTGACAATGGAGAGTGAAAACGTTGCCGGATCGCAAATTGCATTTCAAGGCAGAATGAGACGAAAAAGAAATATTTGATACTTTTAGCTGTTGGCATCGCAGTTTGATGTATGTATTTGAATTAAAGCTTAGCCAATACAACGCCCACAATCTCCTCCAGAGTTTTCAGAGGATGACCTTAGCTTGAAATATATCAATGATATGCCAAATATATCAATGTTTGTGTCCTTCAGTGTTTGTGTAATCTGAATAAACTTTGAATCTAGTTTGCTCATCATCAATTTGAAACTTTCGAATCTTTCCAGTTGGTTATAACAGGTATTCAGTTGTTTGAATCAAAGATTGAAGAAACATGATTATCAATTACGATTTTTTTAGGCGGATGCAAAAGTTGAAGCTGTGAACAAGAAATATGATAATGCCTCCAACGAACACGCTCAGAAAACAAAGTAAGAGAATTGTATTCTTTTAATCCGTTTTTGTTGTGGGATGGTTGTGGAGGTTTATATTCAAATAAAATGGGGGAGTGAATGGTGATTCCCAAGACTCATATCGAGGATTGCAATGGTATCATAAATAGTTACCGTTTCTTTCATGTTCAGTTCCTTAATTTTTTTCAACAAATTTATTTTGAAAATTCCATTACAAGCAAAAATCATTTATCAGGCAACAATTAACAAAGAATATATAAAAAGATAACAAAAGATGAAAAGCAGAAAACTACTATAAATAATTACAGAAAATGATAAAAAATTGTTTGTAGGGGAATTTCTTAAAGCTCTTTCAATAGATGAACTCGATAGTTACTTAGTTTTGATCTCTCTAACAAAAAGAATGTAATGCCGTTTCACTTTGTTATAGAGAATACGAAGAGACATTAGATTGTTTACAAGCCGACATTGTTAGCCTTGAAAAGGAGAACCAGGATCTCAAGAAAAGGCTAGATGCATATTCTAAGAAAACCTTGTTAACTGATATTGCGAGACAGGCTCAAGGTGGCTCTGGAATTGCCAGTCTAGTTGGTGAGTGACGAAACACTAATGTTTTACTTCTTAAGATGATCAATTTGGCCTACCATCAAATGACTGCCAATTGTTTTTCATAGTAACTCTTACTTTTTCCACTATCCGATGCACATTTTCCATAATGGCTTTGAATTTTGAATGTTACCCATTTTCAGTTGGTTTCTTCAATACTTTTAGAAATTTTCATTGGTCAGATTCAGGGGTGGACAATTCGGTTTCCCACGCACCCTGGATGACCGGTTTTTATCTGCGGGAGACCGCTTATCGTTACACAGAGTAATCGCCGGGCGACCAAATGTTTACTGGAATTGTCCACCCCTGTCACCAGAGCTCTATTTTTCGGAGACCACAGATCATATGCGGGAGACCACTGAAAAAGCTGCTGATTCCCACCTTGGGACAACCATTTTACCGGAGTTATCCACCTCTGCAGATTTCTACGAAAGGGGTTCTACTTTTATTACAAATATTAATTTTCTTGTGTAATGTAAATAAAAGAATGGTCACGGTAACAAAATTCTCGACGGACTCCAATAGAAATGTCGCTAAAATTGTGGAAAACAAGGTACACCGCAACGCGTTGAGAACAAACAACAAGCAAATTAATGGTAGTTATTATTTCACCATGGCATACGGGGCGTCATCATTGCAATAGATAATTTTCTTACCTTCAAAGCCATTAGCATTTTCTTACCTCCCAAAGATTGATTTTCTGACCTTCCAAGGCCATTTTTTATTGTAGGCTCGCCAACAAAATCCGGAGGAATGGGAAAAGGTTCTGTTCAAGTGATCATCAAAGATTCTCCGGTTATTCTTGCACAGGTACGATTACGATAAGTACTCCTACCATTTGATGGAACGTGTCGCCTATTCTTTCTATCTTTACTATAAAACGTAATGCTATCGTCCGCTCAAGACTACCAAAAGGACCAGCGCCCAGTTTTACAAATCTGAATATTTGTCATGCTTAACATACATAGAATTATCTGTCTGTTCACAAAGTTATCAGAGTGTATATGGGGCAGAATCTGGCCAGTGGGTTTTATAATTATTTTTGCTATTTCGTAGCTTGAATCGTTGAAGACTGCACTAAGCCAGGTTCGTGCAGAAAACATCCGTTTGAAAGCAAAGAAGCTAAAGGTATGCAGTAAATTTGACATGTGACGTCACTTGTGACGTATCCATTCCGTATGCAAACCTCAATTTGTGATACTGCCAAGAAACTGCGTTGATTTTGCTACAAAACATGCTTTAAATACGACCCAGTGAATATCTGTTTTTCCATTTATTAATATATTTGCAAGCAATTTTTCGTGGTACAGAATTGAAAATGGCTTGAAAAAAGCAAAAATTTTGAAACATGTTTCTGAAGCTTTTGTCCAACACTCTTCAGAGTATAAAACGTCAGTCTCATTTCTGATTAGCCTATTTCGACCCAAAACTGGGTATATTTATTTTCATAGTATAGAGTTCTCAATCTATATTCTGACGTTTTATACTCTGAATAGTGTCAGACGAGCTCTGGAATTTTATACTCTGAAGAGTGTCAGACGAATAGCTTTAGTAACATGCTTTAAAATCTTTTCTTTTTTTCAAAGCCACATTTGTATATTTACTTACGTTTCTGATATTCCTAACGCACAAATATTTTTTGCAAATAAATTTTTTCCCATTCTTTCGTATTGTAAAAATATTTAGAGACTGTCTTTGGTTTTTGGCGTTGGTTTTATTATTTTTCTTGTAAAAAATAGGCAATATTCTTGTAAGAAAGCTACTTTATTTGTTTGCATGTCTACTGACATGACAATCCGTTTCATCGGCTGGCGTAGTATCTCAACTTCTTTACGTTGCCTTGGACAGGATGAGTTAGCTGCCCTCCCAAAGATTTATTCACCCCCTGCTTGTGATGAATCTCATCGAGCAGAGGACTCAGATTCCAACAAAACGCCTGCGACATTCAAAACAGTAACAAAAGACACTACGACTCTCCTTAATGTAAGTTTCCTAGTTTTTGAATTATTAATAGATTTTTCCTGTTTAGCATTATTTAGAAAGAAAGCAAAATTTATAGTACCTGGAATCACGTAAAATTTCCTATTGAAATATGTGTTGATGTTTTTTATCTTAAATTGTTATTTTATGACCCATGCAAAAATCCAAGGGTCTTTTACAGGCCACGTCTCAGCCAATTTGCAAAAGAGTCAAATGAATCTTTTGCACACATATAGATATTTCAAAATTGTCTTTATCGTTATGTTGCCCAAAATTAAAAAAATCTGGGCGTCTTGGTCACTCTTTTTCATAACGATCTTGAGGCTAATTTGTGAGCTGCAGGGTCCATAAATAGATCACGTTAAGTGTCAGTTCATGTATGTTGCTGTTGAATTCATCAGAATAATCTTTATCGCCACACGATCAAAGTTGAAAAGTTTCTTGCAGTTCTAGAAAAGCTAGTCGAGTTTTTCGTTAGCAGACCTATAAAGTATTATGCCTGGGGATATGTTGTTGGGAATTCGTCATTACTAATAATTTCTTGTTATGATTATCGTTGCTACGTTTGCTAAATTTCACGCGTCGATGTACTAACTTTTTGTTGGCTTTCCAATTAGAAAAGTATTAATCCGTAACACAATAGTATTACCGAGTTACAAAGAAACGCTGTAGGAGATTGACGTAAGAAGGGCGTTTTGAGTTGAGTTTTGAGTAGAGTTGTTTTTAGAGTTGGACGAGAGTGGATTTCTTATAGCTTGCCGATCGAAGTTTTAGTCATTATTTTGTAAATAGTGTAAAGATTTGTTTATTCTCGGGTCATTCTTTCTTGCTACCTTACACATGGATCGCTAAAACACAACATATACCTATCTGTACAACCTACAATTATGTACAGTCTTTTTTAGTTTGTTAATTGCTGCTTTATATTGTTGCTAGAATCTCCAAGCTTTGAGCGTTTGCCCTAAAGTGGTAGATATTACAAAAAGAAAGCCGGGTGAGTAACGTTAACGCTTTGATAAGGTTTCTTTGCACAATAGTCATTAGCGCCGGGAGCGATAGGTGTAATGGGCCCTAGCCCTCTTTCTAAACCCTCTTTCCCTTAACACCATATCTCTACTTCCTTCCTCCCCCTGTTACTATGCAGGGTATAAATTCTCCATCTTGTGACTTCACCCTTATTCTGACGTTTTATACTCTGAGGAGTGCTAGGCAAAAAAGCTTTTAGTATGTTGTAAAATATTTGTTAAAAACTAAAGCTAACCTTTGATAAAAACTGAAATCAGTTGCAATTTAATGATTTTTAAGGTGCAACGTATTTTTGCATTTCTAGTTGAGTCCTTTTCCTTATCCTTTTATCGAAACTGAGAGTGAAACTGAAGACACAAAGAATAATTTTTTGCGATAATGGGTTTGTAAAAATTTTGTTGACCTCTTCATTTAGGAAGTGAACTGGCAACAGGCAAAGCTGCACCTATGAACCAGTTTATCGAAACGAAGAACTTGCTGATGGCATTTAAAAGACAGAAGGAAGAGGTATCTTTAACTTGTTTGTTTACATGGGCGGACACTTGGTCAAATATTGGGGGCAAGCCTATTGTTTTGATAAGATGACGTCACATTTTACCATTGTTTTAAAAAAATACCATTGTCTTCCAAAATATTGAGGGGGGGGGGCCACCCACTCGCCGCCCCAGGTGTCTGTCACTGTTTGTTTGTTTCTGTTGACGAAGTTAAGAATAAGTTTTTAAGTAGATGAAAGACTGGGTAAATTAGGAGAGGGCCCTGTAAAAGACAGTTCAAAATTTTCACAGTTTCTAGTCCATAAGTTCAAATTTGAGATCTAAAAAATTAAGATATAGCAATGCAATAAATTCACTCTTTGTTAAAGTTGCAAAAGAATATCCAAAGTGTGATCACCAAGGAGCTTCCTGGAGCAGCGATTGCGTCATCGTGCAAGCAGTTCTATTCGCCGGAGTATTCCAAGGTAGGCAAACAAAGCTTAAATGAAATAATTTACTGAAAATAATTAATAAACAAGAAATTAACTAAAAGTTGCCTTGATTTCTTTATTATATTGAGTTCTGTAACGTTAATTTTGGAATATTTATTTATTCGCATCAGTAATTAGAAACTTCAATCGTGGTGCCATAATTGCTGAGGAAACTAAATCCGCTAATTTTACCCGCATTACGTTTTTGTACATTTTTTTCAAAATTCTTCCATGCTCTTAATTCAAGAAACATCAGCCCAATTCAAGACCATTATACATTGCATGAATGTTAAAAAACCTCATTTTGTTTCATATTTTGCATAAATTCATGAATCAAAGCGACTGAAAAAAACTCAATTCTCTGCAATTTTTGTCGTTCTTTACAGGAAAAGTTGTTTTTACTTTAAAAACTTTATCAGCTCAGTGACACTGCTCCTTTTGTAAGCTCTTGCTTGCTTCCATGTTCGCCATTAGATAATTCAACGTACAAAGCCTCCCAAAAGTACTTGGAAAACCCAGCAATTCGCGTTGCATTTTATACCTTTCATTCTTTTTCCAAAAAATTACTTTTCCCGTCCCCATCTCCCTAAAACAATGTTGATAGTTTAGGCAAATATCATAAGAGAAACACAAGAAGAAAGTACTTCCTATTTCCCTTACCCGTTTTATAGTCAACCAAAATTGTTCAATGGAGGACGAGGAGGATGGCTGAATGATTTCAGTGTTCATAGACTTTTGGCAGGCATTGTAGGCCTAGATACGAACCAATTTTGACAAGATTGTTTGATAAATGCTCCCTTGATATTGTCTTTTTCTCAAGGTGATTGAAGAAAGATCTCGCCCAGTCCTCGTTGGCAGGTTGTCATTCCCTTCGAACGAGGCTGACACAAAGGCCACTCACCGGAAAGTCCTTCTAACACCGCAGCAATTCACGCAGCTGCACGCAGTAATGGCGAGATAACCGAGACTTGCTTTGTTGTTATAACAACGAGTACTGTATTTATTTAATTTGTTTTGAAAAATTAACTAAAATTAGATGATCTTCAAACCATACCTTATGCCTTCTTATGGAATATGATTCTGCTTCCATTGCTTTCCCTGCCTCAGAATGCACAGAAATGATCTTCCTTTCGGTCCCTTCAACATCGCTTTTAAAAAACATCGCATTTTTAGATGTTTTGCAATCCATTTCTGGACACAGGAATTAATAAAACGTGGCATGGCATAAGTAGAAAGCAGTTTTTAGCAATTAAAAAGCAATGTTCAGCATTGATCTTGAACCCTTTGAATCCATAAGCTTTTTTCAAATTGACTTTCTTTTTGAAATGTATCAAAGATGAACGTTAAAATGCTACAGTTCTAACATAAAGAAGATTCAATTTACAAAATGTACGTTAGACGATAAATATTTCTACCCCAGTTTTCTAAGAGTTCGATTTACTAATTACTCGAAATCCGTTGAAAAATTTTTTGGAGGTGGAGGGGGGTTGATCAGATTATTTTCGATATCTGCTCTTGCAAAGCAGCTCTGTTACGAAAAATGCTGTTACGTTCACAAATATAAATCATAACATGGAAGCTTGTGTGACTGATGTTAAAGAATCATCGATTCCTTTAAAATGTTAGAATGTAAGAATTTTGTCATTAAGAATATATCTTTCATGGCATGGTATATCTCTAAGTTTTGGAAAATTAGTACTGGACGCTCATAATCGTCACAGTTCTTAATCGTTACAAAGTCGTTAGAGTGTAGTTTTTCTCTAATTGGTGTTGACTGTTGTACAATCTCTAGACTTGGGCTTGTTGTAATAGTCGGGGAGCCCGGAGCACATTTTAAAGTGGGGGGCTCTAGAAAAGTAGGGGTGCTTCTTTCGTAGTTTGCCACCATTATCTTTGATACCACAACCTTGAAATCATACTTTAGTGGAAAAAGTAGGGGCTACAGCCCACCCAGCCTTTCGGGTCCGACATGCCTGATAAACTACTGATCTTTCAGGCTACAAATTTTCCTGTTTCGGTACCTTTGTTTGTTTGTTGCCTGTTCTTAATAACCAAATCAACGAACAGCCAACAGTACTGGAACAGGAAAATTTATAATTCCATTCATTGTATGTAAACCTGAGGATTTTTCTTGTTCAATAGCTAGGAATGGGGAAAAAGGATCGTTCTGTTATGGCATTAAGCAGTGATTCAATTCCGACAAAACATGACCTTGAGTCAATATCGAATGCTTTTTTCGCTTCCCTAGTCCTGGTACTAGGAAAAGTCTCAGGTTTTGAAACCATAGGAGGAATCTTCCACGAGTAATTTTGTGATAACACATGGGCTCAGATTATCTTTTTTAATACGAACAAGCAGATTGAAATTCAGGCTGGATGTTCTTAATTCATTTCAAATCAATTGGGTGCAAGCAGTGGAATTGCTAGCAATTGCGCTCTAGGAAGGTGTTCAGGCCTCGTTTGCCAACAAAGACAAAGTGAGTGAGATTTCCTTCATTTGCCGACATGAGTTTAATCATGGTTTAATGAATCACAGAAGAAGCACCCCTCTTTATTTTACATACACTGATGGGACAAGCAAAGGACCCATTAGAGCAAATGTTTCATTGGCTATTAGCAAGTTCATTCTATTTTATTTTCATATTTTCCTCTTTTTCGCAAGAAGAATGGAGAATTAAGTATTAAGTAGAATGGAAGGAGAGGAACAACCGTTAGCATTTCTTCTCTTGACACTTCATGTAGCAGTTATACGTTATAGATTACTTTAACCTGTCACGTGACAAATTTATTGCCGCCATGGGATCACAACGCGTTGCTATGTGCATCCAAGACTAGGATGTAATCTATAGGCTACCACGTGGCCAACTATTTCAAGGTGCAATGGTGACCAATTTGTGTATTGATAAGTTGGAATTTTTAAGTTCGAATTATTAAACAGACTACTTTTTCGGGACAAAGACAAAAAAAGCAATTGGTATCGAGTCCTTAAGTTTTAAATTTGAGTCCGTGTTTGAAATATGGTAAAAGCTTCAACCTGGTAAAAAACAGTGCACTATTTCGGAGGGCCGTCGCAAGGCAGGCCTTGTTGGCAGGAGTGGGTGTCATCTACGATTTTACCTGATTAAAAAAATTTAACTGAAATTATTTAGTTGCTGATAGAAACCTTCGCAATACATTTTGTCACTCTAACTTCTATGGCATGTAATTCGGAACATCTATTTAAATTACCATAACAGACTTTCAAACCGGTTTAAGTAGATCATTATATGATTAGGGTGTAACCCCACAACCCTGGTTATGACACTTTTTTGGTCCACGCAGATGGTTCATTGGACCCATGGGTTTATGGTCTAAAATGGACACCATGCCATGTCATACAAAGTCAGGCTTAATGGCTACTGGAAATTTCTTTTTTTTGAAAATTTTTTAGAGAAAACTAACCTAAAGGCTAAAAAATGTCATTTGAGCAGGACTTACTAACTGCAAAAATCAAAGAAGCAAATCAACATCCAGAACTAAAGTAGAAAATCTATTTCATAAAAATATGTTGCAATCGCTTTTGGCAATTATTTAATTGTTTTGATGTTCAGATACTAGACTACGTTGGAAAACATTTGACAACAAGATGCAAACAAAAATAACTCTTCAAAGTTTGCTAAGTACTTTATTACACGGCTATAAACCCTAATTCCAACAATCAATGCTTTCCTTGTGCTGTTTTTGTTAATATCCTTGTGCTTTCACATTGATAAACCTTTGCTACAGATTTTATCAGATATTGCATTCACTACTTTTGGATCATGGGCGGCGGGTTTTTTTTTAAAGAATAAAAAGAATAAAAGCATGCCGTAAAAATAGCAAAATATTTGCAAAAAAGGACCGCGAGGAATGTTCTGAAATGTATTTTAAGCTAATCTAGAGGGCGTGGTTGGAATTTTTTTTTCCTCGTTTCACTCGCAAGGAAGCCTCCTCTTTGGTTATACCTAAGGCCCCTGACAACCTCTCGCCGGCCTTCCAATGTACCGCTGCTAGCATAACAAGTGCTCAATGAAATTATAGGCATAAAAGATAGTGAAGCATTACAGTGCGTTTTTCAAAAGTTGATTTTTTAGTCTAATAATGCTATCAACTCGAGCCCCCTCACTTTGAATTTCTTGACGCCGCCCCTGTCGATGAGAGTAAGACAGCCTCGATTCAAGGTAAATTTAAGTACGAAATGCATGAAGTCTTTTTCTTTACTTCTAACATAGGCGCAGACATGGAACCGTGGCCCCCTTTGACCTCCCTAAAACTGTAGTCACTTGTCTAAACAAAGCTCCACTTGAAAACAGCTAAATCTTACTGTACTGTAACCTACTTGAAATATATTTAAAATTTTCAAATGAAAACGCGCAGTTTTGAGATGAAATACCGTATTTACTCTAATATTCCCGCTTCTCTAATAATCCCGCTTGTATATCATAGATTGTAAGAATAATCCCGCCTTCCCAATAATCCCGCATGTGGGAATGAAACTTTTAATTGGCATTTGCTATTCTTTACACACTTATGCTTGGAATGAATGGGCTAAATCACATGATAATGTCATAGACGGGAGAGGGCAGAGAGCTGTCTTATTTTGCAAGTTTATCAAACATCCGAGTCTCGCAGCATAAAAAGACATTTGATTCTTTGACTTCGTACTACTGTCTATAAAGCACAATATCTGCTCTGTCTTGTCTGTGAAAATAAATATCCCACCCCCATTTAATTTTAAGCCCCCATATGTGTTGAAATTGCATATTTTTTTCTCTGATTTGCCACAATCATGTTTAAGAGAATTTTTTGTTGAAACGGTATTCTCAAACTTTGCTTCAAGGCATTGAAAAAATAATCCCGCCTCTCCAATATACCCGCCTCTCGAATAATCCCGCCTTTTTCGTTAGGTTAAAACGCTAATCCCGCAGCGGGAATATTAGAGTAAATACGGTATATACTCGCGGCAAGATTTTTTGTGGGCCCAAGAACAAATGCGGAGGCACTTGCCGCGCAGCACTTAAAAGTCCCTTGAGACGCAGAAGTGCTGCGTGATGTGCGCGGCTCGCTGATTGGTTCGACGGTTTGAAAGATGGCGGCATAACCGATGCTGAATGGAACGGCGGGAAAAACAAGAAGGCATTTGTAGATAATTGTTTGTTTCGACTTTTAGGCTGTTTGAGAAGGCTTGCAAAGTTTACAATAACCGAATATTTAAAAACCTTCATTTGATACCCATTTAAAGGGCTTTGATTATTGCCTGGATCCAAGGAAGACCCTCCATTAACAGTTTTCAGTTGGAATCCTAGGCAGCATGGCACAAGAAAGGAAGGCCAAACCGAAAGGTCTTCACATTTCTTTGTCATCTCAGTGGAAGAATGAGCCAAGCATCGCAAATGATGGACAGCCTGCTATATCTCCGATGACAGAACTTGCCATAAATTTCAAGCAAAGTTGTAAAAGGTAAGTTAAGTTCTGTCCTCTACATTCAGTGAATACAAAGGAAAAATGTCTGCAACTTACTATGTAAATGTGAAAAATATACAAGGTGTTTTTGAAAATGAATAATTTCACTCCTAACAGCTCAGTCAACATATCAGCTTTTAAATATTTTCTCACTACCTTAGGTTTTTTCCCTTTTCAGTTTCAGTTTCATGTGTGACCCAAAATTACTTCGTTTGATGACACAGATCAGGCACCAACCTACTTAATTTGACAACGATAGCTGTATAATAAAAAAAACCAAAATTGCATGTAAAAACTGGAAGAATAATTCAATCTTTGTCACAAAAGAGCAAGAAAAACCTTAGCATTTTGCAAATATGTTGAGATGCAAATTTAACTGACAGGACAAGAGCACAGCATCTGATCCATTTTTACAACCTCTATTTTTTGATGTTTATAAATCTAGTTTTTCTTCTTCAATTTATTTCAAAATATCTGTAAGCAAATACTATCAGGGTCCATACTGGAACAAGTATAGGCCCTAGGGTGGGAATCCAGGTAACCAAGTTGAAAAACATGTATGATTTTGCGGACGCGTCAATGCGACCAACGACACATTATCAGTTGCGACCTGCAAGCAGAAGCATTTGAGTTGCAAGCAAAGATGCTCATATATCCATTACTATAGTATGATATATGAATTTCTTGATATTTTGGGTCACTAGAGGTGCAAGGTGAGTGCACTAGAAGTCTAGCGTCGCTGCGAGCATATGCAAGTTTTCCAGCCTGGCCAGGTAAAACTGAGGCCAGATATAAGCCAATATAAATCAAAATACTACAAATACTACAATCAAAATACAATGGAAAATTATTTGTATGCAACAGATATCTAAGGCACAAGTTGCATGGATTCAATCCTGGTATAGGCCACCCTAGTTCTTGACAGGTCTCGCTTAAAGCCAATTGCAAGTATTAATGCTATCAACTTTTCTAGGTCTAATTAAATGGGTTTTTGTTTCTATCTTTGCTTTATGAATTGCATTTAATTGTCATCTTTTCTAGTTATTCATCAACCCCACGGAGAAGGTTATCGCTTACAGACATTCAAAATACTCCAACCCCAATAAAGTCACTTTCAAAAGCAGATTCTACAGAGTCAGGTAAGTTTTTGTTTATAGTGATGGCCAATTGGATTTTGGCTCTTTAAGATTAATTGGAACTTCTTTTTATTAATGTTCTACTTGGTATTAACAAGCTGTTCATTAGCACGTTTGCTCTATGCCAATTCATTTAAAGGAGAACTGACACACAACGATTACAATGTCTTATTCTGTGCAAAATATGTCCCTACTTTCAAATCTGGCAGAATTTGCCTCGTCATATTCACAGTTTACCTGTATTTGTACTTTTATCTGACCATTATGGCTCAATCAGGAATCTGGAATTCTCTGTTGAAGCAAGATTATCATCACACCAACAACTTCAATGCAAATTAAAATGTCACAACAGAATAGGAATTAAAAGCAAGGTAGCAAAATACAAAAAATTGCAAATTAAGGACAAATGGATCTCTGTTCCACCTTTATAATTCTGGATCAGCCAGTAGAAAAATAAAATGATAGAAATGAATCATTGAATGCTATATTGATGAAAAATAGTTTGCTTGGTTGTCTTTTGCCGTCCTAAATTTTAAAAAAATTTAGGATGGACTTAGGCACACAGACAAAGCATGTAAAACAAAGATGTCTCAAACTGAATTGAAGTTTCTTGATTTCCAAAAACTTTTTAATTTTTAATTTTTAATTTAATTTGCCTCTTTTATTAAAAATCTGTCCAGTCAATTATTTTTTTAAACTTTTTCTGTAGAATAAGAAGTTAATGTAGATATTTATGATGCATTGTTATATTTTACAGGAATTTGTATGGACTTCAGCAATGATGTAATTGACTCTCCAACTTTGTGTGACATAAGGTAACATAATTCTGTTGAATAATGGGCAAAGTCCTATCTGTTTTAAAACTTTTTTCCAAGGGGGTAGGAGTATACCAAAGGTCTTCCTAAGAAGTTTTAGATGCTTTCTAGAATTTCATAATTTCAAAGCAAATCCACTAAAAGTTTATCTAATAGCTTGACATCAAATTATTTTATAATTTCTCTTGTTTGCCAGCCATTGTTCAAAAGGCATTTTTGACAATTTTGCTCTGTTATCCATTTAAATTTTCTGAATACAATTTTGCAACCACATTTATCAGCTTGCATTTCTTAAGGATACCTATGAGTTGGGATGATCTCTGTTGTTTTCAGTATGTATTTTATCCATTACTGACATAAATTCTAGTGAGATCAAAGTGGTTATAATACCCATATCCCTTGGTGTCACAGTTCATTCCATCAAGACTTTTGAATGTTTCACAGCAGCAAAACACAATGCAATAGCAAATACCATAGATAATGTCTAGTAGTCCATCTGTCAAAATAGAAAGACAATGATAACCTTTTCAATATAATATATACTTGTGAAAATGCTTGTCTGATGTATAGCTGTTTGAATAAACCACTGAATTTTTTACAGAGTTTTGGAAGATGTTTCTTGAAAACAAAATTATTTGACAAAAATGATACATGCTTTTCAAAGAGCGAATATGCCCCCGAAAATGCCACCAGGATAATGCACATTAAGGACATTAAAAAATTCATTTAGGGAAAGTTAAAAAACAAGTTAAAAAAAAAAAAGAGAAAAGAGAATAGTCATTCAAAACTTGGAGCTGCAGGTTTGATAAGAATTATGCCTGCGTTTTAGGTGTATATGGAGGTGTCCGTGTGTAAAAGCATGCCTAATATTACTAGGACTGTAATGCCATATTTACGCACCCGCCATTTCTTTCAAGTGAATAAGTTCCAATTTCTATGTATGTATTAAATGAAAAAAAAGTGATGAAAAGTTTTGTTATAATTATAATTTGCCAAGGGTTTTTATGTCATATTTTTCAGGGCAAGATCAAAAAGATCATCTACTTCAGAATTTTCACTGAGGAGGCAAGTCAATTTATCTTTACAAAATATATTTTGCTGATATCTTGAGCTTAGTTCATCATTTTGTATTCAACTTCACTGATGGTCTTTTTGGATGGTTCCTCACAAAAGCTTATCGATATTCTAGGCCGTTCGGAGATTTGCTTCCATTTGTTTAGTCCATAGGTTTTTTATTTGATGTGGTATGCAAATTTCATCATAAAATTCTACCTTAGGGAAGCGATATTTGGCAAATGGTCAAACACTTTATTTTTGCAATTTCTAAAATGATGTACCCACCCAATTTCTAATCAAATTGATGATATTTGAATCATTGATTAATATAATCACAGAGAGAGCCGTGATTTACAATCTTGCTTGAATATTTGCATAATTTTTAGGCGGGCCACTCTCCAGAGGTCAAATTCGATGCAGGTAAAGAAGCTTTTCTTATTTTCTTACTGCTTAATATTACTTTTCTTGAAGCACAAATGATATGAATAAAGTGTTAATTCTATTACCATAGCTACCTTGACAAAAATTAAAAAGTTGTTTGTAGTTTTTGTCACTTAGATAAACAGGGACACATCTGCGCTGCATTTTGATACATTATTGCTTTCCTAGACTATTTGTATAATTTCAAGATAAGTTTTAAATTTGGACCATATATCTGAAGAGCCACAGCTGTGCAAATCATTTTACATATTAGAGATTGGCTGTGGTATGACCTGTGAAAGATCTGAAGTTACCAAAATGGCCTGGTCCAAAAATTTCTGAACGAAAATCAAATCACATTATTCACAGGAAAGATCCCTTGCTCACGTGGCTACCTCCAAGCCTGATTGATATCCAAATGCTTTGAAAGGCTTTATGGTCAACATTTAGAAATTCGAAAATTTATTTTTGTTACATCATCACTCAATAAATCTATAGAATGAAATTAATACTATAAAGCTAGTACGTAATAAAGAATTTTAATTGAGTTGCAATGTAACTAAAAAGGATACTCTCTCTGCTCCTTCAAGGCAACCTCTTCATTTGCACTGCCACTTGCTTTCAAACTGAACGAAGAGGAGTTTTCACCAGTTAAGAAGGCAGACAAACATTGCCAGGATGATAAAGAGATTGCTTTAGAATTGGATTCAGTTGGTTTGCCTGACGAGCTAACCCTTATGCCAGATATTGATGACTCCACTCACAACAGATCAATCTCTGCACCCCCTGTGCTTGTAAGTGTGATAATACTGTTCTGAATTAAAATACCTGGCCGTTGGATCAAATGTAGAGAGAAATCATAAATATAATTGATAGAATGGGAACTGTTTTCTTTAATATTTCGACTCAGTCACATCCATAAAATTTTTCTTGTTCTTCTTACAGATTCAGCAAAGTTATAGAGGATAGTTATTGCACAATAACTCTGTATTTAGATATGAACATAACTAGAAAGTGACATGAGTTCTCAGTCTTATGAACATCAGAGATTCTGATTTATCATAATGCTGTCCCCAGGATTTAATCGCAGACTCTTTTGCTCCATTCTTTGGGCTCACTAAAATTACACAACGAATACATCTTTTGTATCTTATTACTATTTTTCTTTACAATGCCATTAATTTAGCAGCTCAAATCTCTTTATTTCTCAGTCTCTTGGTCAGTCTCTTCATTTTATTGTTTTTTCGGCCCACAGTAGACCAACGTTTTCAACTTGTGACGTATTTCGGTATCAATTGTATGATTCTTTTGCCAATGATATGAAATGGTAGTAGGCCTGATAGAACAATGCACGTGATTCCAACTCTATGCTTTAATGTGGAAATTTTGCAGTGTCGTGGATATTTACATTCGCATGAGTTTGACTATAAGAATAAAGGTTTATTATCAAACAATTCAAAAATCTAAAAAAGCTTTTCAAAATTGAAACATTTTAAAACATACTAGAACAATTCGTCTGACACTCGTCAGCGTATAAGACGTCAGAATAACGAAGGAAAAGTTTTGATTATCATTCTCACATTTTGTATTCTGAAATGTGTCAGTATGTTTTAAAATGTTTGCTTTTTTCAAAACTATTTTTAACTTCATTTTTTTATCTTTAATACGATTAGACTAACCAACATTGTTTCTGTTACTGCAAATTACTATTATATTTTTAATTATACCTTTTGTTAACGGCCCATGCTAGATTAATAAATACATACTTTTTCTTGGGTCGTGTACATTACTGTGTTCTTCTTCTGTAGTATACGAATAAAATTGAATTAAATTGGAAGTAAGGTTTCTCGTTTCTCTTGTAGGATTCGATAGATACATATTGTGTAAATATAGTTGGAAGATCAACATCACCTGCGAGTTCTGATGGTTTTGACTTCATTGAGGACGATGAGAACTCAAATGATGGTAGTATACCTAAAGGGATGTCTAATTTGATTAGTGGCAAGATCTTGAACAAGGAAAATGAGTCAAGAAAGGTAGGTCAATTTGATCAAAAAATGGCTGTTGATGAGAAGCAAATAATAGAAGCGAATTTTGTAATCACAGGAAACAACGAACTGTCTAATTCGATCGTTATATTCTTTCCTCATCTGTAACGAGCGGTTGTCTTTAATTGTTAGAAAATTGACCTGCTGAAATACTTCCTCTGAAGTCAGCTAGACAATCATTGATAAATTTCCTGCAGAACCGAACCTTATGCACCTGCTGCCATTCAGTTGCATGGTCGGGGGGGGGGTCGGGGGGGTGGGTGGTGTGTGGTGGGTTTATCATGCTCTGCCCGAGAGATATTTTTATCATGATGGGTTATCGTGCCTTGCCCGTTGTTATAAATTCTTCAATCTGTTCTTGTTAACAGACCAGAAAAGTGTCTCAGGAAGACAAGGAGAATGTTTTCCCTTTAACACAGAATGTCATTCCTGAAAATGTAAGTCAAATTGATTACTTTGTTTATTTAAATTTTTGACAGTTGAAGATATTTGTGATTAAACAGAATGCTTTCAGTTTTGCATTAAAACGACTTAAAAGAGAGAAGGAGCATCCGCTAACCCTTCCTTCCTGTAGGCTTTAAAGATAATACGTTATCAACTTTCGGCTTTAAAAATCGTAAATATCACGAAAGTTTTTTATATATATATATTGGATTTTCTCAAAATTTTGTTTGTAAAACAATTGTGATGCTAGATAGATCACATTCATGTTAATAGAGGATTGTTGATTGGCTTTCACATTTTTATTTTGATCTAAAGAGTCTTTTGCAATGTCAGTGTCATGACGGTTTAAAATTATATATACTCATTTAGAAACCTGTTGATGACCATTTCAAACGACCCAGCCAACTTATTCGAAGGATTCAAAAGCGATCAGTTTCTTTCTCCGTAAAGGTATTGCTGGATTCCATTTTGGTTTCTATCTTTCTTGATTACCTTTCAACATTAAACAAGTAGAACGACTGCTTTGTTGATTGATATTCATGATGCCTGAAATACATAATTTTTGCACGATTTTGCAATCAGCTGATCCACATTCGTGGTTATATTTGCTTTGATGTGTAGAACAGAATGGTTCTAAGCTGCAACTCTGAGTTTTGCGCTAAACCTACCCGAAGATCGAATATAGTTGCCACTTAGAACCTCCCTGTTATGCAAATCATTTCCAGAGAACCAGAGAACAGTAATTTTGTTGTGGTTGCATAGATAATAATATACCACATCATAAGTATTTAATTAGGTCCTGAAATAAAATTTGCTTTCATTCGCTGTAAAATGTAGCAAAAACAGTGTCCATCTTACCAGCTTGATCGAGCTCCCTTCTTTATGGTAATTGTAAGGTTACTCATATAGGCCTAAAATGCAATCGGCTCTTTTTACTTGAAGCCCTTACCACTGAGTACCATCCGATTAATACCTGCTTTTCCTAGAATGAGTGTCATAGGCTCTTAGTAAATGTAGTATTTTTTAACTGTTGTTCATTTTTCTAGCGCCCTGAATCTCAAATGGACTTTAGTCCGATCTCCAGCAAAAGAACGAAGTGAGTTGAATTAGATTCTTGCTTTTTAGGGAGTTTATCAAAGTATAAATACGACCAGAGGTTTAATAAAAAAGATTTGTGACCCCTATATACGCTTTGATGTATAGAACAGTGCGCTTCTAAGTCGTAACTCCGAGTTTAACGCTTAATCCAGTGGTCAGGCCACTGTTTAAGACCAATATTTTTATATTTTACGACTCCAATCGTTATTGTGACTCCAATCGAAAATGAGCCTTTGGATCGTCCCATATTGTGGGTATGTCTATTTGCTTTAGACCTTAGTGACTGTAAACATTGCATTTTAAGCGTGGTAGGAGCTCGTAAGAACCCAACTTTCTGATATCATTAGTATTTTTTGCTCACTTTTTCAGTAAAATAATTAATTTGTCAATGAAGCATTGTCTCTCAAATATTGGAATGCCAGATGAGTTTTTCTGTCACTGGATGTGCCAAGGTGCCGAGGTACCCGCAATAGCACCTCTGTAATTGCCTATTGTTCTTCTATTTCAAAAAGAATGAAGAAAAATTTTTACTAGATCTTGTGCTTCTGTTTCCACTCACGCAAGATTATTACACTTACTTTATGATACTTAGTGTTGCCTAGATTCCACTTTTACTGCTCTCCTTTGCAGGATTCGAAGTCAGTCTCTGTACAATGCAGATGAGCAATTGAAGAAACCTTTATTTTCGCAGGTAATATTTATTCCAATAGCAATACTTTTATATTTTTGTTATTCCTATACTAACACACCCTCTCGTCCTAACTCTTTAATTTTCTATTTTGCTGACATTTCCCTCTTCTTTACTTTGTCTTTAGATTTCATTTCATTTTGTCCTTTTTCACTTTCAAAATCTTTCACTTAATCATTCACTTCAATGCCTATTTCTTCATCTCCTTTCTTTGATTATTTTCTCCTGGCTCTTCTTTGCCAGGATCTCCCATCATCCTTTTAATATTCTTCCTTGATCCTTTAATGTTCCTCTTTTTTATATTGTTCTTTCACCTTCACCTTGTTTTTTCTTCCTTTTAGCCTCACATTTCTTCCTTTTTACCTTCATTTCCTCATTCTTTTAACAGTCTTATTCGCGTTTATTCTTCTTTTTGCTGGGACCGAAAAAGCATTGGTAAAGAGTCCCAGCAAAAAGAAGATAACATTACCAGGGCACTGATAAGATTCCTATTGATACCAAAGTGGTACATTCTGCACTATTCAATATTGAAAATAACCAAATTTGATATTAATACTTGCATGGCTACATGTCATAGAACTGTGGTTTGAATCCACTTTCTAAGCAGAATTAATCCTTAAAAGTGTTCTAAAGTGTGACGTCACCAAAAACCTATTTTTAGAATCTTTGAATTTTTGCCACATAACATAAAAGATCACCATGAAATAATTTCAAATATGTCAAATTAGTCAAAGATGTCTAAAATCGGTTGAGATATTGCCAATGAAAGATTTGAAGTTTGCTAACGAATCACTGCTATTTTGGCTCTGTTCATATAGTTATGAACAAAAACAAAAAAAATCAGATGATTGATGGGGAAAGAGCCAAGACACATGTGGCCATATATCGGCCGCCAATTCGTCACACATTTGACTGATTTTGCACATTTAGAGGTATTTCTTTATGTTCTTTCAGGCTACGAGACCCGAATTCAAAAGTTCTAAAAGCAGATTTTTGTGACGTCATCACTTTAAAACTCTATTGTAGTGAGCTATAGAGTACCGAATGTGACGTCATCAAAAATCAATTTTTGGAATTTTTTTATTTCGACCACATAATCTGAAGGAATGGCATAAAAAACCTCTCAAGATGCAAAATCAGTTAGATACATTCAAAATTGGGCGAGATATGGCTAATGAAAGACTTCAGGTTTGCTAACGGATTATTGTTACCAAAACGAAATTACAGAGATTTGGTGGGGCAAGAGCCTCTGATCATGTGGCCATATCTCCTCCAATTTGTAATACATTGTACTGATTATGCATAGTTAGAGATATTACCTGATGCTCTTTCAGGTTAGGGATCAAAAATGAAACATTCTAAAAACAATAAAAACAAATTTTTGTAACGTCATCACTTCGGTACTCTAGTAGTTTTCTGCCATTCCATGCTGTGGAGACGTAAAATAAGAGCACTGCCTTATATTAGAAACGTAGGCTCTTTCAAAGGATGCTCTGTAAAAATCATACAGGAATGTTAGATTTCTGTTAATTTCCTTCAAATTAGCGTTACATTACTTTTTTGGTAATCCTATGCAACAAGCGTATGTTTGCAAAAAGTTTGTGATTATTGTTATGTCAAGTTGTGGAGTGGGGATTACCCAGTGGAGTGGGGATTACCCTACGCGGAGCTTGGAATCAGGGACGGATTTATAAGGGGGTGTGAGGGGTGCAACACACACCCCCCCCCCAATATTTGTGTTCCTTTGAGTAAATTTTGCTTCGATTTGATAAAAAGCACTTTTTGATAGTCAGTTGTAACAAAATGATACAAAAATTACTTAATTTACATACCCTGCTTAGTATACACCAGGTAATGATGATATTTTTTGTCTACAAGGGTTAGGAATTCAATTCGTTGATGATTTTCTTATATATTGCATTCTACAGCACCACCCGATGCCAAGGCTAGCTCGATCGTTGTCTGTTGAAAGTCCAAGCAAACATAAAGAAGACATTTTTGGTATGGAGTTTATATTTTGTATTTTAGCATAAAGATAAACCTTTATCCGTGTATTTAAGCTTTACCCATGTTGTGTATTTTGTTCTTGTTGCATTTTTTGCTGTCCCGTAAACTGTCAATACGTTCAGTCCTGGTCATCACTGAATGGTGGCTCAAAAACTGTTTTTTGCAAATCGTAGCCTAAACTTTAGACAGTTGAAAATCTTTGATTCGTATATCCCAACAAGCTATCTATTCTTGAAATTGTCTTCTGGCCTGCTATCTAATTGCAACTGTAGATTTTCTAGAAGTTGAAGCAGGTGCTATTTTAAAAAGATGTCTGTTGAGAATCCGTTTTGTTTCCTTTTGAAAAACGATAAGTGAATTCCAGAATCATTTGGAAAAATAGGCTATGACGACAATATAAAGTGACATTGGAATGTTACCTGCCACGCCTAGCATTGAACTTTTTGCGCCAGTATATACTTTTTATTTCTCAATAAGATGACTAGAAAAGGGAAAATTGTTCTTACATGATCCTGTATAAATCTTGCTTTGAAACGTCTGGTTCAATGTTTATATGCATCATCCAATTTCATCCAGGTTGTGATGACAAAAATTTAATCGGTGACAAATCGAAGGTGGGTAGAAAATTTGTAAGAAGCTTTTAAGAGATCTTTTTTCTATGTCAAAAATTTGGAACATCGCTAGCATATGTTTGAACGCAAAGAAATGTGTTAGTGGGTTTGTTTTATCCTGCCTGGCTGTGTTGTTCCTTTGATGTTTATTACCACTTAGATGATATAATGTGATGATATAATTAAGAGTTTTATGTTGCATATTTCTTAAGTATTATTAGGCTATCCCTTTCTTTATGTTACTTTTCTTTGATTATTTAAGCAGATAATTTTAGTAGCAAAGATGAGTTCGAAAAGCCCAGAAAGTTATTAAAATTCTGACCTATCTTAAATTGTATTATAAAAACGTGTTTTACACTCCCTTGATTCCCTGTTCATTCTTTTGCAGCCATGCTGTTTGCCGTTACTTGAAAAGGGACAGCATCCAGATCTCAAGTCAATTTCACCTGCAACGGTATAATGCGTTTGTGCATGTGTCTGAAAAGATTTGTCTAAATCCGCGCCTTGAATCATCACAAATCTCGCTTGATCATGATATATTTTATTTCAAAACGAACTTTCGATTTCCATTTGCACAACCTATATCATGTTACGATTTTTTCGATTTTTGTCACATATAGGATAAGTGCTATTCAGTTTTGTTAGGTTTTTTCGAAACAATCTTACGGTGCATCCATTTCTGCTTGGCTTGCATCATGTAAGATGAACACTATGTGATTTTTGTTGGGTTTTACGGAACTGTGTGGCAATTTTCCTGATTTTCTTAGTTTTTCGGGGATAGCATAAACGCTATGCCATTTTTGTAAAGAGAAGCAAATCAACTTACTTTATAGTTTCTCTCCTTTTCTCTAAACTTTTCGAACTCTTGCATAGAAACTCTGATACCTAATAATCAATTTTAGCTATGCAAGGTTTTGGATGGAGAGTATAGCGGAATTTTAGACGAAGCTATTATTGTCGATTGCCGATATCCGTATGAGTTCAAAGGTGGTCATATCAAGGTTTGTTCCCTTTGCACCAATTCTTGAATCACTGTGGTAAAAACTGTGGCATATGAACTGAACACTTCTCTCCAATGTGATCTCCTGCAGTTGACACGCCCCCTTTCTCGATTTGAGCATTGTACAATAACGAAAAACAACAGTTCTTTTATTCAAGGCACAAAATGAATATTTCATCAAAGTGTTGGCCCTATTCATATTATTTTCAAACATTAGATCTAGCAAGTGGTTGCGATAGCATGTTAGATCAATCCAAGTGTTGCAATAGGGTACAGGTTCCTGCCCTGTCGCTAACTTTGACGTAATCCGAACTTCTCTTCAATACCTTTATTTTACTGTTTTATGACCTGATATACTTGAATTTGCTGTTGTCTTTCAATCCGCCCTTTGAAAAGTCTAATTATATCATGTTTTTTACTGGTTTTTTGTTTTGTGCAGACTGCAATTAATATCTACACGAAGGAAGAAATGGTAGAGCAGTTTTTACAGAAATTGAAGTCTCAGCCAAGCAAAAGAACTGCGATCATATTTCATTGTGAATTCTCGTCGAAGAGAGGTCCAACACTGTAAGTATACTTTTTGTTTTTGTTTTTTGTTTATAATAGATTGGATGTTGTTTGTCAATGCTGAGAAACTCGTGTGTGTTTTGCGAGGAGACAATCTTTCTTTTGAAGAAGCTGTGATACAAATATAAGATGGGTTTTTTATTGGCATCATGTCAGGATATAAGTTCTATATTCAAGCTTTGATATTTGAATATAAGGTCCGACTCAGTTGAGACGAACCTGTTGTAAGGGATGATAAGCATTTGCCTGTTAAATGTAGCTCGATTCAGCAGAAATCCCTAGCCTATGCTCAACGTTTTACAATGTTTTTTATATTCTTATGCAAAGATCTTATGCATTTTATAAGAATTATCTTTTTTCCGAGAAACAAGCCTCCTTGGTAGCATAAACTATTAACTATCATGCTGGCTGCCTTCTAATTGAAGAACTGGGTATTTCCGACCATGTGACAAATCTACCTCTAGGGCAGTGAGGGCAAAGGCCCCCTTTCATGGCAAAGGCCATGAATTCGTAATAACAAAAGCTGTAATAACAATTTCCGGTTATGTCACTGATTTTTGTTTAATCTCTTTTCAGGTGCCGGTTTTTGCGCAACAAAGACAGGGACATACACAGGACGTGTTATCCAACCTTGTTTTATCCTGAGCTGTATATTTTGGAAGGTGGCTATAGAGATTTCTTTAATGAAAAGAAGGTAAGGAATTCACTATGCCAACGCTGTTCAGTTTGAAGAGATGCTTAATTTGTTACTGGGTGTCCTTTGAAGTCACATTGACTTTATTAAGCACTTTATTTCGTCCTCTTTAGACCTACAATGCCTGCCAAAAATACTTGAAACAACCTGCAATTTGCTCTGCATTTTATATCTTTCATTACTTTTCCGAAAAAAATACTACTTCCGCCCCTTCCCCCTAGAACAATGTTGATAGTTTATTTAAAAATCACAATAGAATCCCAAAAATGTTCTTTCTTAGCCCCTTACCCGTTTTGTAGTAAACCATCATTGTTCTCTGGAGGAGAGGGAGATGATTGATTTTGACCTTGCAAACTAAAGTGTTCCAAGACTTTTGGCAGGCATTGTACCCACAATCTAATTCTAGCTTTGCTCTGTTTTTTTCAAAATATAAGATGCCGTTTCACAGCACTCTCTATTCCGTACATAGCAATAGATATTAAATTTTGTTCAATACCAGGATCTTGTTAACAAGCTCAAAACTTGCTCATTGCGGCATTTCAGTTAAAGTCCCAGTGTGCTCTTTCTGACAAGCTTTGGTGTGCTTGTCTCCCACAATTATCTTTCGATTCCCTGTTACCATACATTTTGAATTATGATTTTTCAGTTTATATATCTTCAAGTACTTGAAGACGTCTCTAGCCTAGAAATATATATTCAATCGCTTCAATGTTTTAATTATGTGCAATATTGACGACGCTATTGGTCACCTTCATCAATTTTGCCTTATCAGCACATGCGCACGATAGATCTTCATCATATCCGTGTTTAGCATCTTGAAATGTCAATGGGTTGACTACCTCAGCCAGTACTTTTGTATTTTGGATTTAGTCTTGCTGTCAGGTAGCAAAATGTCAGCATAAAAATTCAGCCTGTCGTTGAATACAAAGGGTTCTTTGAGAGCGTATGATGCAGTGTCAGTTGAGCACCTGCCATAAACTCTATTAGAAGCTCGTGGTAGAAACAAGCATTCCTTCATGACCCATTGTTGTTTTTGAATGCATGTTAAAATACATATATTGTTAATATTTCATGATCAGGTTGATAATTCCTCTGTTCAATGCTTTTTAATTCCCTGTTAAGTTTTTGTTATGATTCAAATTAGAATCGTTTTTGAATATCACGATTCTCTTCCTTAGGAGTATTGTGAACCGCAAGCCTACCTTAAGATGGTTGATGAAAAGTTTTCTCAGGATTTAAAACATTTCACCAAGAGATCAAAATCATGGAGCGGAGAGAACAGTCGGATGAGATGTGGCTTGAGATACTAATTTGTGTAATTATCAATCGATTGTAAATGGAACCAAACAGGGCTTGATGAAATAAACCTTTTGCCAGATTAATATTCTCCCTACATTAATTTTGATTTGAGCATCTTTCGATAACTGCCGATTGGGATCCAAAAATCCACCTCGCAACAGCGTTATTCCCAGGCTTCCAAACTGTTGACTTTAAGAATAGTTTTGAACACTGTGCATAGAGTTGTACGATGTTTTTCTTTTACTGTTGAAAGTGAATCTCCCTGTAACGTGTTCTGACAGACACAATGACGCCCTTTTAAGTTCCTTAAGATAATCGAAGATTTTCACTGACGTCATTTTTAGAATCCAACCGTTGTTCTTCCATCTATTGCGGTTGGTTTTGAAAACAAGTTGTTCTGTAACGTGGGCGATAACTCTGCCCCCCTCCTGCTGTTTCCTTTTATTAAAGAGGGTTTTATTTCACTGTCGTCATATAAGAGCGCAGAATTTGTTTCTTTCTCCCGCTGTTCAGTATGATGCTCTTTGATAGCACATTTTATTCACCACTTCAATGCCAGTCATTGGTCATTACCCCCAAATGCAAACTTGAAAGATGGTTGCTTTGATTAATATACTATGCTCAACTGTTCAACTTCAAGATAAGGCTTACTTACTGTACATTGTACTGTACATTTTTATGTAACGGATTAAACGGAAGAATTTTTAACAGCTAGGAAATGACGACATTTTGCCAAGATCATTTTGTCTGACATAGCCAATGCCTGACCGGGACCCATTTTCCTCCCAACTGTGACCAACTCCCAACTAAATTTAAACTGGGCGTCATTTTGTTCATATTTCCTGACAAAGTATAATCATTTTTTCTCGTATACCTACACTATCTGTCTCTTTTTAATGCTTAATTTTGTTTTAATTCTGGCCCACGCAGGGCAACCATGTGTAAGTCATTTTTTCAAGTGCATCGTTGTAAAATGGCGTATCGCTCACTACATTCTGTCTTAAATTAATTCAGCTACATGAAATGACGTATTTGGCTTAATTTAAATACATGTGCTGGCACATTTAAGCCTTTCTTCGTTTTTAGTTGACTAGTAGAGTGCAGTAGCATTTATGTACAAATTCGCATTTAAATACATTGCATTGCTGTAGAGGAAGAGTAAATTGGTGGGAAACCCCTCCGTGGAATCCCCCTGTCGAGCCTTATTTCTTTTGTTTGCTTATAAGATATTCTTTCACTCGTTTAAGGTATATATTAATTATCCACGAGCCTTAGTGGTGCCTGAAATGAGAATAAGAAAGTAGTTTGTAAAGAACTCTATTTCGAATACGTCAAAGGCTCCAGGTTTAAATAAGTTCTAATTTTAAGCTTTTTCCTAGGAATAATTAGAACTTTAGAAAATTTGCTTTTCTTTGCATTTGCACGTTTTCAGCTATTTAGCTGGCTCTGCTCCATTTGCACGTTTTAAGCTATTTGGCAGGCTCTGCTCCATTTTGAATACCTCTGTGTGATGCACAGCTTTGTTAGTCTGAAGTGCTGATATCGTTATTAAAGGCAGTCTGTCCCCTATTGTGCTCAATTTAATTTTCACGGGAGTGAAATTCATGCACCGTTGAGCTTGATCGATCATTAAACGATTTAAACCAATCAGAGACAACTCTGATTCTTTGGAATCAAATGGCTGTGTTTCTATTGTAGTGAAGCTGTGGCTAGAAATATCTGGTTCCCTGTTTGGTTTCTGCGACAGATAAGTCAACAGGGAAAAGAAATGCTGCCATTATCATCATTCAATTCCAGTAATTAAATCTTCTTGCCATTTCCGATAGCCTTTTGCTCGCAGTTTACCTGGTCGTCCACTTCCGCAGCTAGGCCAGCCAAAGCGAGCATCGTAATACTTTAAGGTAGGATAAACTATTGTTCATATTAGCCAATCATTGAGGGGACAGATTGCCTTTAACTAAAGGACAAAATCCAGTTTTATGGAAATTAACTTTGTCCTATCATAATGACTTTGGTTTTTTTAAGATAGTGCTGCTATCCACTAATGCTACACTGTAATTAACTGTACATCATTATCAACTTTTGCACCAATCAAAGTAAAGATTACCTTATTATAACCATCACGTAACCGTCGAAAGGAAATCCTTTATTCCTACTGCAGCGTTGTGTTATACAAGACAGCATTGCATCATTTAAAGATTCTTGAAGCTAAGTAGGACCTAGATGAACTACAGTAATCAGTAGGGCCCAGGTGAACTACAGTATTCACACAGGCTCTATTGCTATTATGCTGTGACGTCATAAGTGCTTTGAGTTGGACATTGGACTGTAGATATCGGAGCACCAAAATTTTGAAAAACATTTAAAGATTTCAGTTAAGGTATCTAGAAGTCCTTTAACCGTGTTAAATTCATGCATGCAACAGACCCAGTGCATTTTTCAGGTTTATACCGTATGGATGGTTGTATTGTCTCAAAAGAAAAAGTCAATCACTTTTTTCATTTTCCTTATAGTTTTTTTCGTATTTTAGGTAGTTTGTTAGCCATTATGAAACCAATAGAGTTTTCCGCAACGCCAAAAGAAGACCCCAGCATATGACCACCGCCTCTATATTCTTAAGCCCTGCAACATCCAATCTTCTTAATGATATCAGTAATTAGTTGTCAATTTTGATCGTTCTTATTTTGATTTGAATAAGATTACTTTATTCTTATTAACCTTAGGTAATTTATTAAAATTGTACATTAAAGGTGTTTTATGTATTGTTTTAAAATATTTTGTGTTTTTTCTTATATCAACCTTGATTTTGAATTTTAGCGCTTCACAAGTTTACCGTCAAACCTGATTGCATTGAGATATTTAGAGGCAGTCGACAGATATAAAAGTGGCCTAAGCCATCTGCCAATCAAAATTAGCCAATCAATGGAATCACACTTACTGATTGGTCAATTTTTGACTGAAAGATGACTTAAGCCCCTCTAGTATTTGTCGACTGCCTTTTGAGATCTTTAGACCCTTTAGGCATATAATCTGATGCGGTAAAATGTAGACCTTTAAACTTTTCCGATTATTCAGATTCGTCCAATTATACAGATTTGTCCGAGTATTCAAACTTTCAAGGAATTTTTTAGGAAACTACTGTTAGTTAATGAATTGCCTGGACAAAGACAATTGTGAAAGGAAAAAGCTTTGTCTTGTAACTAAAAAAAACTTTTGAATTATTGGAATCAGGCTTTTGAATTATTGGACTAATTGCCAAATACCATTTTAGCGCCTTACTCAATTTTAAGAAGCTCCTTGTTTATGCATAGTCGTATATTCCACTTCAAACATTCCCATTGGCTAATTAGCTGGTCACGTGACATCATAAGTATTTCACTTTTGTACAATGATAAGAAACTGTCGACTAAACACCTGTATGAATGTGTATTCAATAAGCAATCATTCTCTGAATCAATTTTGGTAATTTACAATATAAATCCTACTGCTTCGCCCATGAATATTACCTTGTTGCTTTTAAACTATCATTTTACCTAAAAAGTTCTTATACAGATTCAAATAGGGCTGTCAGTGTTTGGTAAAAATGCACTGGTAACACAAACTTGGCGCTTTTTGTGGCTGAAGAAATGTCTGCCTCAATGTCTCATTAATATTTATCATATCATCAGACATTGTTATTCATGAGATTGTAATCCCTAAACCTCATTTTCATTTGCTCAAATACAAATTCAAACTTCTTTAAATTTTGGTCAGTACAGTCCAATCATAAACTCTCGGTTTTTCCGTGTACCAGTGGCTCAAATCGTTTTGTTGTTTTTGCAGGTAATTTCCTACGCCAAATGGGACAAAGCAGCAGTAAAGAAGCAACTGGTGAGTTAGTTTTTCATAATGGTTTTTGCTAATACTAATTTCCGCATTATTTATTTAAAATTAACCACTATCCTATATAAAGCTGTCTCGTGGAAGTCATTTGTCGACCTAATTTTGCTGAGAGTCATATGCAGCCAATTCATCAACTGTACTTCTTTTTTATTAGAAACTGACTATAAGAAAAGAGAACTTGGGCGGTCGGAAAAGTTTAAGAAACTTAAGTACTCGAAGCAAATAAATTATAAACACTATTGAATTTTGAAAAAAAAACTCGGAAATTTCGGGAACTGGTTGGCATAAACATTAAGACACAGATGGAAAATATACTCCCCCCCCCCTCTAAGTACAGCATTAGAACAGAAGCAAATCTCCTGACAGAAACGTCATGAACATTTGGAAACAATAGAAACATCGACAATTGTCTTTATTTGAAGCAATGAAGAAGCAGCAATGAGTAATGGAATTTCATAAAGCGTTTTGAAACTCGAGCACTCAACGTCGACCTTCCTTTCTAAAAGAATGAATTTAGTATCATAAACACGTTTTTCTTTCCACATTTAATCTAGATTAGTTTTCGTAATTGAGATCTTCTTGATAACTTAGTCTGTAATGGGTTCTTGACAATATATTCACATAGGTTCCTTGTTCAGATAACCACATCATCTTGGCTACGCTTGGTATCATGTCTTCAAATAAACGGATTTTGTTCTTTGCTAAGCACCGAATTGGAAACGGTTTCTTTGGATAATCTTCCCTATTTACAAGAGTTTCAAGAAATAAGCGAGTGTTGATGATCTTTACATGCATTTTTCTTCCAGCGAGCAATAGAGTTAAAGGCTAGATAAAAGGGAATGCTTCCCAGTGGGGGAATCTGAAATAAAATTCCTACTAGAAGCTTCTAGGGGGGGGGGGCAGTTTCATGGCACCCAAAAGTTCCCCAAAATCTAAGCCTATTGTTACGATTCTTTGTGGTTTTGCTCATTGTTCCCCTAACACTAAGAAACTTTTAACACTAAGTGGAAATAGTGGACATCAACCTAAAATTAATCACATTAATGGGGTAGCTTCGCTGGCTCCCTTGTCTATGACTGCAAGTACTGTGGAGCTATTGTAGCCCCCTAGCAGGGAACTTTCAACTTTTGCCATCTGTCTTCACTTTCATTGGCTGCAACAACAACAAAAGATTTATGCTGTCTACACTAGGCCAAAGTCGGCATCAAAGATAAAGATCATCCTGGGATGCAGTTAGTCGGCAATCTTTATTTTAGCTTCAATTTTAGTATTCCGTCGTCGTAATTTAAAAACAGTTTTGTAAAATCCTAATTTGATATTGTGGTTTTAATGCTGTGAGGTTTTTAATGAGAGGCTTTATAAACATGGCAACAGAATGAGCAGATGTGTGCTTCCTTCATTGAACTCAGAAATTTGCCAATGTTACGAGATTATCGTTTCTAAGCAGACTGAGGAAAGAGACTTAAATGATTAGAAAGATTTTGAAGTAATTTCCTTTAATATTAGAGATGTTTTCAATCAGATGTTTGTTCTGCATGTTGAAAACGGTGTCTAACAGTTCATTACGGGAAAGGATTGGTTTTGTTTGTTTTACGTTTGCAAAAAACGTTTTAGCATTTCTAGGCGCCTTTGTTACTAGAAGAAAATGTTCGTCATTTACTAGAAAAAATAAAATATTCACCATACTTTATGCGCGGTTGATATTTCGCACTCTTGTATTCGAGGCAGGCTTTTGATTTCTACGTGGAACACTAAGTGGAAATAGTGGACATCAACCTAAAATTAATCACATTAATGGGGTAGCTTCGCTGGCTCCCTTGTCTATGACTGCAAGTACTGTGGAGCTATTGTAGCCCCCTAGCAGGGAACTTTCAACTTTTCAATTTACCATTTACCAGAAATATGAAGTTAAAACGTTATTAGCAGATTGGGTGCTATGAACAGTTTTCGGGGAGTCTAATTCAAGTTGATAGCAATTGCATTTTGTGTTGATGTTTAAGCAATAACTACACTAGCTTTTAAACAGTCATGTGTAGCAAATACAGTCAGCTTTTCAAGTGCACGTCTTATAGGGATAATCAACAGCACTGAAGGCTATCCTCTAGGTTTAAAGACCTCTACAGGAGGCGTGGTTCTTTTTAGAGGTGTGGCCGGTGAGGGGAAGTGTGGCTTTTTCGAAAGATTTTCAGCAGCCATGTTACCAAGGCATCACCTGTCTTGCTTCTACGTTTTTCATTAATTCAATCTGCGAAAACATCAAAACAGTGAACAAAGCTTAACAGTACTTAACTCCTTTTGCTGGTTCTTTTTCACAACTGCATGCTTCAATTATGTCTAATTCAGTTGATCCGGTTGTTTTTTTCTTTTAAAAGCCGCCATTTGGTTGATAGAATTATTTTTTGTCATGCCACGATGCCAGAGATAGCGAGTTCCTTCCACTTTTTGTTTCCACACTGCCATCGCTGTTTCTCTGTTTTGCTTCGTTCCTTTAGTTTGCTTGAGATCTTTTATTGTGAAATTTTATTTTAGTTATCTTTGTTTCACTCTGTCCGCTCGCTTTCTTTTTGTTCAACACTGTTCAATGTTAAGATTCAAAATTACCTGTCAGGCTTTATGTTGAAATATTGCAGATTGGTTAAACTTTTTGATCTATAATGTGGCTTCTTTTATTAGGAGAGGATCATTTTTCTTAGACTCAAGGAAAACCATTACTGTGGCACGACACTAAAGTTCACCCAAACTTTTGCAGATAGTCATGAGGCTTTGGTCTCCCACTCTATCATTTCATTGGCATCGTGCATATTACGAAACTTGTTTGGAATTGTCTAGTTTCCATACTGTACTACCTGATAGTCATAAATAAGCATGATTAATAGTGATAAATTAGCATGATTAATAATTTCAATTAAAGGGTAAGGGTTAGGGTTAGGTTTGGGTTTAAGGTTAGGGTTAGGTTTAGGGTAAACTAATTATGTCATCAGGTCGAGCAGTATGGAAACTAGACAGCTCCAACTTGTTTTTGGGTTTTTCTCAACAGTTGAGTCCAGGAATAAGGGTTGTAGGTTGATTGAAAAAGCAAGCTGCATTGTTGGGGTGTGACCCTGCACCTTCGTGTTGTAAAGTCTAATAAAATGAAAACGATTCATTCTTTCTTTATGGCTCTCGTCTTTTTAATATCTTTGTAGGTTCGACGCAGATAGGAGGCCAGACTTACGGGCAAAGCCTCGTTTCATCAAGCAGAACAAGCACGAGCAGCTTTGACTCATGGGATAGCTATCCTGCTTTGATACCGTCCCGCTCCACAGCACGGGAACTCAGGATTAAAGAAGGAGACAACATTGCTTGCAGAATCTTCAAAGTACTCGGCTGTAAGTTAATATGTGGAAGTTAAGGGAGTTTTGTCATTGTCCCTTATTCCAACCGAAGAAGGGTCTCCAGTAAAACTCTAGCTATATGGAGTTTCCATTTTTCATCTTCCAATGGAGCCTCGTTATTCCAATTTTTTCAAAAGCGAATATTAGCCAGTGTCTCCTAGCTTTCCTTATTTCCGTTATAGATCTGAAGAGAAAAGTTACAAAAAAAGATTGTTCTGCTCTCGAGAAATCAGAGACAATGTTTCCTGGTAAATGTACCTTAGAATTTGTTTCCTCGGCCTATTAATTTGCCATGTGTTGTACATAGCCGTTTTCCACTGTTAATGTTATTTATAACGACAGAAATCAGATTTCTTCAGGGTTTCAGTAAAGTTCACAAAAGCATTGAGCATGTACGCCAGTTGACAAGGCAGTATGCAAAAATCGATTCTTTATTCAAGGTTGGCTCCGAATTTTTTCTTGCTGAATAATAAATTATGATAAACCTCAATTCGATAAAACATGTTTATATAAGAAAAGAGGAGACAAAATAAGGAGAAGTCGATTGGTCGAAAGGGAGTGTCATAAGACTAGGCCTATCAAAATAATATTCTGAAAAAACAATAACAAAACCGCTCCATTCTCTTATTTTTCAATTTTATACCGTTTCCTGGAAAATCCTCAAAAACCATTCTTGAAATGTTTCATAATAGAATGTCACAGACGCCTGACAGTTAAACAAGCAGAAGTTAATCTATTGCGTAAATAAATTATGCAATATACATTAAGTGATTTGCTAAGTAATCGTTAGCTATAAATCACAAAAACAAATCAGATGACTTATCTTGGCTTATTTAGCAAATCTTATTGCTTTAATATGTTGGTAATTACTCAAAATTATTTTAAGTTGAAACAACTAGCTCCTCAATGAAGTGTCCGGATTGTCCGCCAGTCAAAAGTCTAGATGAGCTTGTGAAGTGCACAAAGTTTTCTCGTATTGAGTTGCAACATATGTACGAAGGGTTCAAAAATGTAAGTTGTTTTGAACTTCCTAGAAAAACTGTCATTGACTGCCTCCTTGTATTTATTTGCCCCTGTAATTACGCATTCTATTTTCTGTCTTTCATTCTCCTAGAATGACTTCATACAGTATTGGCTAACAGATGTGCTCAGCAGTATGTATGCAAGGGGCACAAACTCTCACCTTATGTTTCCAGTTTCCAATAGCGAACGTTAGGGGGGCATTGGGGCCCCAGCAGACCCCCAACCAGCGTTCTCGTTAGTAAATTCGGGCTTTCGACAGTTAATAGACGAACGTTTAACGTGCCCATCCAAAATGTTATATTGTCAGAAAACCATGGTCCTGATCCCACCACACCCCCCCCCCCCTCATCCCCCAAACGAAAGCCTGAATTTCTGCCACTGTTAGTTTTAGTTGTCCAGTCACTTTGCTCTCTCTGCCCCATTGTGCAAATATCTTATTTGTACAATAATGCTCCGTTGTGTGCAAGAGAATCTGCAATAAGATCATCAATATAAAGCAGGTTTATGTCATGCACTATAAGCTAAAATAGTTCTTTTTTCCAAACAATGCCTTCCCCTGTTATTCAATACTCCTGTTATCCAAATTTTTCAACAAGTTTTACGAGTCTTTTTTCTTTACATGACAGGACTGTCCCGCTGGAATCGTCAATAGAGAAACATTCAAAGAGCAGTATGCAAATCTCTTTCCAGAGGGAGGTTCGCCTTTTGTGTTTCTTACAGTACGATTCAATTAACCCTTTGATAAGATATTTCTCAATATATAATTGGTTTTTGAATGTGCGTCTAGGATTATTATAAGAATACATCATGAACAAGTGAAGTTACAACGAAGTTAAGCTTCTTGGCAATTTTCCTTTGACTGTGTTTCTTTGCTTGTGTAGACTTTGATAATATGAGAAGTTTTATGATTTTAAACTTAATAAAAATCTTCTTCAAAATATACCTTGCTGAGCATACCTCTTAAGCACAGGGTTGCCAGATGCTTGAAATGGTTGGCGGCCAAATATTTTACGCGTGACGGCCAAATTCGGCCAGCCAAACAAAATATACAAAAAAGCTACATTTTGGCCAAGTCTTTAGAGTAATAGTGTAATCATAATTGGCTTTGTTTGTTAAAAAAGCTCCAACTTGCTTTCAATTTCAATTTTCTGTTATCTTTTCCTTTATTTCTTGCTTTGTTATTTGCAACTTTGAGATTATTTTAACAACATGTTGAATATTTTCTATGCTAAATTTGTCATTTTCTTTGTATTTTTGTGGCTTTCAACATGCGGCCAAAATTCGGCCAACTTTTACTTTTTCGGCCAAATTAATTTTAGACGGCCAATAGCTTTTGAAAACGGGCAGAATAGAGGAATTTGGCCGTCCAAACGGCCAAATGGCAACCTTGGTTAAGCAGGGCCGTCGCTAGCGGGGGGGGTTCAGGGGGTGCGGCACCCCCCTAGAAAGTTCTTGTCGGCAAATTTTCTAAAAGTAGAGTTTTGTCGGGTTTTGCTTTCAAAGTTCCCAAAGCAATAGCTTTAGCGAACAGTTGGGATAAGATGAGGATGTGAACTTAAAAGTATTGCCCAAAAGCCCTCAGCAATTCAAAACAGGAAAAGATAGCGCTATGGGTGTCACGGAGGGACAAATGTCCCCCCAAAACTTCAAATGACTCACTTTTGGCAGCCGGAGTCTAGAATCTAATGTCCAATGTCCAGGGCGACCTAATTTCTACCTAAAGTTTGGGGTTTAGGGAAGGGTCGAAGTTTATTGAAAAACTCTGAACGTTGATCCTGGGGGTACTGGAAGGGACTGTAAGCAGGAAAAGGGGGCAAAGTGCCTCAGGGCCTTGAGGTCGAGGGGGCCTTAAGTCGTAATGAACTCCATTTTAAGCATGAAATCAATGAAACGTAGAAGAAGTATGCCTAAAAATAGTAAAACGCTCTAAAAGATTGCAAGAAATGACTGCAAGAAATATTCTGAAATGCATTTTAAGACAATCTAAAGGGCGTGGTCGCAAAAAATTTTCTGCTTGCTCCGCTCGCAGGGGGACCTCGTCTTTCGGTTTTGTTTCAAGGCCTTCAAAACCTAGGTACCCATAGTCACTCGAAAATTGAAGCGATGATTGACTAACGAGAACATCCTCTTTGATAAACAAAATCAATTGCGTCAAAATGCCACACCCCCACATTGAAATATGTTAGGCCACGCCCTATTTGTCGGCAAATTGGTGACTGGCACCCCCCTAAGTGAAAGTGCTTAACGACGGCCCTGTGGTTAAGCAATTGAAAGATAATCAAGTGTTGAATTGTTGATTAAAAAGCCGAATGGAGTATAAGTTTTGGCTCGTTTCCAGATCCTTTGCTGTTGAAGAGAAACGGTTGAAGTGAAGAATTGAGAAAATTGAGGCTGAAAGCTTTAGCCAAACAATTCAATTTTTTGCTAGATCTTTCTCTCAACCTTTGATCTCAAAATCGAGCGAAGTCGAGCATGGATGGCCAAACAATTTGATTTCTCGCTCGATTTTTCACTCGACTTTTCACTCGATTTTTCACTTGACTTTTTGCTAACGCCAACAAAATGAAGGCAAAGTAACGCAAAGCGGCTGCCGTGCTTATCTTACATGCAAATGTGAAATGTCACTAACTACCGTCACTAACTATTTTATTTCGTTTAAGCAAATGACTTTTTCAAGGCATATTTTTTTTATTTTTATTAATTCCATTCTCAAAATGGAATTCATCACTTTAAGAGGTCCCCTTGACCTTGAGGCCTTAGGGTAGTATGCTTCCCTGTCCCCCTTTAGCCGCCCCGCTCTCGAATATATCCATAGCTCTTTTAAAAATAACTAAGCATAAGAGATGATAACTGCGCACGCGCTCACTCGACTCGCTCGACAAGGAGGCCAAACGACTCGATTTTATCTTGTTGAGTAAAAAATCGATTGAAAAATCGAGTTGTTTGGCCGGGGTTTAATGAACCCGGCTGCCCTAGGTTAATTGCCAATAAAATCAGCATTTGTCGATTGAAACCGTGTCAAGCAAACATTCTTCCTCTCTTGCGTAAGGATCCTATCATGGCAGTTCGTTTTTCGAGTGTCAGTTTACTCTCTTAAAACTTCTCCTGCTGAATAACTTTGGTAAATATTTCGCGACTGACTTAGTTTTTTTCTTGCTCATCAAATAACATGTAACACAATCATTAAATTCCTTTAATAAATGTCATTGAATTTTTATTCGTTCTCCTTCGTAATCTTTATTTCTTCAATAAGATTCTTCATTGTATGCAAACGTCATATTCAACACATTCGACACTAATAAAGATGGCAAGATCAACTTTCAGGTAAACTTAAAATTTCTTTTTGTAAATTCTTATTTCATTTTTTATTCTATTACATAAACTATTTTCTTGAAAATCTTCATACATGTCGATTGTATTCGGGGTAATCTTACAGTCATGAGCCTGTTACGCTGGAAAATGGCATTAGCCGGTTTAACTTCTGGGCCGAAATAAAGCCAGCGATGAACTAATTGCATTAAACCAATTAGAAAACAGCATTTACACGGGCCCAGATCCTGATAACTTGCTCTTTCAAGCAGTGTTTTTTTACGCGTACATGTTGTCTGAATTTAATCTAAAGCCTGGTTCCCACTTGGTCGTTTGGGTCGTTAGAGTCGTCAGAGTCGTTCCTGAAAGACACGAACGACCCAAAGAACACATTGGTTTCCACTTGGTCGTTTGAGCCTCTCGAGTCGTTTGTTGTTGATGCTGTCCATTGCTTGCACCATGCATCGCTCATTTAATTTTGGCGGCATGCGTGGAAGGAACGATGGTAGCATTTGATAAACAACAACTGATGTTGCCAAGTCAACTATTTCTACCTCTGGTGACTTTGTACAGACGACGATGTTAGATCACTAAATTTCAGTGCAATAGCTTGCCATTATTTGATATTTTTGTATTTACTTTCAAACTCTTTCCAGTAGTTGTTATAATGGCACTCGTATTTTTGAACTTCTTCCATAAAGCTTTCTGTGAAATATTCAGCTATCTTGTTCTTGTTCTAGTCAAACACGCGGTTACAAGAAAATCTCCTATTCTTGAAGAAAAAGTTACTAAAGCGTGGGTCGTTTCAGTCGTCTGAGTCGTTCGTCGGTTTCCACTTGCAAAAATCATTCATGCGTGGGTACTTTGGGTCGCAGAGATAGAATTTTTTCGATCTCTGCGACAACTGTCGTTTGAGTCTTTCGGGTCTTTTGGGTTGTTGGCAGGTATGTTTCCACTGAGTCTTTTCAGTCGTTTGGGCATTTTCCAACGACCCAAACGAACAATTGGGAACCAGGCCTAAATGGTGCCTTCAGTGCCATGGAGCCTACAAGATTATTTTGAAAGTCAGTGTTGATAGTTTAAGTTGTCCTGTCTTGCTCGATGATCAAACCTTAAAAGTCTAAGCAATTGCTTTCATTTCCCAACGAAATCAGCATTAATTTTAAGTGGTCACAAAGTAGCACATTGACGCAAATATTTACCTCGATTCAACTTCGGCCTGACCGAAACCTAATCTAGTTCAAAGCTAGGGCAGTTTTTGGGCCGAAATTGGATCCGTTAAACAGTTTAGAGCCATGATTTCAATCTCATGTGAACGCAAGCATTTTTTGGATCATAGAGCCAGTTTTTTGTGTATGTGTGGTTATTTCTACCCATAGCCTGCAGTCCCTCCAATCAGGCAAAATTTGTCAGATTTCAGACCCATTCGGGCAATTTAATCGCAATGAAGCAACAATATTCAGGCAAGGCCCATACTAAGACCCCCTAAGCATTTAGCCTCCGCTATGCCCATGTTTTTACCCAGCATCCGATCGTAGTTTTTTAGGACACTCAGAAGCTATGCTTATGGGACAGTACCTGGTCCTGCCCCTCAATGTGTCCACACCTCATGATTCTTACGCCTAGTATTGCAGAGAGCTGGTAACTTTTCTCCTTTTAAATGAATGTTACGTCATGTCAGTGGATCTGTAGTCTGCAAACCTAACTACTGAGCCTTCTTCAGAGCTGCTAATGGCTCTTACACGCTTTTTTGTTATAAAGAGCCACTTTATAAGGAACCTACATGTAGAAGGCCGAAATATTTAAAATCCCCAAGGAACTTTTCGATTTGAAAAATTTTTATAACTGCAAGCATCAAGAACTAAAAAGCTGGTTCCATTCATTTGCAGCCAATACGCGCATAGATTGTTTGCTATTTGTGTGTCAAGTGCTTCATTGAGTAGTTTCCGCATATGCTGTCTCACCCCTTTCTCTATTAAGGGTAAAGGCTTATTTAGTCAAAACAAATTAAGGAACTATTAAGGAACTTTTGGTACTACAATTTGATGATTTGAGGTCTACGAATAAGGAAACTTTGGAACTAGGCCTTGAGGTAGGTTCCTTATAAAAAAAGCGTGTACTGCAATCTGTGGCGAATTCGGTTGACTTCAAAGCCAGCTAACAACATTTTTTTACTTTTGGTTGCGTCATTTATGCGTCTGGATACTAATTTTTATTAAAAAATGTCCACATCGCTTTGTCTGAATGAAATTTATACATGAACTGGTCATTATACTGAATTTTGGTGCTTTATTATCTAGGACTTTGTTATTGGCTTATCTGAGACCATTCATTGCAACTTACATGAAAAACTGAGGTGGACCTTCCGATTGTATGATGTCGATGGTGATGGAATACTAACAAAAGAGGTAAAGCACCTTTTTAAAAGCGATTTATAAATGCTTCTAACAGTTAACAAGTCTCTTGTTTTGAGTACTGCCATCCCATTAAACTTAATTCTCTTATTTCTGGAGCTTATTTCAGTGAAAACTTTTTCCGTAATCAAATCATTTGATAAAATTTTTAATTAATCAGATTACAAAAAAGATGTGAATCAATTGACTTTGTCGTCAACGATTTTGAAATGCGGTGTATATCAATATTTTTGGACTTTTGATTAAACCGGTAGTTTTAAAACTCTGCAGTTTCGACAGAACTCTTATTTATGTATACATTTTGAGGCACTGCGCACAATTGTTGGTGTTCCAGCGTCATAGTCATCGTCCTCCTCATCGTTGTCCTCGTCATTGATGTCGTCATGACCTCCATCGTTGTGTAGACGCCATTGTGTCTTCGTCATTGTTTTGTGGTAATTGAACAGTTGTCATCGTGTCTTCGTCATCTTACTGTCAGCAATGTTTTATCATCAATGTGTCATCGTGATTCTGTCAGTGCCATTGATATTATGATTTTGTCATTGTGTCATCATCACTTGGTAGTTGTCATTTTGTCATTGCGATATTTTTGTCATCATGATCATCATTGCCTTCGTGTTTTACGTAGTTATTATTGTTTCATTTTTGATTGTGTCGGATTTTTATTGTCGCACCGTCTTGGTTGCTTCATCTTGGTTGTACCATTGTTGTTGTCATTGTCTTCGTTCTCTTCGTCGTCGTCTTCGTTGTCGTGATCGTCGTTGTGATTGTTGTTGTTGTTGCATCCTTGTTGTTGTTGCTGTTGTCCTTGGTCATAATCATCATCATCATTGCCTTATTGCATAACAGCCTAGCTTTCATCTATCATTATCCAGAAATATACTTGCTCCAACTAATATTGACGTTGTTCCACAGGAATTAGTTGCAGTATTAGATGCAGTATACAGAACAGTTAAATCCGAGTACGTTGCAGCTGACCAAATATCAACAAATTATTCTTGCGAGCATCTCAAGATACAGGAATATGCTGACGAGTTGTTCATGGTATTTGTGATTTACGCAATTTCTACATATCATTAAATGGGCTGAAAAATAATTATGTGTTAAAGGCTAGGTTTATTTGTATCTTTTGAAATTTTTCAAACTGGGGGGACTGGGGGACGTGTTACCCCAGTTCTTGGCATGGTTGATTCTGTATTTCGTCTAAATTTAACGAGAAAGTGATGATGGTTGGGTATTATTTAGGCAACGTATTCTTTGTAATATAGTTCTAAAATTTTGAAACTGCTTCGCGTAACCAAAGGTCAGTCATGGGTGTTTTCTATTGGTAAAATTGGCTTTCGACTTTGTCAAAAGGGCTTTTTCTGATAGTGCAAAGGACATGGTCTACCTTTTAGTTTCACCCACCGTCCAAAGCCTAGTTCTGATGCCGCCACTGGCGTTAATGGTGGTTTTTTCTAATTTCAAGCAAAGTAGTTTTGAAAGAGAGGAAACAGTTGGCTACAAATCCTAAGGGTATTGTTTATAAGAAGCGAAGACCGGATAATCAGAAAAAATTGAGAGACTTCAGTTTAAGAAAAAATAAAGAAAAATGTTGATTACTCAGAAATCAACAGCTCAACGTTGACAAAAGCAGTGTAAAAACATTTTAAGTTATGAGAAGCGTTTTTCAAAGGATTTAAAGTTAAAAATATACATACATTTTCAGGATGTTGTCAGCTAAAGAAACTGAGCTTTAAGATTGCATAATATATCCTGCTACCTGAACTTCTTCAAATTACTCGAACCCATAGTTTCAAATTTCAAGTTCTACATTTTCCAATCAAAAGATCTAAGACATGACTTTTCCTTTTTTAAGGGATTGGATAAAAATGGAAATGGAGTTGTTGCTGAAAGTGACTTCGTCGAAGCATGCTTAAACGTGGGTACAAAATAAATCTTAATTTTTGTTTTGAAGATCCTATTGATTTTTTTATTAATATTCATAATCACTTCCGTTATTGTTAATATATTTTTATTATGATTTATATTTAAAATATATTAAAAATAAATTATATGTTATAATTTATATTTAATGAAACTCTTTCCTTCTCAGATTTCTTCTATGTATTCCTTCGTATGTTTTCTCTTACTTAAACGTTTTTTTTGGTAGGATAGAAATTTGTTATCGCGTTTAGCAGTGGCGAATCAGTATATCAGCATGACAGGGGAAATGGATGAAACTGCCAATCAAGATATCTTACACGATTGCTCCTGCGCATCAAGCTACCAGAGCCAAACTGTCATGGGGATGGACATGTCTCCCACACTTCTGTGTCGAAACTTAGTTCGCAGCCGAAGTTTTACGAACTTGAAAGAAGAGCAACATCTTAGCTATATGAAGGAAGATTTAGAATTGTCCGAGTTCTAATGACGGAGTTTTGTTTAATTTTTAAGGATATTTAATGGGCATTCATCCTTTGATTAGTAGAAGATATGTTTTTGGCAAAGAGCTTGTTCTTTCAACGATATGAATCTGCAAGCAGGGGCATCGCGACAGGGGGGTGTGGGGGGGTGTCACACCCCCCCAATAGTATCTCGATAGGAAATTTCAGATAAAATCCGCCCAGTGGAAAAAACGCTTTAGGTATTTCAGCGATCTTCATGATGTATTAACATCAATAAAGGATCAAGCAAAGATAGTTGCTCCTTTGGCTAAATATGATACTTCTTGATATGAAGGAAGATAAAAAAACTAATGACTTGAAGATTTGAAGATTTCTTGTTAGCACAAAAGTTAAAAATCCAGGCACTCTTTAGGTAAAATTGTGTCTTGTGTCCATTTTCCCTAAAAATGCATGCTAAGATGGAAAGAGGTATCTAAATTGACAACCAGCGCTGCTTGTTACCTAGCTTTAGAAGTAACTGACAACATGAAATTTTTCAAGACCACTGTAAAATTGTACCAGTTGTTTTTATCTGCTGTTCCATTTGTTTGCAAAATTTGAAAAAATTTTCGGTAGGATAAGGAGGATTGCTTCAATAAAATTTACTTGAAAGAGTGCATTTTCCAGGGAACTGGAAGCATCCAACAAGGCTTGCCTCGCAACGGCCCTGCCTGCAAGTTTTAGTCAAAATGAGAAAGCAATGTTTTTTCAGGAAATTGTTAAGTTGGATTAAAAAAGGTGTGGAAGGACCTTGCCTCCAAGAAGTCCATATATTAGAGTAAATACACAATGGGTATGTATGTGCCTATTAAGGACCCTGTGGGTATATGGCGCAATTTTAGTGCTTTTCCTATTTAATGTATGATAAAAGTCCTGTATTCAATATACTTATAATGATGTGATATGATATATATTTAGATGCAAAGATTCCGGTTTGCTGGTCTTATCTAATGAACTTGATGCCCGATAGGAGAGCTGTACATGCCTTTTGTGTGTAGACCTTTGTTGGTGTTAGTGAAGAAGTCTGAGTTTCATGCTAAATGCGATCATTAAGCAACTTAACTCAGACAATATGGTTGCATGATATCAAGCAGAACAACAAGATTTACGCTAAGCTTTGGAAATAGGTTTGCAGTAATATTTGGCACGCTTTCATAAAAAAAGGTAATCCGATAAAAGTCCGATATGAAGCCAATCCGGTATGAAATGAAGGTGTTATCGTGTAAGTGAGGGCCTAAGAGAGGAATAGTAAATGATGCTCTTTGTAAACCTCTTCCTCTCAATGCAAGAATGCAGTGTCTTTCCCAATTGGAAACTTTAAATGTTTGTCATTTCTTAAAACTTGCAAAACTTGGAGAAAGATAACTTTGAAGAAAAATGCAACTTTGAAGAAGGTCGTTCCCCAAGGAAGCGTACTAGGTCCTCTATTTTTCCTCTTTAATGCTGATGGTATGCCGCCATCTTCTAATGCTGTCAAAGTCCATCTATTCGTCGATGATTCAAGCATGTTCATTTCTTCTACTTCTACTTCTACGAATTTAATCAACTACTTCAATACTGAGGGACTGTTGATGTAAAGAAAAACAAAAACAAACAAACAAAAACACACAAAAAGTTAACAACAAATAATAACAAATATATAAGTTAAGCAACAGAGCAGCAGTTGCGTGACTAAGATAGTATTTATCTAATGTTGATATTTTACCCTATGAATTTTACTCTATGAATATTTCATTCACACAAAAACTTGATTTTCCTCGAAGAAGAAAATACCTAACAAATGTTTCGGAATGGCTCTCTGCTAACAGACTATCTTTAAACTTAGAAAAATCAAAATACCTCGAAATATCTAAAAAGAATGATAAAAATTATAAAGTTAGTATCAAAAATCAACAATTCTCCTATTGCAGAAAAACAACATTAAATATCTAAAATGCCTGCCATTCAGAGTCTTTGTACGCTAACCTCAGTTTTCAAGGACGAATTCAACCACCTTTTCCCCTTTTGAACAATGTTGGTTTTCTACAAAAAGATGTAAAAGATAAGAAAGCTCGATTTTTCTGCTACTGGTTTAATATTATTCTAAATTATCAACATTGTATTTGGGACGAAGGGGTGCGGAAATAGAAGTATTCGGACAAAGAATTGAAGAGCATGAAACCATAATGAAAATTGTTGGGAGTTCCAATTACTTTTGGCAGGTATTTTGAGAAATATTGATAGATAATGTAATAAGCTGGAAACAGCGGACCCAACAAGCCCCAACAAAGGTATTGGAAAGAAAGGCAATACAGGGCCGGCGTGAGCAGGGGGCCATGGCCCCCTACTTTTCTGCAGAGCTGAAGAAAAATTTTAGGCAAAAGGGGAAATAGATATAGTATATGATTCTGTAAGTAACTTTGCCTAGTATTCTCTTAAATGTGTCCTTAGCTTTACCTTGGTTGCTATGCCTTTACCATAGAAGCCATACATAAAATTGAATATGGGAATTAGATCGAAGAAATCGGTCATTGTCTAAATTTTACAACGAGTAACAGCTTAGCTTAGCAAATAGATCGAGAAACCTAGTCCAGAATATCTTGGTGCCAGCACAAATTGACAGAGTTTCGTTTTTTCCATTGCACGCAAGGTCTATTTGTTAACGAAAACTTTCTCAGAAACATTACAAAAAGAGAGAAATCAGCTGTTGAAGAAAAAGAAAACAGAGTTTGATCGTTTGGATAATCCATTCCTACTAAGAAAGAGAAAATATCGACGCATTTATGAATTATATTTAAACTCATTTTGACAAGCCCAGTTTGAAGGTTTTTCAAATTTCTGTTAAAGCGCTTCATTTCCGAAAAAGTTAAGATCAAATGTTACAAAGTTATATCTTAACTGTACAAAATTTCTTAACTTTTCATTTTTAGTTGATAGTTCTTCTGTTGATATTTCAACTTTAATGTTTTTTAGTAATCCATGTTTCATTTATTTTTCTCACCCATCTTATTTTGGGTTCTTTTAAAATCTAAAAAAGGTTTCATTACGAGCCATATGATATTGGTTATTCTAAAACTTTGCCAAACTTTTCTATTTCAAGTCAACATCACAATATGCGACACCTTCAGTCAAAATTCATTTTAGATACAGTTTCTGGCCATCCCTAAGAAACCATGATTCTAAAATTTTTCTTGCCGCCTACCACGATGGCGGCCTTTCCTAAGCCCTTTCAAGACTTTGATATTTTGGCCCCTCTTCTTTCAAATACGTTTCGCCGACCCTGATCCACCAATTCGGCACCACCATCTCACATTTCAAATTCATTTACTCGTTCGTTTTATTTACTCTGATGAAGCCCTGTATGCCGGGGTGAAATATTAGTATTCGTTTACTTGAATTTATTTTGAAAATTATTTTAACATTGGATTCTCGTCGCCGTTTTGCTTTGTTCCTGAATTTTTATCTGAATTTATATTATACTCGTCGCAAGATTCAAAGAATCCCGCGGACAGCCTATCCTGCTGTTCTTCCTTCTCGCGCATTTTCTCTCTATCACATTGCCTCGATCTGGAACAATGCAACTCAATGCGAAGAGTGCGAAGAAGACATTCAAAGTAACTCGTGGAGGGAAAGAGTTTGCAAATAGACTATTTTGGAGCTCTTTGGGAAATCAAAGTAAACCCCAAGTAATCGTTCTTAGAGTAAGTATTTTTCATCTCGATATCACTGCATTAATCTTTGCTTTTTTGCAAATCGCTAAATGAATTCTCCCCTCATTTTATGAAGCAATGTGAGCTCCATTTCATGTCTTCATAAACAAATGCTAGGTTGCAGGACAGATTTTAGATCTGATATTTGGTCCCAGTACTGTTACAGTCTAGATTTTAAGCCTTAAAAGGAATATAACTTTTTACTAAATTATCCAGTTTCTTGCTCATTTCTGTGTTGCCACCCACATAATTTACTCATCAATGTTTAGAGTGCTTGATCCTTAATTATGATTGGAATAAATTATAATTATTACAATTATTTCTCTTTCAAAGATGCTCAAAGCGTTTTAAGGTTGTCAATATTGCTCTAAAGACTCTGTATGCAAGGCATTTTCCAGGGACATCTTGGCTGGGTTGGACTGGGGTTTGGGGAGTTTCTTAGAAAAGTGTTGAAGAATTTCCAATGGAATTAGCTATGTTTAGTTTCAAACATAATATATGGGTGCAAATGTCCAGATATTATGCCAAATTGATGATTATAGAATGCATTGTTTTATCGTTAAATATTGTTGACAAATTTGTTGGTACTACATGTTAGAAATGTTGAGTACAAGCACGAAGGGAAAAGATCTAGGCCACTTCAGTAGAACAGAACATAACAAGATTGAGTAAACAACAACAAAATTTAGCTACCACACTACAATTGTATGATATATAATGATTACGTAAGGCTACTTGGCAGCAATTAATAACTATAGAGTGATCATCATAACAAAATACTAATAACAAGTTCTTAACATTGCACACTACTTTATAATAATATGATACAAAGTCATGTGTGGTGGACTTTATCAAAGCATCTCGAGTTATGAGATAATTAAGCTTTTAGCTGTAATCCAAAATTTTGAAATACTTTGAACTTTCTTGAGATGACCTGTGATTCTATATAAATACCTAGCTCTGTATCAATTTTAATCTTTTCCATTTTGTTTGAAAGGTCACAAAAACTATCAGGCTGTAGACATGTAAGGTCAAAAACAGTCAGAAAGGTAAGTCTTTTATAAAGTTATTCATCTATTAAATATTTTATCCTTTTCAAGGCTCAGAAACCCTTTATTCTTAGGGAATTACCTTTCTCCAAATCATGGGAGTCATTTTTTATTCAATTTTTGCTTTCCACTGGCTATTTGCATCAAAGGGTAGGTCAATATGGATTTGCTAACTGCATTCACAAAAATGGCATACAAAGACAAGGAAACTGGAAACTAGCAATGTCAATATTCTCTTGTTGTTTCTCAGTGGTGGTAGGCAGAAATCTGGGGCTGCATTCAACTAACTATGACATATCAAGATTAATTCAAAGGTTGAAAGGCTAGAGGCTAGCAAAAAACATTAAAATTGGAATTTGTTCACATTGATACAATTTGCACACTCACAAAATTTGATTAATTGCTTTAACATTTTCAGTGAATAAGTTAAACAATGGTGCGCATTTCTACTTTGTAGCTTTTGAAGGTCATGAAATCATCAAGGTATGGCAGAAGACAACCCAGAGCTAAGGTGAATGTTTAAACCATTTTTGAATGTTTATGACGACAAAATAGAGAAGTCAGATGGACAAAAGGTTGCTCCTGACTTGTAGCACTAATCTGAATCCTTATTTGTATGCTTCAAAATGAACAACATGATTTCTAAGTTTTTGCCGATATTATTAGATTGTCTTTTTAATACCGGTTTTACACATATTGCAATGGAAGATCATTCATTTTTTACTGGATGAGCCAGGCCTTTTTGTAAGAAATAGACAACACAAATGGCTCAGCGCTCGCATGATTTCTCTTGCATGAGCAATCACTCAAAAAATTATAATGATAATAATCAACAATGCTAATATTGTCCATACTAAAAACTGTGCAATCCTGTTATAAGGTAATTTTGTGTAAGATTATAGCAAATGAAATTGAATTATTACAATCATCTTTAATGCACTCCAAGAAATATTTGATACTGTACCTAATGTAAATCTGCTGTGTTTATAAATTTTACAAACCTCACAAAAGTCATATAGACATTGTTGCCAGATGATTGCAAAATGTTGTTCCAAATCTTGTTTAAAAATTCTGTAGCTGTCTAGACCATGTTCCAAGGGCTAATGTAATTCAAATACTAAGTGCCTATAGTATTCCTATAAATTTGCAATGGAATTGATTTTCAAATGCATTTTAAACAGAATAGCCAGCATGGAGAAAAGAGACATCTTTATAAATGAACATGAATCATTGTAACCAGCTTTAATTCAAGTTCTACAAAATTAGTTTGATTAAATCAGTACAGCATAATCAGAAAGACATAATCAGTTATAATTACATAATCAGTTGTTAAGATGTTTCTACTCTAGCTAGAGTCATCTTAAGTAAGTGGTAGAATATAATAAGTATGGAAAGAGTGAACATTAAGGATAAAAAAGATGTGATATACTATGTTTATTATCAAGCTGCACTTTCCAAGATCCAAATGGCTTTGGATCACCTGTGTCACTTTCGTTGGTCACAGAAGATGACTGGAACTGTGTTACATTATGAAACATTTGTCCCTCATAATTTACAGTTTTGCACAAGTGATCAAATGCAGCTTGGTTTGGTTTGCAAGAGTGCTAATGCAATAAATAAATAAAATCTGATTTAAAGAACCAAAAGTTTTAAAAGTAAGATTTAAGTTCACTTTTATTTTGTACAAACATACAAACAAACATATATCATAGTCAAAAATTTTTTGTTCAACAGTCTTTATTGTTTATGGTCAAATGAAACATCTCCTCCTTCCATATTCCAATGGAAAATATGTAAAGTATCACTTTTGTTGTTTGTGTCAAAAATGAGTATATTTTTTTTGAAATAGACATGTATTGATTTTCCAGTCTATTCACTGCATGCATTTCTTCAGTCTATATACTTTTGTTCTAGGTACCAACAACTGCTAGCCAAATTTACTGCCAGAAAATTGCCAGAGTTTTACAAAAAGTATCACAGAGAATCACCCTCAAATAAATCTGCAACAGAAGATGTGCTTCAGGAAGATGGTGAATTGTTTCCAAGGCCCTTACCAATGGAAAAACTGCTTGATATACCTGCCCAGATTAGAAAGAGAAGATTCTTTGAGGTAGTTCAACTTGTTAAAGTTGTATGCATTGTATTTTTTGCATTGGTTTCCGTATGCACTGTAAATATGTTCTTAGCAAAAGAATAAATTTTGGTTTTGGATTGTTTCGGTTTGGGATTTTGGAACCAGTATAACAAATTTTTTTGCAATGCCAAAAGCTTGTGACTTATGTCCCAAAGGTCTTGCCAGATCCCAGTTTGATGAAGGTTTTCCATAAAATCAAGTTTGTTACTCTTTTTCCCTACCTAAGGGGAAGCTAATCTAAAGTTGAATTGAAACACCAAACAATCACAATTCAAGTTGTTCTCTCTATTCTGAAATGAATTGTAGGCTTTACATTATTTTATTCATTGGCAATGCACACCAAGTCCATCTGTCTTTTATTTTTGTGTGATTCAGCTGCTCCCCCAGTATACAGTATTGCTATTTTTTAATTTTTATGAAATGAATATGATATTAAAAAATGTGTTTCTCATAGACAGAAACCAAAATGCAAGCTCTGTCAAAGAGGGGTGTCTCTTTTGCTCACTTTTCACAACCTAGTCTTTAAAAACTTTAATATTCCAGCTAAGAGTGCAGGGTCCTTTAGCAGGATTTGAAAAGAGTAGGCATGTTCAGTGTCACAAAATGTATGTGGTTCAATGCAGTCAAGAGAACGACATCCAGCACACTTAATTCAGAGACCACAAGCAATGGCAGTTATAAATGCCAAGGACCAATGCCATTCTAGAGAGGAATATTTAAATTTAGACGATAAATGTGAAAATATTAGGTCTTACTGAATTTTACAGATATGGCACAATTAAAAAGACAATTGAAGTGATATGTTTTATTGCCATTTATGATTCTTTTGTTTTTTAATCCACTTGTAGCTGATATGGCAATTATTTTATCATTGTCATAGGAATGTTGGTGTCATTTGTATGGGTCTTCTCTTGTTTTAGGCCATATCTGCAGGTGACATTGTTGAAGGGAAAGTGGATGACAAATGGGCGGACACACTATTCATAAGAGTTGATTCAGTTTACTATGGTCCTAATCGCTGGATCAATGATTTGAAAATTAAGGTACTTTTACTTCTATTTCATGATATTAAAAGCCTGGTGCATACTTTGGCATATTTCGTATTTTTTGACGCTTAAGTTACGGTATAAGATTGATCCCCCATGCATTTTAACTAAATAGTCATTAGTAATGCAAAGTTGGAAGGGTAGCACTGAAATGCGGAAACATAACATATCTAAGGAATTTTCTTCCGCCCTTCACCCTTCGATTATAAATGCTGATAATTACCGAAAATTAAATCCAGCAGCAGATCTAGCGTAACGCAAGAGAAAGAACGACGCGCTTGATTGGCTCTTTGTTTTTGAATAATCGGTGGCGATTGCTTACCTCTCTCCTAGTCAAAGAATAGAATATAGAAGAGTAATTTTTTTCTGTCTTCACAAGTCAGGATCCCTTGTTTTGATGTAGAAAGATTCCAAACACCCAAATAGAAAGATTACTCGCTGGTGTGCCAAATGATTTTGAAATTGTCGTCACTATGAATCTATTCTATCGATCGATGAGTGGCAAGAGCTTCCTTCATACAATTGTTAAACGTCACAATTTTTTGATTGGTAGGAACATAATCCTTCTATCAACTTGGGACATAATGAACAAATTAAGTGTTTATATCAAAAGTTTCCTTTGATATTACATATAAATAATATAAACTGATTTTGATTGTCATGTGTAGCAGGCCTGAATAACTGCTCCACTAAAAAAATTTTTAAAACTTTGGTGTCTTCTGCAAAGAGATAAAAGGCACTGGTATGAAGACAGCGTTTTGGATTCGAAAATAAATGTTTCGTCGATATTGAAATTAGAAATAATAAAAGAAAGGAGAAACGACTATAAAAGCTGAAGATCAATGAATATTACTGTTTCACCTGTCGTATGATACAGAGCGCTCGATGCCGTATATTCAGAGCTGTACACGCTTTGGTCTATAGAACATAACGATTCTGAGCTGCTCTCATATTCAACTAAGAACCGTCCTGTTCTATTCCCAAGCCGTAAACTGAATACTAAATATGTGTAAAAACATTGATATGGCAACTTGCATACATAATTAGTTCAAAGCTACGCTTCTGCAAGCCCAACTTCGACAATTGAAGTTAACAAAATTAAAATGTATATATTATCCAAAGTAATTTCATTGGTTTTTTTCTTATCCTAGGCCGAGTGCAATCTTTCAGAATTCAAGACTCATTCTGGTTCAAGGCGGCTCAGTGATTCCATAACCGATTTCGATATTGGAGATCACGTTCGGGGTAGCGTATTCAAAATCATCGAATTTTTTCTCTGCAGCATGAATATTACATAAAACACACAATTTTAACCGAATGATAGCACTATATGGGAATTTGCTTCACAGATTGAAATCTTTGCTACATTGTATCGGGAAAACAAAATTCTTTTTCAATCATTGCTTGTGAGTTGTGGCGTAATTAATATCAGATCACAATGACCATCGATTAGGTTTTTTTTGGTCTCATATTTTTGCTTTTTTGAGATTTTCATTTTTATCGCCAGTTTATCCAGGTGACTAAGGCTGACAAATATTGTAGCTGGAACAACGTCTGTCTTTTACAACGTCTGTCTTCTATTAGGTGTTGTGACGTCAGTCGACCACAGAGTCTGGAAACTGGTTGTCTCATTTCGAAGGTCATCGCTTCCTGATCACCTTAGCCACACGGAGCTGGTGAGATATTTTTGAAAAAGCTATCAAGTGCATATTAATTGTTTAGATTGGGTTTGTGGAGAAGGATGAGTGAAGCATATTTTTCTTCTGTTTTTGCAAATTAACATCCTTCAGACCTTTTAGACCTTAAGTATCATCATTTGTATCTACTAGATCTTTTATACCATCCTTCACACATACTCGATCTAAAATACCATCCTTCACACCTGCTGAAAAAACACTGAACAAGTAAAGAAAATTTTTCGAAAAATTTTCAAGAAATTTTTCTTCCTTCTGTTTCTGCACTTTTCTTTAACTTAAAGTCCTATAATTAGGTCTGTTAAGTCAAAATCTTGCACTAATCTTGCAAAATTCGATACCAGCATGAAAACTTCACAACTTATGTAGTTTGAGGTGTAGAACAAGATGCAAAACAGACCCAAGCTAAGAAATTCCTCTAACAGCTATTTTTAGAACATCGAACTTGGTCTAAGTCCTCAAAATGACAAATGCAATCTGTGAGCGGTTTAACGAGTGTGTGTCTGCAAAATTTGGTTTTCACATGCAATCTGAAGTTTAAAATGTCATGCCAAGAGAATAAGGACCATAAATTACCCCATTTTCAATTTTTGGAACATTGAACTTGATTCCAGTCCTCAAAATGAAAAAATCAGTTGCGAGCGACTTAAAGATATCATTTCTTCAAAATTTAATATTCATATACAATTTTGTGAGTATTAATATTCACGATTGTTGTGCCTTCAGACCGGACAACTATGGCTGTCCGTAAACCCGTTCTGGCAAATGCGGTATAAACTCTTGATTTACGAACCCTCTTATACCACACCTGCGAGTCAAATTTAGGGGAGAGGTGATTGTAACGAACAATTTAGCGCTTTTTGATCGTTTAAGGAGCTTGATCTGTTGTAATTAACTTTTAGCCTATATACTGCGGATTTCGGATTACTATGTGCCCAATTAGAAATATATAACTAATCGATTAGACTAGAATATAGGTTTATTTCTAACTTAAAATTCCTGTTTAAAATTTAGTATCTTAATTTTGTAGCTGATTTTTAATCTCCTTGTTTTCAGGGCGCTGTTGATGTTTTAAGAAGTTTTGATGTGTGAGTGATATTTTTATCTTCATTTGATGGTACAGTTCATGTCCCTTTGTTGTTGAAGGGCCCGAAAGCTTCTTCTGTTCGCATGTTATAAGGCATGTGGCTACTGCTTCTCAAAAGAAAAATCAATTTTTCTCCCTTTTGACGAAGAATTGAAATTCTTTGCCCTTCAAATTTTTTCTACGACCTCGGCTATTTCGTTAGACCAAAGCTCCATTTAGATCACTTATTTTAAGGCTGTATTCATTTTTAGCATAAATAAGCCGATCACAAACACAGAAACAAAGAACGTTTTCCTATTTCTTACAGAACTGATAATGATGACGAAGATGAAAAATCATACTTGGAGTACTTGGTGTCCAGACCTTCTTTCTCTAATCCAGAAGCTACAAACAACCTTTTGTGTCACCTTGGAATTGAAACAAGACGGCCTGCTACATTTTTGGATAGTTTGTCGTAAGTGCATTTAAACTCTTTGAAAACGAAGCCTTTAAAGATAGTTGACGAAGGCTTAAGAACTTTCGGCTCAAAAAGTCAGGGATAGTGTTCCAAACCGTATTTATGTATTGTTTTTTAATGGTTTGTTTTGAATGTCGATCATTAAAGTAGCCATTGTAGCCTAGGAAAATACAAAACACAGAAAAGGCATCTCTTTAGTTTTGTGAAGGGCGTTGCGACAGAATCTGCCCAGGTTGCGGAATCACTTGTTCCTCTTACTTACAGTAGCTCTCTGCCAGCTCAGATCTTATGTTTGCTTTTGTTTTGACAATATTCTCATACTTGACAGTTTGACAATTTGAAAGATGAGGTCGTAAATGGAATTTTGTTTGACCGGATAGAAAAGTTCGATTGCCCAGCTTAGTGGGCCTCCATTGACACAAACGTAAAAATATCGGGAACGTAAAAATACAGCTGTGAGCAACGATTTTACGTACATAATACTGCGTAAACTCTTTTTCAAAGACAACTTTGATGATGCTTCAGATGTTGTAAGCAATGTAAAATCAAGCAACCTTAGGCCAAAGTACACGTTTTTTAACTAGCCTGCTTATAGGAACTTTTTTATAATAACAGAACTTAAAGAATCTCAACCACAGCGTTAAACTAATAGATGTTTCATATCCATGCGTGGACAGGAAAGCCATATCCTTCCTTCGGACCCAAATTTCCGCCCACATTTGAGACATCGTTTGCTGCTTACACTCTGAAAAGTGTCAGACGAAAGATTGCTAATTACACTGTTTAATTGAATGGCTTTGAAAAAAGCAAACATTTAGTAAACTAAAGCTTTTCGTCTGACACTCTTCATAGTTTAAAACGTCAGAACATAGATCGAAAACTCTACGCTAAAAAATAGTTTTCGATCTATGTTCTGACGTTTTAAACTCTGAAGAGTGTCAGACGAAAAGCTTTAGTTTACTAAATGTTTGCTTTTTTCAAAGCCATTTACAAGTTTTGTACCACCAAAACATTGACTTTATAATTACATAAAAATGTAGTTCAAGCTCAGAATTGGTAAAACTTTAGACTGAAATAAGCCAGGATATGAACAGGGAATATTTGCCAAAAATATTGATTTCTGCGTACCTGAGTTTAGAGTTTTTCTTGAAGGTTTAAAACTTCGTTCATTGACTCAATAGCTACCGAATGAAATAAACTGCTCTAATTTTCCTTGGTAATTGCTCAGGTTTATGTGAGTTTTGGGCAAAATTTAACAATATACTTCGACTCAATTTAAAAAACTTTTTAGTATATCGTGGCACAGGAACAAATAAAGGTATTATTATAAAAGAATTATATATGTTATATTAGCGTTGTTGTGTGCTATTTTAAAATTTACGTATTTGTTACAATTCTACCTCAAGACAGGACTTTTGAAAATGTCACCGATCATAAAGAACAAAATATTCATTCGATTCTATGTTTTCTTGATTTTATAGAAACATTGTTCCTCCTGATGAATCTGGTGAAAAACTCAGAGAGCGACAATCGACGAACTGGTCAATGGAAATGTGAGTTGTGCATGAATCTTTGCTGTTTTCCTTTGCAAGTCATCTTCTACCTTTTCGATCCGGCCGGAACCGGATTTTACCAGATTTTTACTGAAATCCGAAAAAATAATCTGGCCTCGTTTTGCCAAATATTTTACCTGTTATCGGCTGTTCTTACTGCAAACATTTGAAGAACTGTTCGAGAAAAAGAGTTGAGATAAAGATGAAAATCTCCGTTTGAAAGATGAAAGATTCATTTTTTTGGCAAATTGAGGTCAGAGCAAAATTTGAAACAACAAAAGAATAATTTTTTTTTCAAAGATGATTTCCTAATATTCTATTTAAGCAATTAAAATTTATTGCAAAATGGATCTATTGGCTTTAACTTCAGTGCTGAAAAAGTAAAAGACGCTCAACAAATATAAGACCAAACATTTTCTATGTACGGCAGTAACCAATCGCTTTTAGGACAAGCGTTGAAACTCCTTCGAAGCATTGGGAAGAAGTTACTTTTCTTACATCATAACCTGGAGAAATTTTAAACTGTCTTTTAATGATTTGTTCAAAATGCTCATTTGTAACTTCTTTATTTCATACGACACTCCGTTTGGATTCCTGATTGTTGGTTATTTTGTTATGTACAGTGTTGTAACTGGCTTCCATCTTTTCTTTGTATCCTCTTTGCTCTAAATGCACTTCTGAGAAATTCGGTAGGTGACCAGATTTCAGAAGCAAATCTGGCCCGAGCCGATTTTTCGAAAAATGAGCCCGATATTCGGTTTATCTTTTTATAGATTAGCATATCAATGGAGCGTGGTTAGTTATACTCAAAGATTGTTTACTTCAGCTTCAAAATTTGACATGTTTGCTTAATCCTGGCACCCTGAATGCAGGAAAATAATATTTTCTTCATGTGTCTTAAAATAATTTCAAAAGGAAGGAAAGGTTGGTAATAAGCTTGCTAACAAGAAGAAACAATTATTTGAGCCCTGTTTTGAACTCTTAAACAGATAATGTTTCTGTCAGTTGTTCTTGTAGAAAATAGTCGAAAAAGATCAACGAAAAGTATCAAATCGTTCGTTAAAGTGGTCCTTCTGGTTTAAGTACTTTTTAGCAGCTTTCCAAGGCTTATTAAACCCCCCATCTCCCCATCATTCCCTCCTGTCCTCGCTCGTAGCTTTAAATGTCATCGGGGAACCTTTCCTGTACAATGCTGCAGTTTTTTAGGGCTTTCCTTGATTTTTATGAAAGATAAGGCTTGAATTGCTCAAGTTACTAAGATTATTTATCAATGTTTCAAGACATTCTTATAGATAGTGGCCATATCTAGACAAATAATCATTGCCAATAATGATCAATTTGATCTATAAGGAATTAGCAATCTTGATGACTTAATTTACTATCAAAGTAATGGATATTTCTTGTTTACTTCAGGGTTGCAAGCGGAGTTAAATTGTTTAAAGAAAACCGACACGATGAAGCACTGAAATGTTTCGATCAAGCACTGCAGATGCATTCGAATAATGTCGAGGCTCTCGTTGCAAGAGGAGCATTGTATGTTGTTTTGCTTTCATTTCTATTTCCACCAAGTTGTTGCTTCGTGCTCACTGAAAGTAAACATGCATTAGCTTTAGACCCCGTTTACACGAGACCTGGATCATATCGGATCCACAAGTATCCGGATACTTTTGTATCCGATCCCTGAAATGGCAATGCGTTTACACGGGATCTGATCCAGAACCATTTGCATTTGCACGGGAACGGATCCAGATGAATTCAACAGGTTACGCGCATGCGCTTTTCGAAAATTGGCGCGCATATGACGTTTCCAGAACTTCGTGCGTGATCAAAACACAGTTCAACCTGAACATGAAGGGAGGTAGCGCTAAAAGGAGTAAATTTGTGTGGACTGAAGAAGAAACTGCGCTACTTTTAAAAGTAGTATTGGACTGCAAAGCTTGCAGGTGGACATGATTTGGAAACTGTGAGGACAAATTACGACGACATATCGTCAAGTTTCGTAATAATTCTTCAACACCGTAGTCTATTAACTTGATTGTTCGGTTTTCTGGCGCCAAAAAGCCACGGATTACATATTCAAACTACCTGGAATTGAAAAATATTCTGTCTCACTTTCGACAGTTAACGGAGACGGATCCATACGGGATCACCTCTGAAAGCGATCCCAAAAGTGTTCGGATAGCGGATCCAAAAGTATACGGATCCACCAGTTCCCATGTAAACGCAAGGCCACTCTCGTGTAAACGGGGTCTTGAAGACCAATTGCTTATGGCCAGATATTGCTTCAAAACTATCCACAGTACTTACCACAATTTTGTGGCAATTGAATTCAGTTTTACCAGCAACTCCCCGCCCTATAAATATGTTTTTTCTTCTTAAGTGAGAATTTCACAGTCTTCGTATTTTTCGTGCAAACTGAGCATAGGTTCCAAATCTTTGATTGGCTAAGAGTTCTGATTACATACAAATTCTCCATACCATATTGACCAATCAGAGTTTAAGAATTTGATAACAAACGTGTGTCGTAGCTGGATTTAGGCCTATTTTGCACGTTTTTACCACTACCCACACAAAAAACGTGTAAAATTTGTTGCAAGATGTCATTTTTGAACATATTCCTCTTGAAAATGTGTTTGGTAAGAATTTTCGTGAAAGCCAGGTGTGTTAATCTCTTGTAAATTCTAACAGAACTTTGTATTGGTGTTTGTAAGCAACATTTTAACTTCAAAGACACAGAATATTCAATGTGCCAAATTAACGATGGAATCAGAGACCCGGAACACTTTGTTGATGATTTTTCATTGCTGTGATGTAAAAGGACGGGTCATTCTTAATGCTTTTGATGCAACATTAAACCACAGAGCTTACCAAGCATTCCCAATGAATCGGTTATTAAGATCCTTGCATGTCAACTTGAATTTCAAAGGAGATCATAGTCGCGTTCTGGCGCCACTCAAAACTTACGCTTTAACCAAACATGCGTCAAACAGGATCATTTTGAGCGTAGAAATATTCATATGATTTCAAGCTTGAATTTTGCACTTATGCTTAAATGTCCATATTTGGTGTTCATAATACTTTCCTAAATAGCTTATAAGTATTTTCTTTCAAAATTGGTAAAAAAAGATTTTTGTACTATAATTTCAACTTTGTTTGAAGTGTTTCGTACTAAAATGAACTGCAAACATTAATTAGAATCGCCTGGAAGGAAGGGTGTTAACGTTTGCCGAACCTTGTGGTTTTCCTGATAGGTCAGGAATTCCAAAAAGTTTCTCATTGTTTTTGGACAGGGACAACGGAAAGATAATAGGTGACTGTTTTGTAGCAAAGTCGGGTTCAACGTGCAGTTAAATTTTTCTTGTTGTGTGGGACTCCTAATGGCAAGTTTGGGTTGCTATAGTGCGGTTGGATTTTTGATTAGTTTTTATGGGTGTATTTATTCTATTAGTGTATTTTTTTGTTTCTTATAAAGTACGAAAATATTGCATTACAAGAAAGAAAGGTAAACGAGATACGCGAATATAAGATAAGAAAAATTGGTTTTTCCGGGTACTAATGTTGTTCCCCTTGAGAGGTAGACTGCTTAGGCATGCCTGGTGAAGCCATTACTTTGGCAATAGACGACTTACTACTGAGATAGACAAGAAATAAAACGGGATATACAAGATATCATTTAAGACCAGTTTTGGCTTGTAGATGAAAATACTATGACTTATCATATTTGGAAGTGAAGGTATCAGCAATCAACTGGGGCACAGTGTGTTTTCTTTTGTTTTTTTAACAGTAATGGTTCATTAGTCACGACCTGCTGTTCTATTTTCCTGTCATCTAAAGGTATATCCAACGAGAGTGCAGTTTATGAAGTTAAATCTATCTAATGAATTGGAAAAATTTTAGGGAAATACCGAAGGTTTTTATTTTATATAGCGGTTTATAAGTAAACTCACGGTTGATGATGTGGCCAATCGTTTTTAAATTATGTTTCATTTGGGCCACTTCAAGCCGAATCAATTTTGGTTTACACTGTCTCTGTTAAAGAGCCTTAAATAATTTATTTCAATACTTGAAAACTTTTAGGAGAGCAAATCAAGGGATGTTAAAGTCAGCAATAATTGACTTCCGTCAAGCGCTTGAAGTTCACCCCTCGCATCGAAATGGCCTGAAATATCTCACTGAAACGCTGCTGTCATTGGCGAAACAGTAAGTAGTTCAGTTTTCGTATTGTAATCGTTCTAATTCACCTGCGATACCTTAAAACTTTGGTTGAAAAGATCAGGGGTACGAAAACCTACACCAGAGTTTTTTGACCAAGGCTCGATGCTCTCATTATTAAGACTATAGGAGCATCGAGTACACACATTTAATTTATAAGGAACCTAACTCAAGGATTAGCTCTTGAAGTTCCTTATTTTTGACCTCTTTGATTGAATTGTAGTAATAAAAGTTCCTTAATTGTTTCTTAATTTGACTGTAGTGAAAGTATTCTCTTGACACCCTTTGCTTTTACTGAAATGACCGAGAGGCAATAAACAGCAAAGCCGACAATTACACAATGAAGCACTCAATGGCTTCCTTCATAATACACGATTTATCTTATTTTAAACCCTAAATGAATGGAACTGACTGCCTGATTCTTGATTGTTAGCAATGATAAAAATATTCAAAATTTTAAATTTTTTTTAGGGATTTTGTCTTTAGTACTAACAGCTCTTTAATTTTTTCCACCTTCTTCCTTATAAAATAGCGTGTATTTTTAATTATGATCTTTTTTAATTTATTATGCTACAACCACATACCGGGAGTCGTTTCTGAGACCACTAAGTATAAGTTTGACATGAATCTTTTAGTAGCACAATTGATTAGTCGATGGAATCAGCTTATCTGATCATGTTCTTAGACCTTGTTTACACGAGAGAAAATGGAACGGTTCCTTTTGCAACGATTCCAAATGAAACGGTTCCAAATATTTCATGCTTGCGTTTACACGAGAGCCTTAGGAAGGAGTAACAAACGGTTCCGTTCCAAGGCCCAGCATTGTTACAAGGGAGGAGTAACATGCGCAGTTTTTGGCTCCAAAATCAGGAAATAAGATATTTGCATGGTTCATTTTTATTTTCGACAAGAACACACAGAAACAGGAGCTAGAAATTTTAGAAATGGCATTTATATTCATAATTGGCAATTATATTCAAAATTCTTCGCTGTCGAAAGCTATGGAAAAGACGCAGTGTACTGATTATTTGGATTTTGGCCACCAAAACAGACATTAAAATGGAAAAAAAGATGCCACAGTTTTCTTTATTCAATCCATCGTCAACTATCAAACAAATTTTATTTTCTTCTTTTTGGCGCGCAACAAAGAGATCATTTATTATTAGCCTCTATACCAGTGAACAACAGCCTCGTTTCCTAAGCGTTCTCATTTGGCTCGGTTCCAAGCGATTCTGCCCGTTTACACGAGAGCCAAATGGAACAGTTCCAAATGGAACTACTTTTGTAGCGGGGCCAAAAGAGAACGGATAGCAGGTCCCAAATGGAGCGGTTCCAACAGTTCTCGTGTAAACGCAATGCCGATTTGGGCTAGTTTTGGAACCGTTCCGTTTTCTCTCATGTAAACAGGGTCTTATGTTCTCTAATGTTTTCACAAATGGAGCCTTGGTGTTCTTATGAAGGAAAAAGAGTGTAGTTGACATACCCGTCAATAAAAGGGTCAACGTTAAATGATAAAGCGACCGGGATATTTCATAATGGCTTTAGTGCAACCGCAGGCTTCCACCTCAAAGCTTAAAAACAACGTTGAAAAAAATATCTACGTAATTGATCAGTTGTTTGGTTTTTGTGGCATACAATGTGGTTTTTTCCTGTCGTTTCCCGTGACGTTGGATTCTGGTCTCACTAGCTATCAAGCCTGGTTTCCATGTTGTTGTATCGGTCGTATATGTCGCCTTGGCCAAACTGGGCAACATTTTTGCCCGACAGGGTTGCTCGAAATTTTGTTGATTTTTTTGCACAATGTTTTGCAATGCAACACTGCGCAAGTTGTTGGAAATTAAGGTGAATTGTTGCGCGAAGGTGGTTAAAGTGGACAACAAAGAGCTGAGCAACAAATGTTGCCAAAATATATTTGAGCATGTTCAGACATTGGAGCAACGAATTTCTTGATGGTGGCCAAACTGGACAACATTTGAGCAACATTAGGAATTTGTGAATGTTGCTTGACAATGTTGCCCAGGTTGGTCAAGGCTTAACGTAATAAAAACTGCCATATTGGAAATGTTTTTGGACCCAAATTTGTTGGAAATGCCGTATGTGTCTCTAGCGATGGTTTCCCACCAATTTCAATAATTGTTTTATCGTACGACAGCTATAATTATAGGCACACTGAATATAAAGTTTTTTCAGCTGGGCTCAAGCCCTACTTTAGCAATTGAACTGGAATCCAGCGCACCAATGTTTTTATTTCAGATACCTTTACGTAGTTTTCCCAGGTAATCAGTTAGATTTGTTACAAAGTGCCTAAGATATGAACACATGAGCACAGGTCCTGGCTCCATCAAACCACTGTTAATTTGCTCTGGTGCACTACAGCGCGCGTTCATTCAATATTTTTATCTTATGTCAACTCGAAACGCAGACCTAGGAAGTATTTGGACCTTTAAGAGAACCAGCAATTTAAGGGCAACGTGACCATGACAGTTTTCCGATAAGGAGTAAGTTTACCAAGTCAGTGTTCTCCATAAAGGGCCTCTCCAATGGATAATTTATATCTTATCAAATGTTGATTATTGAGAAGTACTTATAGCGAATCACCATTGTACAAGAAAAGTTTCACTGTCCCGATGCGCCATCGTCCCTTGTTGTCCACTGTAATTCTTCGATGACAGCTTATCTTGTGCGTGTGTTTATGACATTAATGTATCTCTCTAGGCATGAAAAAGATAAGGAGTAAGTTTACCAAGTCAGTGTTCTTCATATAGGGCCTCTCCAATGGATAATTTATATCTTATCAAATGTTGATTATTGAGAAGTACTTATAGCGAATCACCATTGTACAAGAAAAGTTTCACTGTCCCGATGCGCCTACGTCCCTTGTTGTCCACTGTAATTCTTCGATGACAGCTTATCTTGTGCGTGTGTTTATGACATTAATGTATCTCTCTAGGCATGAAAAAGATCGGGACTGGAAAGAGGCAACACGGCGTTATAAAGAGGTTCTTGAGCTGGATGCTGATCATGCCGAAGCCCGCGATAGAATACACCAGATTCGAATGATAATGTCACAGCAGGTTAGTTTGTTATTGGCTTAGTTTGTTATTGGCTTAGTTTGTTATTGGCTTAGTTTGTTATTGGCTTAGTTTGTTATTGGCTTAGTTTGTTATTGGCTTAGTTTGTTATTGGCTTAGTTTGTCATTGGCTTAGTTTGTTATTGGCTTAGTTTGTTATTGGCTTAGTTTGTCATTGGCTTAGTTTGTTATTGGCTTAGTTTGTTATTGGCTTAGTTTGTCATTGGCTTAGTTTGTTATTGGCTTAGTTTGTTATTGGCTTAGTTTGTTATTGGCTTAGTTTGTTATTGGCTTAGTTTGTTATTGGCTTAGTTTGTTATTGGCTTAGTTTGTTATTGGCTTAGTTTGTCATTGGCTTAGTTTGTTATTGGCTTAGTTTGTTATTGGCTTAGTTTGTCATTGGCTTAGTTTGTTATTGGCTTAGTTTGTTATTGGCTTAGTTTGTCATTGGCTTAGTTTGTTATTGGCTTAGTTTGTTATTGGCTTAGTTTGTTATTGGCTTAGTTTGTTATTGGCTTAGTTTGTTATTGGCTTAGTTTGTTATTGGCTTAGTTTGTTATTGGCTTAGTTTGTTATTGGCTTAGTTTGTTATTGGCTTAGTTTGTTATTGGCTTGGCTTGGCTTGGCTTGGCTTGGCTTGGCTTGGCTTGGCTTGGCTTGGCTTGGCTTGGCTTGGCTTGGCTTGTCTCCTTTTGTTTTCGAAGAAGACAATCCCTAAAAATCCAATTGTTTCAAAGTCTCGTACGCTGCTTTGAAAGAGCGATACACTTCTCATAAAAGACTAGAAAGCTTTCACTCTCTCATAGTTACATGCAGGTTTAGGACCCAGATTCTCAGCTCAAATCATCATAAGGAATTTTTCTGTTTAAGGCAAGAAGGAATATTCCCTGAATTGATCGCTGGCTATTTTGATTCCAAGCACAAGTGACACCTCAGAAACAAAAGCTGTTCCTAAAATCCAAAATCAAACAGAATTTCTTTTAATTGTTTTAAATTGCCGACAAAAATGTGTCATCTCTTTAAAAGGTGGAGTTTTCGGTTGGGCAGAGGTATTTCCCTTATATGTTTAATGCCAAGTTAAAAAAAAGCTGTCTTTCCCCTCTTTTGCAAGGGCCTAAGTTTGTTCAAGGAGGGCTGAACAGAACTGTTTATATTATGTTACCTAGCCCATTCCCAGTATTTTGTGTTGGGTGTTCCAAGTACTTTTGGAAATGTTTGTAGTATGCGTACAAAGAATTGAAGCCACATAGATTGTAATGATTTGCTAAGATCGCGAAGGGCATCTGAGCAAACCCAAATTTTCCCGGTAGGGTGATGACGTATGCAAAGAACCTTTTCAATATCCACAACATTCAACCGCCCGAATTGTTCTGTTAGGCAATGATGTGTTGAAGGCCTATTGCTGTTTGATTTCAGTTTTTTTACGTAGCTGTTACTTATGTTTTGCCTTTATCTGAACGATTTTCTTTTCTTTTTTATACTTCTTCCTGGCTCTTCAATTTACTTGACGATGCACAACAAAAATTGCCTCATCACCTTTCAAATCAACTGACGTGGCTGTTGTTTGTCAATGGTAACTTTACAACGATCATACCACACTATGGTGCAAATCTTTTTGCTTATATTTCATTTTTCCATTTTGACATTCCGTACCTAATCCTTCTGGCCGAACCAACTCGAAACTTGCGGTGAAAATCGATATTTTGCTGTCTCTTCTGGTCTTGACCCTTATAAATTGTGTATTATTTTACAAACATTTTACAACTTGAAACATCCCTCTCAAAATTAACACCAATTTTCATCTTCATGGTTTTGCCACACTCATTATATGTCCGAAACGATGTATTAAACTGCGGAAATGTCTTACATTTTGTATTGTACTGTTTAACTTATGTGTTTGTGTCTTCTGTCACGTTCGCATATGTTTTGAAACCTCTGTTTTTGAATCTGGAGGTTTTAGCTGGGAAACGCCGCGCCTCATTGGAAGCAACACCAAAAGCAGAGAGCTCCAATGCCAAGTTAAGGCCCGAAGATCGACCCGAGGGTCGACCCGAGGATCGACCCGAGTCTCTTATCAAGCTCCTTAGAAAGAAAGTCCCAAAGAAACATAAAAAGCTCAAGTAAGCAGTGTTCTGTCACTCCATGCACTTTGATGATCTTAAAGATCTTCAGTTTTTAAGAGTATACGTCATGAAGGCCGATTTCCATTTGACATTTTTTGTGCGCGCGGGCGTAGCGTCCAAATCTGAGCATGCGTAGTTAAAATCAAGTGGTCTCGATTTTGCGTCAGCTGTGAGCGCCAGAAAGTTGATAGGGTCTCAACTTTTTTGTGCGCGCGGCCACTTGACAGCAGCACTTAGCTACGCATGCACAGATTTGGGCGTTACGCCCGCGCGCACAAAAAATGTCAAATGGAAATCGGTCTTTAGGGGCGTCTACAGCACTGCCTATACGGCATCGAGCACTGTATAACAGACTGGTGAACAGTAATCCCAAGTGATTATATTCATGTGCGCATTATTATATTGATGCTGGTTTGCAACACTGCAAACGTACCGAAGTCCTTCTCATGCAGGACTTTAGCTCGCCAAGCTTATCTCGTTGCAGACTGTTGCGTCTATACCCTACAATGACGTTTGCAAATTAGGATGGTATTGGTAGATCAAGAATCGATTATGATAGCTAATGGACAATTTAGAATCAGTTAACAGCTGATTTGTAGTGTTGATTAGTTCTAGAATTTAAGAAAATTTTGTCTCCGACATTTTCCATTTTACATTGTTTCTGCTTAACCAATTTTGGCCGCATTTCGCAGGAAATTAAAGAAGCCAAAGTCAAAGAAGAAAGGTAAGAAAAAATCAAGGAAAAGACGAAGCAGGACTTTGTCAGAATCGTCGGATTCAGATAATGATGATACTGATGACGATGATGACGGTTCTGAAGTGACTGTATCAGCTTCTGAAAAGCCCAGTGACAGTGAAGGTGAGTGGGTAGAAAAGCAAGTGGATGTCAGTACAAGCAGCAAAGAGGGCTCGTCGCGAAAGGATGCAGCTGATAATAAATACAGAGATGCCAAAAACATCAGCAGTAAACGTGAAGCAGACATGGCAAGTGGAAAGAAGCTCGATAAAGAGAAATACAGACCCTATGAGGTTGAAAGGCAGTTAAGTAGTGATGGCAAACGCTCAAGCAGTGCCCGTTCTCACTCTACTGGTAAGACTACAAAGGAACTTGCATCCTACAAATCTCATTCCGAGGCATCATTCTCGCGCAACTCACAACAGGCTGACGTCACTGGCAAATCTACACATGGACGTCACTTTTCTTCTGATGAAGTTAGCTTCATCAACTCTTTGCTGTCAAAAAAACCCAAGATATGACTTAGAAGTTTTTTTCTTTGGCTGTTTCTACACTAGAATCAAAATCGTTTATTACTTCCACGGATGAAATCAATGTAACTTTCTTTACGGCGTATGGAGGAACTCTTTCGCAGCTTTGTATGTCGTTGCTGCGTAATAATTCACACACTAATCAAAGATGAATGAAGACTTGCTTCATACAAGCCAAGAAAAAATAAGTCCAGATTTGACGCCAATGCAGCTATCTACTTGTTTAAGTCCGTTATTTTCGATCTGTAGTCTCGAACGCTGTCTCTACTGGCAGTGATACCTGGATTGGGTAAGATTCGACGTTATGAAAGCTAAATTGCTTTGATACGTGAGAGTAATTCCGTTATGGTTATGGTTGCGCATACGCAAAATGGAGCAAAGAGCAGTATAATACCAGTAACTGATTTGCCCCGCTTTTGGCTTGCATCTCCGAAGTAGAATTTGGTGGGACAGATACGGATTGTTAAATTTTGCGATTTTGCAATTGATAACTTGCGTCAGACATGTATTTGACTGTTGAAAAAAAGAGTTTCTACTATAAAATGACTTTCTCAATCCATTTTCATTCTTACTCTAATATCCAAATTATTTTGAAAGGAATGCTGAGGACGCAATTTTTCTGTTTTCCAGAAAATATCAATAAACTTGGAAGAAAAGTTTCTTGTAGAACTAAACACTCTTTTTTAGTAAGAGCATTTTGATAAGAACTCGAGGCTCAAAATTGGTCAAAAGTTAAGAACAAATTAAGAACAGGTTCAGGCTGAGCTATTGTAAAATGTAATTTTGAGCAATTTTACATCTCAAGAACGGTTTCCAAACTTGTCGACAAAGAAGGATGTTCCACTCGCTTTGTTGGCAAATGGGGCCTGAACAACTCCAAGAGCGCAGTAGCTAGCCATTAGCAGGCTGAACTAGAAAACATTTCCGAGAATAAATTAGAATAAATGAGAATAAATTAACTAATCATGCACCCCAAGATAATTGTATTCATGGTCAATGATCGTAGGCAGAGTAAATTGCCAGAGCTACAACCATTTTCTTTGGATAGGACTACCATAAACAGGTTCATAAAACTAAATACCTAGGACGTACGGTTGACGATAAGTTGTATTGGGACGAACAGTACAAATCAGTCAAAGGGGAAATAAAATAGCTGGTGGCTTAGCATCGATTAGAAGACTGAAAACCTCTTACCGCAATCCCAGTTGCTCAATGTAAATCTAGCAGTTGTTGAAAGTCACTTAAGGCGCGCAAACATCGTTTGGAGAGCCCTTTCTGGTACAAAATTGAGCACTCTGCAAAAATATAAGAACGGAGCATTCGATCTAATAGAATCTTTAAAGGTAAAGGATGCTTGGGATAAGAGACTCATGAAAGTAAGTCAATTGATGACGTTTGAGCGAGCAGTTATGGCTTATAAAATTGTCAATCAGCGCTCTCCAGAAGGGCTGAAAATAAGTTCATTAAAAGGCCTACCATCACACAATACAACACAAGGAATATGCAGGACCTCCATGTGCAAAAACTAACCATAGAGTACACCAAAAGAGGTTTTTGTACACTGCTCCAATAGCTTGGACTGATATCCCACAACCCATTAGAGATATAGATTCCATCGTAAGATTGGAAATAATATTTCACAATTTGAGCTAACAGAAATAAGCTCGGCACAAGTCCATGGAAGATCGTGTATAATGTTTACTAAATGGATGTCGTGTATAAATAAGATTAAATGTAATGAATTACACTGCCTACTAGGGCTGTCCACCGAAGGTCGAATAATCGGTATTCGGTTACTTGTTTCACTTTCGGTTAGCTGAAGCCCAAAGCGAGTATTCGGCTACAAGCGAATAGTACGATTACGGTACTGATCGAATAACCGTGACTGATCGAATAACCGTGACTGATCGAATAACCGTGACTGATCGAATAACCGTGACTGATCGAATAACCGTGACTGATCGAATAGCAATTGCCAACCGAATAGCAATGACTATTCAAATAGCCGTGAATGATCAAATGACCGTTGCCAGTGACGAAAGGTAAACACCAAGTCCCTTTTTTCAAGCTTCGAGTAAAGTTTATTGATTCCGGCCTACAATTTGCAAACCTAGGAAACAGTAACATTTTGGGGGCAGGGAAAGTGAAGCAAGCCTAGCCGATGGTGGTTACGGGCTTTTTCCTCGGGGAATAGCTGTGACGTCACCTTTCAAAATGCTTGAAAATATATTCGAAATAAGCTTAGTTCAGCATTGACTTGATAGTAATTTGAGCCTTTCTGACCAGTTGGGGCGGCTAGCTACTTTTGACAAAAGAATATCTGAACATGTCTTTTGTTTGCTTAGAGTAAAGCGAGGCATGTATTTTAGACCCTAAGAAATTTAATTTTCCAAGGGTCTAAAATACATGCCTCTTCGAAGCTTGTTGGGTTTTTTAAAAAGTCAACATCAGCAACAACAGCACTCGAGGCAGCCCAAAAAAGGTTAAAGAAAGAGCAACCCACCTTATTCAAAGTTGCAAGACAGTGGAACAGTGTGCGCAATCAGTTCTTTCAGACCGTAATGTTGTCACACCAGCCAATGAAGAATCGCTGTCATTGAGTGCTTCTCAGTGGAACAAAATTTCTTCATTATTGCCAGTTCTTGAAACCTTGCAAATAGCAACAACTGCAGTGTCATCAGAGCAGAATACTCCAGTATCGTGTATTCTTCCCGTTGTTACTGGCTTGAAAAACAACTTTCTAAAGGTGCGTTTAAACGATGCAATGCTGCTGCAAGCGTTTAAAGGAAAGGTGTCACAAGCAATCACCAGGAGATTTTTATTTGGCTTAAAGCATGATTCTGTTTCTGCAGTTTTGTCGGTATGAGACCCAAGACACAAAAGCCTAAAGTTTCTTTCCTTTGAGATGCAGTCATCGGTTCAAGACCATGTTAGAAACTTGATGGATTTCTAGAAGAACCTCCTTTGCATCCGAACAGCAATCCATTGGTGTGGTGGAAGAGAAATGCGCAAAAATTCCCAAAGGTTGCTACGGTTGCAAAGCAATTTCTTTGTGCTCCTGCAACTTCAGTTCCATCTGAAAGAGTTTTTCTGCCGCAGGGAACATTATTACTAAAAAAAGATGCAGCTTACTTCCAGAAAATGTAAATTCGTTGATTTTTTGAATAAAAATTTGAAAATAATATCTAAAACTATAAATGATAAATATGATTAACACTAAACTTTATCCTGTGTTTTGATTTCATAGCGCGAAATGAACTTTGAAAGTAAATGATATTTCATTTCGCTTTACAGTTTTGTTAGACACAGTTACATTGGGTTACAATACATTTTGAGATGTTTTTTATCGACTCCATCTTGTCACACCCATCTGGTCACGCCCATATTCGCCGAATAACCGTATTTCCTCTAAGGAACGCCGCGGCGTTTATTACAAACTCCAAATTTTGGATGCGGCGTTCAATACCAAATGAAAAGTTTCAATGAAAAATGACAAAAAATGCGATGGAAAAAGATAAAATGAATGTCAAGTCAAGGAATGTCAATATCCCTCGTCTCTATGAGATTAAAAATTTCATGGTATTCGAATAGTAAGCGTTTAAACGATTCCTTACTTCTTGTTTGGTGTGTTTTCTAATGAACGCTTTTCTTCAAGATGCGGCGTTCAATAGAGGGCCGCGTTTATCAGAGGGCGGCGTTTATCAGAGGGCGGCGTTCATTAGAGGAAATACGGTAATCATAAAGTCATGGACCGAATAATCGACTAGGAAAATCCAAAGGAATCAGACAGCCTCACTGCCTACACCCTATTAATAGAAAAACAAATTATGAACAATCCAGCCTCAGATTTTCTAAATAATTACAAACAGCCTGCCTGAACTTCAATTTACTGGTTCTTATTAAAAAAGAGTGTATATGGACTACAAGACGTAGCAAAAAATCGAATTTTTGAAGACAAATATAGTTTGATTGGAATATCTATTTTTCCGTTGAATTTGCTGATAAAAAACTGATAAAGACGTTTTTGTCGTATTGAATTGAGGAAACAGAAATTTTTTCTCTATGTTTGCTAATTTTTCTGACTTTGGAATGTTTTACAACCTTTTACATTGTTGTGTTTTTAATTATGTTTCAACAGAGTCATTTCAATAGAATCGTTACAAGACCTTGATCCAAACCTGATCGAGTGTCTGCCATTGGTTCAACTCCCTGTATTTGTGGTTTGAATAGAGAGGAAATGAGTTCGAAAAAAGAAAATAATTTAGAAACTAAATTCATCTTATGATATGTTATTATTTATTTGCAAACACGCGTAATGCTTGAATTACATGGTAAATCCATGTAATTCTAGTCAATTAATTCTATGTTCTGAAATATAAAATCTAATGATTACTGGCTTTCCATGTATCCGCATATTTACAGCCGTCGGTCTATGTATTGGACCTGTGGTTATTAAGCGTAGTCTATCTTGCGATGTCAATTAGGTCTGGTTAAACTACTACACTTTATTTGCACACAGGTGTCTCCCTTGGTGTAAACCATCCACATCTTCCGCATCCTACCATGCATAATTTTTCTTTTGATAGGAAGTCATATTTATCCCTTCCAATTTTATTGAATGGAGGGTTCCAGTCGCATTTCACGCGGCTGGGTTTGCATCCCGGGCAAAATCGAATTTTACATCTGCAGTAGATCCAATAATACCGTCTCAACCCCAGAAGCTGCACTTCTGAAAGATTCTGCCACAAGGAGAACCAATTACATTCATTCATATAAAGGCTGTGGCCGACTGCAAAGCCAGTTATTAGGTAGGACTTTCCAACTTCAACTGGGACTGGCCTGAAGGAAGAGTATGTGACGCTGAACTGGTATCCAATTTTGTTTTGCAAGTACTTGGTACCTTTGTATAATTTCTCTAGCTCAAAACGAACAACTTTGGGCTTCATAAATGGAAACATCGCCGGTGCTGCTAAAGGATCTTCCTCTTTCACAAGGACTTCTCCGTTCTTGAACAATTCTTGAAGCTTTTCGTCTGGCTTTCTACCAACAACAAAGTCGGTTTCCCCATTCTCTGGCTTTGGCAAGGTCAACGGTGGGCGGCGTGTTGTCCTAGCTGCAGTTGTTGTTGGTGCGCGTGTTGTCCTCGAATCTCGTTCCCAGTCAGTGCTAATCACTTTTGCTCTGGCGACTACAAAGCAATATAAGCATTTAAAATATCTGAATGACTTCGAAAGCTAGGCTGCTAAGTTGTTTGTATCTATTTAATAGTTAAAGGTGTTGTATCTTTTCTTTAGCAATATTCCTTATGATTATTGCCTAATTTACATGGCCTAATGATTTATCAGTCCTTTAACTTACATGTCCGGCCGGGCTTTATAACAGAAGGTCGAACCAAATTTAGTTTGTTGATTTTATTGAATCGATTAATCTAAATTTAGAATCATAATGTACAATACATACCGAAAAATTGGTAAATTTTTAGGCCAGTTTATTTAAGCTAAATAAGCAGTATTTTAGCCATCTATAAAAACAACTTGAAACAAAAAATTGATAAAAGGCCGTGAGATATGAATTTAACGTATTCATTTAAATTAAATTCGCATTTATTTTAGGGGAAGGAGCTAGCAAATAATACGCCGTTGCTCTCAAAGTTTCCTATTTCGCCATGAGTATGTTATTACAACAAAATACTGTCCAGCATGGTATATAAGGATAGCAAGGCCAGGGGCAGATCCAGAGCAAACTTGAAGGAGGGGCAGTTGGTAGAGGGGGCGCTGAAAAATTTTCGAAAATTGATGACGAGGGAACACTGTATACAACAATTTCAGATCCATTTTCGGAATAAACAACATAACTTTGAAGTAATCCTTGACTCGAATTGACCTATCGGTCTCAGAAACTTTTTCACCTGATTCTCATTCTTCAAAAGGGGCGCATAATTTCCAAAAAAGGGGCACCAGACTTACACAAATAAGTCTTATTTGTCCAATACCAAATTTTTGCACCAGCATTACGTTTTCAAATGCCGTACTGCGGAATATCGTTACGCAAACAATATCATGTTACGCAAAGGCAATGGTTCTACGGATGCGCAAGTTTAGCTATCCTTTTCTCGGATATGCGAGATATTCAATTTTTCATGACTTTCAAGGATGGTTTCTGGTCCCTTCAGTAAAATAAAACTGATTTTGTTGTAATCATTCACGAACGAAACTCTAATTATTCACGAAAATCGATGTGGTGACACTGCTACGTCACGACCGTTCGCCGTACATTTCTTACTAGCTCGAAATTTATTCTGAGCGTTAACAAAATATCGTGCGCCTTTGGCCAAAATCACTTAGTTTTCGAGAAATCCCCTAAAGTTCTATTCTACTTGAAAATCTCCTACGCTGTTTTGAAAGAGTGAAACACCCCCGCCTAAAATAGCGTCTGTAATTAGCCTCGCCATTGACATACAAAATAAACTATTTGAAGACTGTGACTTTGGTTTAATTTTTTTGAGTACGACCGTGACCTGTGTTAAGCCTTATGCTGTAAATTGACTTTGGCCGAGGCTAGGCCTTTTAAAAATCTGTTCAATGCGCCTGTAACGCTTCAATGCGCCTGTAGCGCTTGCAGTCTATGACTTCCATAATGCAATCTCTTAAATTGCTTCATGTTAGTGTTTATTAGTGTTCACACTATCGTTAAACTAACAGTAAAAAAGGCATTATTATTATTATTATTATTATTATTATTATTACTAATGTTATTATTATTATTATTGCTTAATAGAATTATATTGCGATAGAATTGCGCTTGTACGTCAGCAATGCGTTATTGCGGCAACACTGCGGTAACATCATTCGACGCGGACTGGCGCTTATCCGATACTTGTGTGTGACATTACGGAGACAGACTTCACTTTTTACAAAAACGATTTTATTGGTAAAAAATTAAGGGAAAAAGTGAAATTAGGGGAAAATTAAGGCTAATGTGCTGTAAAATGTAAGAACGGAAGAACATGGTATAAAAATTGCCATTGAAAACAATACCCGTAATATAAACATCCAATGTTCTTTTTCAGTAGAATATTTTCTTTTATCTAGCTTTCTTAAACTTAAATCCCAATAATTTTAGAACAATCCAGCTTCGAAGGTTTGAAAAAGGCCAGTCTGAACCTCAATTTCCTGGATTTTATTGAAAAAGGTTAACTAGGCAAAGCAAAGTTACAGAGATAGGAGGAACTTGTTTTAGTATTATTCAAAGGAATATGTGAAAAAGATCGAAGTGTTTTGAGGCTGAAGGGAAGTTTCAAAATATTAACATTACTTGATCCCATTAACAAAACTTCTGATGTTTACCTTTACAGCGAAGAACTGTTGAAAGAATAACGGCTACTAAAGGGTCAAAGACACGGCCCGAGTCATGAAAATACAAACAATTAAACCTTATCTATCCGTGTTGGCAATAGATTAATATCCGTGTTGGCAATAGACAAGGATTTCCGTTGAAAAGATAAATTTCTGGCGCAAATTTCGTGGTTCGACGAAAACACCATTTTAAGGCATATCTTTAGTATTCTATTTTGATCTCAATTTCCCCATTTTTACTAAGGTGTTTAAAATTTTGCAAGTACAAATGTAACCAAAATATCAACTAAATAAATATCTATAGTACTAATAAATATACACCCTTTTTTTATAAGAACCAGTAAATTTAAGTTCAGGCTGACTGTTCTTAATTTTTTCGAAAATCTGAGGCTGGATTGTTCTTAATTTGTTCTTAAATTAAGAGGGTGTAAGCAGTGCTATTGCTAGCTTTTTCGCTCTAATGAGGTGTTCAAGCCTCATTTGCCAACAAAGTGAGTGAGGCAGCCTTAATTTGCTGACAAATTTGAATATTTACCTAAAAAGCACCCACACATCGCTAAAAATCCTCGATTTTGAGAAAAAACGTTGTTCAAAATTGCATTTGGCAGAAGCTCAGCCTCAGCTTGTTCTTAATTTGTTCTTAACTTTTGACCAGTTTTGAGGCTCGTGTTCTTATAAAATTGTTCTTATAAAAAAAGAGTGTAGTTCCGTAACCTAAATATTTACTTGATAATTTGTGGGGCTCAACAAAATGAGCGGTGCTGACCCCTTTAAAACGAATGGGAAGAATTGGAAGGATTTTGAGCTTCTCTGCTAAGATGGGGGGAGGGGGGCAGTTCATTAGCACAGGGAGTATTAAACTGTTGCTGAGTTAGGAGCTATTTAATGGGCTGATTTGCGTACTTAGGTCGGGGTACTTTGTTCAGCCATGGAAGCCAGAATTTTTGGCGTCACTTGTTTTCGTATCTGTCCAACAATAATGTTTTACGTTTATTCCAACTAGACGTAATGCAGTGTGTGGATTACGTAATGCTTTCTGAAACGAGCCAGAGACTGTCGTTTCAATTCCAGCCTAATAGGTTTTACTTTTTGCGATATAAATTTCGTAGATTGATTCTATCGATTCACAACATCTCTTCCAAGCATATCATAACAGAACGGAGTTTTTTGTTTATTGAAAATCAACATCAAACAAGGCTTTGTCGATAAAAGAAAACGTTAGCTACGTTATGTTTAAATGGCGTATACTCACCGTATTTTGATCTGCAAACGGCTGTTTGTGGATGCTCAGGCATGCAAAGTCCATTCACTCTGACACACACAATCGACAGCAGAACTATGAGAAAACAACACGTTCCTCTAGCCATTTTGACAAGAATATTCTAGCCTGTCTTTGCTCTGGCTCCGATGACTATCGATACGCATTTAAACTGTGTCTTGAGCCACTGCGGTTTGCAAAACAATCCAGGGTTTGTTTCAACCATTTCCGGCTTGGTTACTGTTTCACAAGATTATAGCAGTAAGAGATAGTTGAATGCCGTGTACACCCAATGTCGGACTTCCTGTGCGTCAGGCACAGTGTGAGGTATGTTTCCTCGGCACAAACTTCGTTTACGCATGTTGCACAACACCCTTTCCTGGTTTAGACACCAAAAACAACTTTGATTGATTTATTTTGAATAGGATACGTTACAGAATATCTTTTCAGAGGGTACATGATCTTATTATGAAAGTTGTAAATACTTTTTATAAGGACAATTTATAATTTATAAGGACGGGGACTAGAACCGTATACACTCTTTTTTTATAAGAACTAGTAAATTTAAGTTCAGGCTGACTGTTCTTAATTTTTTCGAAAATCTGAGGCTGGATTGTTCTTAATTTGTTCTTAAATTAAGAGGGTGGAAGCAGTGCTATTGCTAGCTTTTTCGCTCTAAGGAGGTGTTCAGGCCTCATTTGCCAACAAAGTGAGTGAGACAGCCTTAATTTGCTGACAAATTTGAATATTCACCGTAAAAGCACCCACACATCGCTAAAAATCCTCGATTTTGAGAAAAAACGTTGTTAAGAATGGCATTTTGCAGAAGCTCAGCCTCAGCTTTTTCTTAATTTGTTCTTAACTTTTGACCAGTTTTGAGGCTCTTGTTTTTATAAAATTGTTCTTACAAAAAAAACAGTGTAAGTGACTTGACTTTTAGCCCAGTTCTAAATTCCTCAAATTTCTGCAAAATAGGGGGGCTACAGCCTCTCCCTAAACCTCTGATTCGTTGTACCTGCCTGTTTCGTATGTCTCTGTCTCCTGGTGCCTATCGTACCGTGCTATACTGACCAAGTGTTCACTACTTATATCTGGTACGGCACGTCTCATATATAACCAATTTCACTCGCGGACTGTGTTGTACGCTGCGACAAAGGATCCGACTCGTCACGGTACGACTTATGAAGACAGATCCAGTCTTGCCGCGCCACTCCGTATCATTCTCATGCATGCGCGACTTTCCAGCCACAACTATTTTCATTTCATCAATATTTATACACGTAACCCTTTCAGCTAACAGACACGGCCTCAATTTTTTCAGAGATAAAATTTTTTTGACCGTCTTTTATAAATTTTAAAAACAGAGTACGAAATTAAAAGAACAAACTGACTATATAGACTGCTTGATTTTATTTGACCCATATACTAACTTATTTAGAAATTTGTCTTTTGATACTTCCGTAGCACAGTGCTCAACACGTTAGCACGTAGAGCGTGATATATGATAGAGTTGAAGAAAATAAGACTACATGATTTATCTCTACAATCCTTTTATTCTGGCCTGGATCTACCCTGGCTGCCAGAGCCTTAGAGAGTCAAAGGATGAAGAAAGGGGAAAAAATTGCGAAGGAGAATAAGAGAGGAAAAGAGAGCCTCTCCCATTCTCCCTCGCAATTCCTTTCCCCAGTTCTTCGTTCTTTGATCTGTGAGGCTCTGGCACCCTGGGTAGCCTGGTTCATAAAGTAATGAACAGAGACCAAATTACAGAGCCCATGCCCCCCCCCCACTTTTTTGGTAAGCAATGATATTTCCAAAGAGGCCCTGTTTCGAAGCATTTAATTCAAGTTCGATTTATTAACATGGCCCCACCACCTTTAAATTCATCGCGTGGGCTCTGAAATACAATGATTTTATGGGGGAAAACGCCTGTGCTTATGTAACCATATTTCAGTCAATTTCTGTAGTATATATAACACATTCAGCTGATTTCACATATTTGGAGGTATTTCGTAAAGCTGTCTCAGACTGTGTGATTTGAATCTAAAAATTATGAAGCTTTCTTTTGTGACGTCATCGTTATAGAATTCTACCAAGAACAAATTTAGAACAAGCTGATGCTGCGCTAAGGCGAATAAAAATTTTGAGCAAAGTTTGTATACATACGATGGGATGGTATTGTGAAAGAGTCGTAACACTGTTATTACGGACATTGCTTTTGTGAACACTGTTACACAAATTGCTATCAAGGAGATTTATGTGTAAAATTATTTTTACTAAGGAAACAATATTATGTTACAGGCTTTATCTTAGGTGTAAACCATTTTATGAATCTAACAGACGAGATTTATGTAAACCATTTTATGAATCTAACAGACGAGATTTATGTAAACCATTTTATGAATCTAACAGACGAGATTTATGTAAACCATTTTATGAATCTAACAGACGAGATTTATGTAAACCATTTTATGAATCTAACAGACGAGATTTATGTAAACCATTTTATGAATCTAACAGACAAGATTTATGTAAACCATTTTATGAATCTAACAGACAAGATTTATGTAAACCATTTTATGAATCTAACAGACAAGATTTATGTAAACCATTTTATGAATCTAACAGACAAGATTTATGTAAACCATTTTATGAATCTAACAGACAAGATTTATGTAAACCATTTTATGAATCTAACAGACAAGATTTATGTAAACCATTTTATGAATCTAACAGACAAGATTTATGTAAACCATTTTATGAATCTAACAGACAAGATTTATGTAAACCATTTGATGAATCTAACAGACAAGATTTATGTAAACCATTTGATGAATCTAACAGACGAAATTTATGTAAACCATTTTATGAATCTAACAGACGAGATTTATGTAAACCATTTTATGAATCTAACAGACGAGATTTATGTAAACCATTTTATGAATCTAACAGACGAGATTTATGTAAACCATTTTATGAATCTAACAGACGAGATTTATGTAAACCATTTTATGAATCTAACAGACGAGATTTATGTAAACCATTTTATGAATCTAACAGACGAGATTTATGTAAACCATTTTATGAATCTAACAGACGAGATTTATGTAAACCATTTTATGAATCTAACAGACAAGATTTATGTAAACCATTTTATGAATCTAACAGACAAGATTTATGTAAACCATTTTATGAATCTAACAGACGAGATTTAAGTAAACCATTTTATGAATCTAACAGACAAGATTTAAGTAAACCATTTTATGAATCACAGTTGAAATACTTATTCTGCTCTATAGTATTTTGAAAAGCAATTTTGATGTCACAATGTAATTTTTAACCTTTTTCACTCCCCCTTGTATTTTCCAAAGAAGGACAATGTTTTGCAGTTTCCACTAAACGTATAAATATTTTGAAGACAGTTTTTCTTCAAACGGTTCCACTAAGTTCCACTTAATAAGAAGACAAATCCACTTAATAACACGATTTTCATAAGGATTCGTTAATTTATATTGAGCCACGATATTCTTAAGAATTATTTTTATTTTGTTCTTAAGAATCATTTCTGGAAAATTTTTTACTATTGTTGATATTTTTAAGGGTATTACCTCAAAAGTTTTTGATAAATCTATCAACTACATTTTACTTGTGAGAAAGTTGCGCTTTTTTCTTGGAAAATATTTTGTTAAGCTGCCTTTGAAATTTAAGCCTGGCTATTAATCTGAGTTAATTCTTCAACAATGACATGGTATTGATATCAATATATTAGAAATGTCGGGATATATTTGAAATATTCGAATTTTAGAAATGTTGGGATTTGGCGATTTACAGTGACAAAAAACTAAAGATCTGTATTTTGTGCATCTAAAAATTTGATATATCTCAGCCCGACCCCCTACTTTTGGTTTCATCGTGCCACTCATGAATAGTAGGGGTAAAAGCAAGAGAAAAACGGGTGTTACATCAGGAATCAGAAGATCACACGCATTTTAACAATCATAATTTTAACAAACAATCATAATTGTTATCTAATAAGTGGTGTTCATTTTTCTTGTTAGGAATCGTCTACACAAAACCGAGCCCGTAATATGACAAATGATTCAGAAATCGTAGCGCTCATCATGCAAAACTTTATGAAAATATTCGAAAATGATTCCATTCGAGATAGAGCTCTTTTTCAGGCATCGACAGGCACCGCGGAGCAGGAAGCCTGAGGTGCCCCCCCCCCCCCCCTATTACACCCATTTCTCGCAAAAAATGCGAAATATTAGGAAGTGAACTATTAGGAAAGCCTCTTTTTATTCGGTTTTAGTCCCCGCGCTTTGTTAGGTCCCTCATTTTTCTCAACGCTCCGCCGTGCCTGATCGGTTAGTTTTGTCGGAAAACTCCCTTTTGGTCCGCCTGCGCCCCTGCGTGCAAGGTATCACTAAAAATAGTTTCGAAGGATAATATTGTTGCCAGGCTGTACAGGAAGGCCTTTTGCCCGTACTTTCCTGTTTACTTACAGACAGTAATATTGCAAGGAATGAATAGGTGGGGAAAATATGTTTTTATGCAATGTTAAATTTTTGTGTCTTTAAGCACGTTTTGTCGACTCACAAAGCTGTTTATAGCTTATGGTAGATTGGTTTTATTTGCAGTAAACAGGGTACATTGTTTCGCTTGCGAAGAGAAACAATTCACCGGAATATGAGTCAGAGTCTCGATACACGTAATCTCCATAAGAAACAGCTTATGAGAAACGGTAGGTTTAATTTTCCCAGTCACTGAAATAAACAGTTTGCACATTATACTACAGTATTATAATACCGCAATATACTAAAACACTGCACTTGAGATCCACGTTACATTCCTTCCTAGTAAACCCCAAAATCAACGAGTTTTCATTTAAAAAACTGTACTTGAATGCACCTCTTTGAGGGAGTATCATTGCAGAAAGTCGATTTTAGAAATTTAAGAGACATGTAGAAGCTTAAGGTAGCAAAATGGTACGAAAATTTAAGAAACTGCCTACCAGCACTGGACCTTAGTTTCTTATTCAACAATCTACGCGTGACTGAAAACCTTCAAAGGAATGATTCACTAAGAGCAAAATGAAAAAAGAAAATTCTATTTCCTCTTGCTAATAGCTACAGGTAAATTTTCTAGAATACTTTCAAAAATCAGCCAATGGTTCCAGTCATCTTTAAACAGGGCTGATCTACCCTGAAATTATGTTTTTGCATTTCATGTATCTTAATTAAGTAATTTCTCTTTCTCTTGTGAATCCTTTTTCTCCACATGTTCCAAAGTCGTTGTTGTATTTTGCATTATATTTTTAGATAGTATTGATAACTAGGTTTTATGTTGGAATTTCGAACAATAATATTGTAGCTGATACCGTAACTGTCAAACGGTTCCAAACAACTGATGTCCAATTGGATCTTTTATGACTCGAATTTAAGGGAAAAGCAAAATCAAATTCGGCACAAGGTTTTTATCCTAAGTACACTAGGACAAAATTATCAGTGCAACCAGTACAGCGATTTCCCAATGAAAAAGTCTGATATAGTTTTATCAATTTTCTGCTAACTCATTCTAGTTTTTATATGCGATAGTTTTGTATGCCATATATTTTAACTTAAAATGTTTAGACCCCGAACTAAGAGATTTAGGCCCATTCGGTACCCCCCCCCCCCCCACTCAACACTTTGTCCGTCGGCACATAAAGGGTTTTTGCCGGGCCGCAACCATTGTAATGTATAAACCTTTCTGTAGTAGTTGAACTTTCAAGATAGGCAACTTAGGTATGAACTTTGAAACAGAAACACATAAAAGCAGCATATAAGAGCATTTATCTTTTAACCACACCATTAAAGCGTGAGATACGCCCGGCAAAAACCACTTCTCCACCCCTCCAAACTTGTTTTGGCTTCGCCCCTGCACATATTGGAAAATTAGGCAGGGCTATGGCTGCGAAAATCTGATTTCTCATCTGTGCGAGGTGATCTTGATGGTTTTATTTACTTTCGAGTATGGTAATTGGCCTCAGTATCACGTGACTGATGACGTCATCAATAACGGCAAAAACAGTAATAAATCCGCTATTTATTCAAAATAAATTGCACAATTCAGCAATTGTAGGTCCTATGTGAATGTGCATTTCAAGGTCTTTCGATTGATGTACCATCTAATTTATTTTGCTGACGTCTGCTTATTTTATGACGTCATCAGTGGATTTTCCCAAGTTTTGCCACAACCTTTGTGCTGATAACTAATTGAGTTGAAATTCACTGAAAATGCGACAAAACTGTGTGTAAACTGAGGCTAATAACGTCACACTGTGTTGATCTAAATATTTTTTATGCTTCTCGACATTATTTGATTATGCTTAATACTAATGGGTCATAATAATCATCATAATGCACTTGTGTATTGCAATAGCAATGACGATAAAGCAGTTTATTTAGAGAGCGACTCTTAATCTAGCCACACTTAGTCGCTGCAAGCGTTGTAATCTTTTTTACAATAATTGAAACAGGATTATCTAGTTAAAATGATGATTAAATGAAATTTCATCAGAGATAGCTTAAAAACAACTTAAGAAAACTGCTGGACAATCGATGAATGTATCTTGTGTATCAAGTATTTATATTTTATTGAATGGTTTTGAAATGTTCCCTAGACTCATTAAGGGAACCACACTTAGCTTGCATTGTGTTTCTTCTTCTTCTTTTTTCCACTTCTTCTTAGTGCCTTGTCCCTTCAGGGCGTTGGTGATCATGTTTTTCGATCCTGCTTCATCTTTTGACAATTGTCAAAATTTCTGAATCTCTTTTACCAGTTTTAAGATCCGTGTTCAATCTCATAAAGTATTTCTGCCGTTGTTTTCCTCTTCTTCTTTCACACTAGATATTACATTCTTTCAGATCTCATCACATGTCCCAAGAACTCGAACTATATTTTCCTTATTATAACTTTCACCAGGCTTGTTTCTATTCCTGTTCTTCCTAAAACTTCCCCATTAATAACTGTCTGTCCATAATTCTAGAATTACCTTTTTTGTACCCTATGCTCCCTCACAAAGAAGCTGTACTTTGTAGAGAAGCTGACGATTTGTTTCAAAACTACTCTTTTGATATTTTTTGACAAACAGGTAAGATGCAAACAGCTGTTGTCAGTGAAAATCTTGAACAAGAGTTTGAGTCCAAATGGTTGTGAGTTTATCGTTTTATGTTATTTATCGCTCTAATAGAATATTCCAAAATATGATTGGATGGATGAAACTTAAAGCGTCATAAACCTTGTTTTATCTCGATAGAATAATCGCAAAGAGATAGAATGGTCTCAGTCATATAAGCAGCAACGATGCCCCATACGCCTACGCCAATAACCAGCTGGCCGTTCAGCCTTATCTACTCAATAAATGAAACAAATGGTAGAGTGGTTATCGCAAAAATATAGTCAAAGAATTTATAGGCAGGCATGCACCCATAAAGAGAAACAAAGATTCTCGCCGAAGGCCTGTTCCATTTTACCTCTTTTGTCAAAAATCATTGCAGGCGCGGATCCAGCCTGAATTCTGACCAATGCAAAGATTGTCAGAAAGTGAAGCCACGCCCTTTTATGTTGGAAACGCCTAATTTTTGGCATTTACAATACAAAACATTTATCCGGTCAAGAACCCAACCTGAGCCAGGAAAAGTCTACACAGTCTACAGTAAACACATTTATCCTTCATGAAAGTAGGATTGAGCTCCCATTTTGTTTTATAAATTTCAATCATCAACAGTTGTAAATTCCTGGTGTGGACTTGGACCGCATTGTCTCATTATATCTGTTAAATGTTAAGTAACATTGTGTCAAAATCTGATTTCATATCTTTGTAGTTGTAAGTTATCTGCAATGCCCGTTCGTGAATACGATTAACTTTACTATTAAGTGTTCTATCGCAGAACATCCAAACAAGAGGACAGTAGTTGAACTGGGAGAAGATAAATGCCTTACTCTCTTAAGTTGTTCAGTATCAAGAAAGTGAGAGATTCTCGAGAGAGCATGTAGCTTTTGCCCAGCATTTTTGCAAATTGACCTCAATTGCCTTTTAAAGCATAATGTTTTGTCCAGAATCACTCGTTACTTCCAGTGTGGAATATACTGACATTCCTTTTCGTCCTCTTCCTTGAAACTCCTAAAATAATTGCAAATTGTTACAGATTATAGCTGCAGATACTCTAATAGGACGTTACCCAAAGAGAAAGAAGTGGGACAATTGCCTAGTTTCTCATTTTTTTCTAAGAAACAAAGGTCGATGTTGAGTACTCCAGTTTTTAAATCTTTTTGACATTTCAATACTCATTGTTTCTTAAAAGTTCCTTAATTATGATGTCATGAATGATGTTATGAAATGTTCGTGACCTCATTATCACGTCAAGAGATTCGCTCCCGTTCTGATGCTGTATTTAGATGTGGGAAGTATATTTGTATCCCTTGTGTCTGAAATTCTAGGCCAACAGGGCAATCATGTTCTTGGATTTTACAAAATTTCGTTGTTCTCAGCTTTATCACGATTTAATTGTTTCTAAATGTTTTTGCTTCGACTACTGGAGTTTCTTGATTTTTTCTGACTGTCCAGGACTCGTTTCTTTTAGCCAGTTTCTTATCAAAAATGAGTGTACACAAAGTTGTTTTTATACTTTTTTAATCCAAATTGATGATTCTTGGAAATAGACAAGCTTTGATGCTTTGGCAAGTAAAAAGCCATTATTAAAATAAGAGCTGTGAGATTTCAAAACCTTTAAGACATAATCTACCAGCATTTTGCATAAAATGATAAATATTGTTACAAAAGTATGTTGTTTTCAATGTATGAACAGTATGCAGTTTGGAAATTTTGAGTTATAACTAATTGCTTATTTGTTTTGTAATCTTTCTAGTTTGACATCTTGTTGGTTCCTTTAACTTTCTTTGACAGATGTCAACGTATAAATTAACACTAAAGCAGTCCCTAGCATTACATTGTAACATTGACCACAAATTATACTGTAGACTGGGGGCTGGGTGTGAAGTTTTAGGGGCTAAACATGCAAAAGGCCAAAATCGAGATTATTTTTTAATTTTTTAATTAGAGTTTGACAAATTATCTCAGGTGTTCAAGCTCTAAAGCCCCCTGCTTTTGCCATCCCTGTATTGCAATACTATGTTTTGCATTAAGTGTGATCATGTGAAAATTTCTGGTAATATCTAGTATTACCCCCGGTTGCTAGTCTTTAAAGAGACACTGACGCAAATTTTTACATCCGACGATTTCGAAAATATTGTATGAGCCACAGGTTGGGAGCTCACGGAACCTGAAAAAATCTTTAGTTTGTATGTACTCGTTGTGGAAGTAAAGTTTCAAGACTTTCAAAATTGGGATATACATTTTTGATATCCTACTTATTTTCTGGTCTGCTGCATGGAAACAGAGAGTTTGATGTCATTTGGCTGTTTACGGTCGGGGCTTCTTGCCCCAGCTGCTTCAATCGATTGATGTTGTTTCTTTTCTTTTGCTTGTAAAGGTAGATAGAGGATGTGATAGACTGTTGTAGTGGTTGTTGTCAGTATAAACGAGCAATTCATGGTTCTGTGTTATGACACAGTCACACACTCACACCATTTCTAGCACCATTTCTTGCATCATGGCTTTCACTGAAATCATACCCACATATTTCTGCCCCTGTCTCGTTTGACACATGAATTTTGTTCCCACAAAGTAAATAATTTCTACAAAGACCAACCTCCATGCATTTGGGAAAAACACTTGATAATTACAATTTTTTGCGTTTGTGCCTCTTTAATAACATTGGATGTATCTACACAATTCCATTTCCTGTTTTGATTTTTAGAAGCTCTGAAAAGATGTTTCTTGTTCACACCATTCTGTATTTAAGTTGAACTCTATGAAAATGGTGGTGGATCATATTGCTCTTAAAGGATCATGCACACAATCAGCTTGCATTTTAAACAATCTCCTTTTTTAGAAACACTGAGATTTAAATTAAAGACATGTGTATTTCTGGAGCAGTTGAAAGACTCTTTGATCTAAAAATCCAAAGATCCCACTTTGATCCAAAAAAGTATAACATTTTAGTTATCACTGTCAGCTGCTTGCTAGCAAAGCCATGGACAACCCATATGCATACTGTACCATTTTGAACAGTCCCATGTATACAGTGCCATTTTATGGCCAACATCTTGAACAGCCTGAATGCAGAAATATCTGGCAAACTACCAAGTATCTATCTTTTTCATATCATTACTTTAATAAAACTCTACCATCTGATATTCTTAATGTTTATGAAACTAGCCAAGGTTTATCATACAGGCTTTCTTGCTACAAAAAATATACAATTGTAAGTCATTTTCAACAATGACCTTGGATTTTGGATATAGTGACTCATACCATCCAAATTTTCCTCTAGTAATTCAAACTTGAAGTCCTCTGTGATAATTTTCTTTATTTCCTCATATGACAGGTCAATCGATACCTCACCAGGGATATCTGCAAAATGATATAATAATGGTCCATTATTTATCCAATATCCTCCAGGCTTTAAAATTTCATTGATCTTTTCAATATATGCCATAATATTGTGTGCAGTATCAATAAAAAAGCATGTTGCAATACAATCCCAACAGTTTGGTTCTGTGTACACTTCAAGAAAATCACCTGCTGCCATTGAAAGTTTTGCATCTTGAGGTAGTTCTCTCGGATTTACATCGGGAAATTTGACTGCAGCAATATGGTTGTCTGGTTTCACAATATTACAGTACTGATGTACCCACGGGTAGTAAGTTATGCTGTTTTCTCCATCAACTTGATTTAATATAAAGTTTGATCCAAAGAGCATATAAAGGCTAAATTCATTTCCTTGGCAGTTGAAGCCAAGTTTAGCAGTCTCGTAAACCAACCTCCCAAGGCCAGCACCAGGTACCAAGACGCCAATACTTCCCCTGTTCTCAGCAGGAAGATAACAATTCATGGCTCTTAAAATTGGACCATAAGACGCATGCCGTTCTTCTGCACCTTCCTCTGCCCAGTCCCTCACAATCTGAGTAAGAGTTGTAACTACTTTGCTTTCATCTTCAGGCGAAATAACTGGCACACTTCCTTGACCAGGTGGCCCAAACTCTGCGTTCTGAAACATTCCGTTTGTAAAGTTAATAATTGACTTGACCAACTTATAGTTCTCTTCTATGCAGGTTTTGCAATCTTTTAACCGTTTAGCATAATTTGGGGCAAGTTTCCTATGCCAAACAGGTATACTCATAAAATCTTTCACACGCTTCTGCAGTTTTCGTAGTGATGAAGTGTTGTAAGCAAGAAATGCTCTGATAACGTTATGGAAGTGATCCTGCTCCTCTTCTTCATCCTTGATGTATTTACTTGGGTCCTCTTGGTGCAAAGATTCGGAGAATTCAACATCTGTTGCCCCATCTGCCATCTCGAGTTTTGGAGATTTCTTCTCAGATGACTTGATGAGCCTTTGCTTTCACCGCACTTTCGCCATTCAAATTAGGCCTGCATCCCATAAGTCACTTCTCAAGTTATCGTTGGTTCCCTGTGGGTGAAAATAATCGCGGGAAAACAGAATGCGAATTCGGGGATGAGATGGGGGTTAGGGGTGAAGCAGATAATCAGAGGGGTAATATTCTTAGTTGTGACAACCACCCTCCTCTCCCTCGAGAACCATGTTTCAGCCTTTTTTACTCGGCGGATTCGGAATCTTTTGTTGACTTTGTGGTGGACATTATTATTATTATCCATGGCTAAGCCCCGAACTGATTGACTTCTAAATATCGTAATGCAGATAAGCCAATTATATGATGCCTGTAAAAGCGAGTCGTATAACTGTAAATTAAAAATGTATTCAATGAAAATGAGATGTTTAAAAAAAATATTATTATTATTATTATCCAAATATCCTCGTATCCAAATACATCCGCCAGTGGCTCGACCTCCCAATAAGTGCTACCTTGAGTAGCATTATTCTTTCTAAAAACCAGTTTGGACTCAGCCTAACTTTACCATCCACCAAATTCCTACAGTGTCAAACAGTTTTACGCAACGCATTGAAATCTTCACCAAACGATAACATTCGCTCTTTATGGAAAAATACCAGCAGTAGCACAAATATACAATATGATATTACAGATAGTAGTACAAATATACACTATATATAGGAACACCAAAGAAGCATTAAAGGCTGTCCAGCATGAGCATAAAGATCGTCTGCAAAACATCCTAACCAGGGCCTAAAATAAGAAATTTTGACAGATCCACATTTCTTTATAAAATTTGGGCGTGGTACTTTGATACGATTGGCAAAACGGGCGTGGCAAATATAGAAACTGCCACTATAGTGCAAATAGCATGTTTAAATTGGGTAAAATCTTAAATGAAAGAAGTATAAGAAGCTGATTCTTTTCAATATATGGATTGGGTTTATAAGAAAATTAGAAACATATAGTGATGTCTTAACTTGTGAGCAAATAGTTATCGAAAGGAAACCCTTTGATATGGTTTGTTTGGATCTCCGTCAAAGCTTTTTTTCTTCCCTTTCTCCTTCGAAAATCCCCTTAAATCAGTTTCGTTTCCCAGACTTTAGTGTTTTTGGTTTTTTGGAACCATATCTTTGTAGCTGTTCACGGAACTCGAAACTTGCGATATTCATATATTTGTTCAGTGTTTCTGGAGTTATGCTGCTTTGCCAACCTTTTACTATCTTTTTGTAGATGGCAATCAGCCTCTCTACATTGTCATTAAATCTTGTCTTCAAAAAATTCGATATTAGAAGCAAAAACCTCGTTACGATTGGCAAATAGTTTTTTCTCTCACTTATGTACAAATTGTGCTTGTCTCTTCTAATTCTCTTTTCACGTAGTTTGAAAGCACAATCCCCCCCCCCTCCCATCTTGTTGGTAACGCAGACACCATGCACCAGCCTATAGTGGAATGGCTGAACCGAGCTAGGGAGCCTGCTCTAGATTTTTTACGGCCACACACTTTGAAACACCGGAAAACATTTGATTTTTTCTTCCTTATTCTTAAACATAACGATTCAGAGAAGATTTCAATTGCTATAAAAATACAAAACCGAGTTAGATAGAATAAAGATTTATCTTTGATCAAACAAGTTAAAGCATCATGAAAAAGAACAAAAACGGGTTCGCAGTCAAGAAAAACTGCTACTAATAGGTTCGTGAGCGAAAACTTCAACAACATTTTCTAACCTATTATTGGAAAAAAGTAGGGGAGGACTATAGTCCCTGTTATGAAACATTCCCAACTGAATGTTCCTCCCAGCTGCCACGGAGAGGCTTATTATCGTTCAACTGCTTTAGCCTTAAGAAGAATCTTTCCAATGCTTGTCCAATTTTAAACACCTTAGCTGAATTGTTTTGCAACTTTTTCTGCAATCTACTGGAATCTACACAAATCCCAAAATACATTACGGGAAGGAAATCATAATCTCGGTCTCGGTCTCGGTCTTTAGGCTCAGTGTTTTTTTAAGTAAGTCGTAAAAGCAAACTAACTTGACATGATGTCATGAAGTTGAAGATGTATACCGAGTCCATCTTTCTTCAAAACAGTACGACAACGACAATATCATAAAGCGTAATGTACTGAAGCTTCGAGTTTTACAGTTTGTTACTTCTTTTTTACTGTCCATTGATCATTTCTTATAGCAATTTACTTATAAAAAATGAGTGCAATACATAAGGCTGGGATTGGGCTTTTACTTTGCATTGAAAAAGATGTTCCTAATTCTATCTTAGGCGTTTCGATTGGTATTTTATGCTGCATTGTTTACTAAAAGAAAATGCACTATTTACAAATCCACATTATCTACAATTGCAGTTCCACAATCTCAATTTGCAACTCCACAAAGTGAGTCAGATCCACGCTTATTTTAGGCCCTGATCCTAACCTTCCAAGGATCTTTATTATCACATTTCTTTAACCAGAATCTTCCACCAATAAACAAACTTTGGTCCAAGCTGCAATGTAGCATGACTCAAAATATTTTCAATTTCACCATAAGGTATCTGAACAATACCCTTGCCACACAGAAAAACGTGAAAAAATGGAACTTGAACCAGACCTCTGACGGTTCTTTCTGTTTTCTGCCAGAAACCCTCCTTCACGTTGTTGCTGGCTGCAAAACATATCTGGAACAAGGCTGATACACCTGGCGACATAACTCTATCCTAAACTTTCTAGCTACGTCACTAAAAGCTGTCAACGAATCTACCATCTACGCTGATATACCTGGCTTTCTTTCACCATCAATCATAACTGGAAAAAATCTTCGCCCTGATCTTCTCTTGAGGACTAACAACAATTACCTCTACATTTTAGAGCTAACTGTTGGCTTCGAATCCAATCTTGACACAAATGCTACAAGAAAACACAGCAAGTGTGCTCCTTTCTTATCTGGTTTACAGCGGCAGTTCAAATGTGTCTCCTTTGTTAATCTTTCTATGAGCTCTCTTGGCATCTTCGGCAATTCCTGCAATTCATTCTTCAAAATGTGTGACTCTCTCTCCATCGATCAGCAACAAAAACGGTATCTCATTTCTAAACTTTCCAACATTGCCATCCGTATTACGTACTGCATATTGTGTTGCAAAAATAAGCCATGGACAAATCCGGAATTACATCCTTTTTAACTTTAGTTGTTTTATTTTTCTCAGTTTTTCCTTTTACCTTACGATTATTATAGTTTTTTCTTGTAAAACTAGGCTAGCCAATTGCAAATTACCTTGTAATAGTGAGATTTGTAACTGTAGTTTAAAGTTGAATTGAAAATGAAATGTTTCCATGTCTCCCAGCCTTCTGAAAGAAATTGCTGACTTGCCTCTGCATCCCAAAAATAAACTTCTATTGTACCACAGATATGTATTGTCCAAAGTTTCTTGGCACTTCACCGTTGCAGACCTATCGAAGACCTGGGTCATTGAGAACCTCGATAATCTTGTCTCTAAATACATTCGCCAGTGGCTTGATCTTCCCATAAGTGCTACTTTAACTAGTATAGTTCTTTCTAAAAATCAATTTGGTCTCGATCTTCAGCTACCTTCTGTCAAATTCATTCAATGCCAAACTGTTTCACGCAATGCCCCCCAAACTTCTCCTAACACAAACATTCAAGCTTTATGGAAAAACACCAGTAGTGGGATGAATCTGCAATACGACATTTACCGTAACACCAAAGATGTACTGAAAGCAGTAAAATCAGACAGTAGAGAGCGCTTGGCACACCAATTACTATCCCAGGGTGCTATTATTTCATTTCTGTTGGACTACTCTCTTAAAAAAGCTCAATGGTCTTTGGTCTGTTGTGCAGAGCAACCTACCTACGAACATCTTCAGCTTCACCATCAAATACCTGAACGATACTCTCCCTACGCGCAAAAATCTAAGCCTTTGGAACCTAAGCCAATCATCTGATTGCGAATTCTGCCTTCTTCCCGAAACTTTACTCCATGTCGCTGCAGGCTGCAAAGTTTATCTCGAACAAGGTCGTTATACCTGGCGTCATAATTCTGCTCTAAATTTTCTTGCAACCTCCTTGAAAGCAATAGAGGGATCCACTCTTTTTGCCGATATACCTGACTTCTCCTCACCGTCCATCATAACAGGAGACAATTTGCGCCGAGATCTACTTCTGCGTACAAAGGAAAACATTCTATATGTTTTGGAACTAACGATAAGATTTGAAAGTAATTTGAAACTAACCTTAACTGCAATGCAGAAAGGAAACGTTTAAAATATGCTCGCCTTGTCTCAGATGTAAGACCAAGGTTCAAATCTGTCATATTTGTAAATCTCTCCATCAGCTCTCTTGGCATCTTCAGCTACTCATGCGGCTCATTCCTTGAAATGTGTGATTCTCTTTCCATTGATGATCAACACAAACGATATCTCATTTCTAAGCTTTCTATGATATCCATTCGTACCACCTATTACATTTTTTGCTGTAGGAACAAAACATGGACTAACCCAGAGCTATTCCCCTTTTAACGTTTTTTTCTTGTTCTCTTTACTACGATTGTAATAGTCTTATTTTGTAAAAACAGGCTAGCCAGTTGCAAATTACCTTGTAATAGTGAGATTTATAATTGTAGTTTTAACTGGAATTCAAAATGAAAAGTTTCCATTATCATTATTACGTTATTTAGAGTTGGTATTTACAATAGCTAAATACACCAGCTAATTTAAACCAACTATCTACAAAAAATAAATGTACAGAATAATACTAATACTAAAATTAAGTATTTACATGAATAAAACTTCGAAGGGGGTTTCCACTGATGTTGTTCTACCAACAATGTTTACAATTACAGTTTTCACCCTCCCATTCTTTTATCAATATGTTAATCAATTATCAATAGACGTGTTTCTAGTGTCAACTCGGAAAATTAAAACTGCAAATTATAAAAGTTTCTTAGCATTTTTCAATTTGGGTAGGGTTTTTTCTTATTTTTCGAAAAATTGAGACTACCGTTTCTTATAACCTGTTTCTTAGTAAAAAATGCGTGTATTGCAAAACTACATTACACATGCAGAATCTTGTTAAAACATTCATGCACAGATTTGAGCGAATTGAGATGAAAAGTCATACAGCATTAAGTTATTGAAAATAGATGTAGAAGGAGAAGTCAAATGCTCAAATGAAATTGCCCCTTTAACCATTTGTTTCAAAATCCTCATGCGTATTCCTATTAAATCTGAGAAAGGAGGATAAAATTGTTCTATACGAAGGAGACCGGTTTGAAGAAAATTGGATACTTTTATTGTGAAACAAGGGCTACCAAAAATAGCTACTTGTTAATTAAATTGAAGAATCGTGTTTGGCTCTCCTGTAGATTATCGTTCTCTTATGGTAACGCTGCCTGATGGCGTGAAACTCGGAGTAGCTACTAAGAACAGTCCTGTTCTACACACCGAATAACGCATTTCTTTTATTATAGCGTAATGAATAAGAACCAATGTAATAAGCAGCGCCCCTCCCCCCAATATTAATTTCGTTCCGACGACACTGTATTTACTAGAAAAGCTACTGTTAGCAGGGGGCAACGTCTAGAATGAAAACACCTACTCTACTCAGTTCATAGTTTTTTTTGTTTCTAATCATGACTTTATACCGACTTTTTTTCAAGCTTTTACAGCCTAGGTGACTGCCTAGATTTGATTTTCAAGAGACTCGTTTGTGCATTATTACAGGCTGCTATGGCCCCGACAGGTGCTGATAATTAAAGAAAATCGTAGCCATTCCCTCCTCCTGGTTTCCTAGGCCACGATGCAACTTGAATATATCTAAATTATGCTTTGATTGCAACTCTGAGTGCCAAAGAGTTTAAAAGGAACATTTCAAAAAAACAATATATTTCCTGTCTTTGTTACAGGAGACTCTTGCACCCAGAATATTTGACAGCTTCGGCTTCAGAACTAATTTTTTTTAGATTTTATGGGCTTCCTTTTGTGGCCTTCCTCCCATGAAGAGTTACTGTATGTAACTGAAGTGTTCTCAGACTGTATGCGTTTGTGATCTGTTAAGCTTTCCATCTGTTAAATTTTTCGGCTTATTTTTGTTAGGGCCTCCGACCAAGGGGGCAGTGGGGGCTTTTTTCAAAATCTTTTGCTGTGGGTGTTGAATTTTCCTTTGGCCCCCTCCCACTTTCCAAACTGTGTTGGAGCCCATGTCTGTGCCCTTCCTCCCGTGAAGAAATTACTCAAGCGTTCTCAAACTGTATGCGTTTCTTCCGAGTCAAATGAATATTTTGCGTCCCTTCCTCCCTCCAAAAATCGTTGTGTCAAAACTCTGGAATGTAGATTCCTGGCACCGTGCCTCGTTTATAGTTTTTTTCAGTACCTGTAAGGAGGTTGGGCAAAAAGGAAATGAAAATATGGAGGTCAGGTCAAGCTGTAGGAGCAATGGGATTGGCATGCTGAAAATGGATCACAGTTGAAGCACCGTAGTAGACTACAAATTCAGCCATGTCTAAGTCATCGGAGAATTCTGTGAGTCTTCTATGGTTTTGTTTTATTTATATTGTCAACAAAGTAGACGGTTAAGGTGGCTAAGTCATCAGGTCTGCCTGGGGCAAGACCCTTCTACTTTATCCATATCATAACATAGCTATCTTCTAGTGGTTAGGCCGTGGCGTTTATGTTTTAGAGATCTTAATCAGATTGGGTTATATTTTTTTACTGATGGAAGCTGGAATCATAGTATGCCTGGATTGTTTACTATGAATTTTGCTTGCTGGAACCATAGTATGCTTGGATTGTTTCCAAGTGCGATGGGAAGTAAAATCAACTTTACAGTTGTTTTCATGTTTTGGTTGTTTTATGAATTTTAACTAAAACATGGTGATCAATTTTAGCTTTGTTTTGAAATGAAGATCGTTGAAAATGAAAAATATTGCACACAACATAGATACTTTCCCAAAAATTTAGGCCTAGGGTGGAGAACGTATATAAACTACAGAGATCCTTTGCGTGGATCTTGTCCTCTAAGGCTGGTAAACTATCATTATAGGCAACATGTTTTGATTTCTTTGGGGGCAAAGATATGGTTCTATGTCATGTGATAAGTATCTGCATCAAGCCTATACCCTTTGTCTAGAGAATTGTATGGCATAGGTGTGAAGATGGCTCAGTGGTTTGGGATCACATATGGTCTGGGCTCAAAACCACGTCCTACGAGCTTCTTCCCCAGCTTGCAGTTTACTTAATTGTCAAAAGTATCAACAAGGAGGAGACTCTGCAGTCTGGATTTTATTGTTGTATCCAAATTTTTGAAGTGAATTTATTGAAACAATACTTTAAAACTTCTAAAAGTATCCAAATAAGTTATTGGTACTGCTGAATTTGAAGATGACATGATATAGCAGATGCATGGCATACTGAAGCATTTTTCATTTGATGCTCCACAGAGCACAAAGGCCAGGCCAGAAAATTTAGATCCAGGTGTGGATCAAAAATAATGTGAAAGGAAGAAAGATGCTTTTGATTGCTTCTTTTGTGTTAAGCAATCAGGGACAGCTTCAAACACGTCTTTCTTCCTTTCACATTGTTTTCGATCCACATCTGGATCTAGATTTTCTGCTTACTTCATTCATTATCCGATGTTAATTCTCTGAAGAGTGTCAGATAAAAAGTTCCTCGCTATGCAATGTTTCCATTATTTTTGTGCTATCTTCCTATAAATAAATAAGTGCCATCTTCCTATTTTTGAGCCATCTTGCAAGGAGAAAGGCATCTGAACAATACCTCCTTGACTATAATGTATATATATATATATATCATACATATATTTAAAAAAAACACTATATCTTCAATGTTTTGACGGAAGTCTTCACCAGTAATACTTTACAAATCAAATGGAGCTAGCATATACAAAATTAATACAATAAAGTAATTACAATTGAGTTGGTACAATTAAGTCAATAAAATGAGGAGGTTAAAGTAGATTGCCTATAACAGTAGTTATTGTTGAAAGCATAACTCAACAAGAGGATTAGAAGAAAACACAGGAGAAGGTGCTGCTAAAGTCAGGGCAGTGTAAGTCTCACCGGGGCTGCAAATAATATGTGTAACACAAAAGAACACCAGTTAGAGTAGAGTAATAGATACACAAAGAATGCAAAGAAAATGTGCTAGTAGAAGGAGATAAAATCAAAATAGACATAAAACCATGAAATGCAAAGAAAAAGAAATTTTCAAAGAGATTCCTCACTTTTATACAATTTGAAAGTTTTTTGCTATATTTATCCTTAGTAGAAGTGTCTGTTTAAACTTTATCATTTTGTTTGGTTTTAGGTTGCTTTGCTGGTTTCAGTCATCAAACAGCTTTCAAGGTTTGTTGAAAGTTCTTGAAAATTTTAATTGAATGATGGGAAGGAAAACTTTGTTAAGATTGATTCAGAACATAACATTTGTATATAGCATTTTGTTTAAAATACATTTGTATAAAATCCAAAATCTGGTTTATTGTCTTTCTGTTTTCACTAGTTGCACCTTTTTGACCAAAACATCTCCACTGTTTTATCTTGGTTCTCTCAAAATCTAGCAATGTTCATTGGTATTTATTTTTCAAACTGGTTATGTATTTCTCCAATAGTAGAAAATCGCTTTGTTAATTGCTGAACGACAAGTTCTTTTTTATTTAAGTTTAATGTTTTGGTTTGAAATATATAAAGTTATATAGTTTTACTTGATAGAATACCTTAGTGGATGGTTTCAAATGCCCTTGGCACTTCATTCATCCAGAAATACATAAACTAATCATACAATGAACTTGTTCTTTCCATCTTCTTTTCCTTGAGGTTGCTTCATTTTATAATATTTCTTCTTTAATAACATTCGATTTTAGTGACAATTTACAGCAAAGAGAACTTGAAAAGGAGCAGCTACAGGAAAATTTGAAGAAGGCAGATGAAAGCTTAAGTATTTTGGTAGAAGGTAAATTTTCATTTGTGTTAACTGGGGTGTCTTTGAATATTAATTCCAATTTCTTGCTCTAAATAGTGAAATACCATGTTTTGCAGTGTATAAGACACATCCTTGCATAAGGCACACTCTTCCATGTTTGAATTCTGAAAAAATAGTTTTTAATGTGTTTTACTGTGTATAAGACGCACCCCCTTTTCTCAGTTCTTGCAAAGCATGTATATCTATGTGAAAGAATAAACTCAAGAATACTATAGACAATAAATCTGTGGAGGAAAATATTTTCAAACTGCAATGTTTTAAATATTACGTTATGTTTACCTATTATGTTTAAAATCATCAAGTAGAAAGTTTAACATCCTAGAATAATCAAAATCATCATTAACATTTACAGGGTTTTAAGTCCATAAAATTCTTGTCTGTCATCTGTTTCGTTCACAACATTCATAACAATTACAGGAATGTGCCCTCAAATTAAGCGAATGTAGGGTACAACCCTTCCATTTGGGATTAAAAAAGCTTTTGTCAGAATTTTTTCTTTTGTAGCTTGAGAATTTCAAAGTTTTTAATAAATTTCCAATAAAAGGGGCAATTATTCGAATTAGGAGAGCAGCTGCTCCAAATATCATAATTTTTTGTCTATAGCAAGACAGTATGCCTTCAAAAAAAAATGGTGGGACAGTCAATGTTACCATGTATAAGACGCACTCTCAAACAAAGCCAATTATAATATGAAAACAGGTGTGTCTTATACATGGTAAAATATGGTACTCATACATTCATTAGCATGGAATCAAAATAATTACTGCCTTAACAAATGCCACCCTTTACAAAGTAATGCACGAAAATGCTGTTTCAGAATTAATACCACACTAACTTGAATAATCATTGTAAATGGTAGAAAGCTCCATAGCGAGTACATGTGATGCGTCATATTTCAAAGATATATTCACTTTGTGGATCAAGGAAGGGGATTTAAAGCAGTTATTGGGGAATCCTCATGACTGTTTTATTCTGACTCTTGCTGAAATTGATATTAAAAATTCCTGTAGCCCTTTCTCAAGTTCCTCTTAATCTATTCATATTAACCACAGTGTATCAAAATGGGTTCTTTAGGCAATGGCTAAAGGAATGGGTCTCTGGAGGCCTTAATATGAAGCTCATTGAAAGTAGACTTATCAAGCTGTCAATAACTAATAATGTGGTATTACGATTAGTTTGGGTTTCTTCTTTCTCATCAGTGTAAGTATAATTTAAACAATAAATTATATCTTCTAGATAATCAAGACAGTTTGAAAAAGACAATTCAGAATTTTGCACTGGTTTCTTCAAGAATACAAGGTAAACACTTGTCCTAAATACCTTATTGATAACAGTTTTAAATGATTTTCGTTTTCCTTCTTACCTATAGCCAGCCAAACCAGTTATGAAATTACCTTTAGCATGTGAGATTTGCACTTCTACTTGGCGACTAAAGACACATTTTAGAAATGTTTTATGATTATTTTTGAAGTGAATAATTTTTGCTTTAATAGAGATATGAATAATTTTTGTTTGTGCAAATATTTTCAAAATTGACCAATTCCAATATTTTTCTTAGCTGCCATTGTGATTTTTCAAACAAGCATCCAATTCTCTTCCTGTTGTTTTTGTTTTCAAATAAACAGCCACATATGATTTTAGGGCACTGGGAGTCAGCGTGACCTGGGGATGTATCTTATTGGAATGAAAGAATGGCTACCAGAGAGCCTTTTTATAAATATTGACATATCACAACAGTTAAAGTGCAATACCCAAATATGTCATTAAGACTGCTAACAAAATGGGCAGGATTGTTATTTTTTTCAGTAAATCTTCCAACGATTTTGCTCGATTTTTCAATAATTTTAGACATCGTCGAATTGATTAAAGAATTTTTATTAAAAGTGACAAACTGTCCTAAACCCTGGTCGAATGTATCTTGTTTCTGTAGACTGCAAAGTTTTATATTTTTTACCGCTCTCAGGCACCCAATAAACCTCATTTTTTTACTAATGCTAGACAGTAGAAAAATCAATAGTTACATTAGTAGCAAGTCCTTGGTGCGCCTTTTTTAAAGACTTAACAAGTCCCTGTAAAAACCTGATGGAAACGTTAATTCAAGCTGTCTTTAACTTCATCTTCAACAGACATGAGGAAATAATGTGATAGGTTTTGAGCTAAGCGGACAATTTTTGACCCAGCTGACCCAGGTACCCTCTCCTTCCATTAAACAATGGAACGTGTGTACTCTAATAGCAAAGTTATTACCATTGAATCGAGGGGGGGGGGGCAAAATATCAACAGAATTGCAGGATTGCCTTGAAAAGGAGTCAGTGGAGAAAATGACATGCAAAAATTGAAAACAGACTGTCATTTGCATTATTAAATCCATACTAGATTCTAAAGTGTTGTAATGTTGGTTGACTCAGATCAAGATGACGATATAAGACTTATTTTGTTCTTTTCAGTCATTGAGATATTCATGTTTCCAAAATAGATATATTAATTAAAAATGAGAAGAGCATCATTAATAAGCCTGATATGTGTCATCAATTTCAGGATGCAGAACAAAAGTGAGTAGCTTAAGAGAAAAGCTGACTACATGCAAAACGCTGCTGAACTGCAATCGAGATGACCTCAGGAGACATTGGCAAGAGGGTCTGGAATATAGCGAAATTTTGAGCCTCCTTGACAAAGTGTAAGGAACGCCTCCTCGTTTGTCGTTTTCTTTCGCATTCAAATATAAATTTTTGTGAGTCACGGTTCTGCAAGCTTTTAGAAATGTGTTCTTATTTGCTGTTGTTTACCTCTTCTTAAGTTACTCTCCAAGTTTTTTGCAAATTTCAAAGTATGACAAACTTGGTTCGGTAAAACTATAGCCTGGATACAGTCTTTACTTTCCATTGAGAAGGAGTGCTAGGCTTACAAGTTCCGCCCTGGCACTCCTGGTAAAGTATCGAGTGTGCTTTGAAAACTTATTCGCTTTTAATGTGCCTTGTACTTTTAAATTTAGAGTCGGTTAAATTTATGTTGTAATTTTACTTTAGAGACAAGGCGACTGCAGTTCCAGACCAGCTTGACAGATACATGGCAAAGAAGCATTATCTTCATGCTGCCAAGCTCCTCGTCAAGACTGGTAGGTCATAAGCTTTCATATCTCGTTCCGCGAGTAGTGAATTTTGCCAACTCTTGAATGTAATTTGGGCCCAGTTGGACAAACCAGATTGGTTTTGAGAAGCAAGTAATTTGGCCAACTCTGAGTTGAATAAGTAAATTCATTATGATACTGAATTTTTCATTACGGACGTTGCGTATTATTTCTTTGATAATTTTACTAAATATTTCTTCAAAATACTTGAATGCTGTCCTATTTCTATATATTCATTTGTTTATGGCTTTGGAAAAAGCGAATAAATAGCAATGCATAAGGTTGGTCCAGTGCCTAGTCTATCTTTAACTACCATGGATTGCTAGCATTTCCTTCGGAGCTGAATGTCAGATTAAACAGGCCATCACAAAATTTTTCTTCGCTATCAATCCTCGTATTGTTTACAGCACTAGGAGAGGCCTTCCATCCATTCAAAGGATTGCTTTTCTACCAGCCAAAAGAGTTCCATTGTTAATGAATTTACATGCCAGTGTGATTCTGGCTACGTAGGATGCACAACCCAAAGATTTGGGCATAAGATAAAACAACATATTCCTTCTAACATCGGAAGCAAAACTGCCCCTCAAAGAGAACAGCCCCCACGATCTTCTTGCATAAGTACTGAGTTTATTCTTTTTCAGAGCTTTGAGGTCTATTCTGAAATTCATGCCTGCATATATGTGTACCGACATAGTCTATGTACAACCTATCGATATTTTTTTGTAGTTACAACATTGGAAACGACACTGGTAAACGTTGACGCATTGCGCGAACTGAGAATCGACCTTTACTCCCGTCAAATGGTAAGTGCAAATATATTTACTACAGCATGACTATATTTTTTTCGGTCATTCAAATTGCAGAGAAGATGAGCTTTGAAGTTGCAATATCAAGAAACCTATTACTTAACAAGGATTTCCATATCAGATTAGTAATTTTGATCTTGATCTCGTATTGATGCATCTCAATTTCATCTCGACTTATCTTAAAGTATAAAGTCAGCCTGCTTTGTTTGTCTTTCTTGAGTTCTTCTGTTTTTTGTTTTTTTAAGAGAAATCTTGATTAAGCCCAAAAAGTTGCCTTAATTGAGGTACTTATAATTAAGCAAATGTTGATATTTTACTCAAACTGCTTTATGTATCAGTCATTTTTGTATTTTGTGCAGAAAATGCACGAGGTGCTTATTGAGGAGCTGAACAAACAGATTCACTCGGATAAGCAACTGAAGCAAAAGCCTTCTGCTGGTAGGTATCTATTTGTCATGGATCTCGAGGGATAGAAGCATAGGTTGCTTTGGTAATGATTATCAAGATTATTGTTAATAAGGATACTTCAGCAAATTGGCAAGGTCATATCAGCATGATAGTTAATGAGAAAGCAGTCAAACTAAACTGCAGCTGGTGAAAATTTAGAGGTTGGAGTTTGACTCTACGCTGGATACTTGTATTGTCACAGGAAATGATTTGATTGAACACATTGAAAGTAATTTGTAAAGCAGTGAACCTAGAAATTAATGCACGACATACTTAAGTTTTTAACATCTGACGCGCATGACAGATTGTCTAAGCTACTCCGGTCCTTTTATATTTTTGTTTATGGTACCTCTTAGCAGTCCTCCATATATGAAGTCATTTCTAATCAGTTTACTATCAACTCACTAGACTCATTCCATGCACGAGCCTCTATTGTAGCGTCCGTTGAGTGAGGCTTTAGCCGAACAGAGGCTCGTAGAGTAAATCTAGCTATTCACCTCCCTATAGTTTGATGGCTCATGTAAAAGTGATCTTAAAAGATGACTTCAAAGGAATATATTTTCAGAATATATCTTGAGTTTTAAACGTGCCAAAATCACCTAAACGTGTTACAAACTGGCCTAGACAGAGCCTTAACAGCACAGGCTCTTCCGCCGGCAAGTCACTAGATGGTTTAGGTTCCAGAATCTAAGTGCTCTTGCCAAAACAACAGTAATCTATTATTAACAAAACAATCTCAGTCAATTTGCAACCGAGATAACCGCTTATTTTACACAATTAGTTGCACTTTATGGTGCTCTTTCAGGCTATATTTTCAAAAGGAATCTTCAACATTTCCTGCTTCAAAGTTCTAAATTTTCTCTAGACTCTGGCACACTGCTTTCTGTTCCTGGAATAAAGTGGATTTCAAGATCTTTATCACGTGAGTTGAAAACTATGCTATATTTTTAGCTTAGAGAATAAAATTGTGTGTATTATACCATTACATTTAATTAAACGTTCAATTTGAAACAATGGGATAAACTTAGAAAGCAAACCAAAACGGTAGATAGTTTTACTGATGCTAACTTTGTTTTTAAGAATATCAAAATTGCTGCCCTAGAAAATTAGCTCCATACTTCAAACCCATACTCTTTGTTTTGTTTCTTTGCAAACACCTGAAAGTATGAAATTAAACAAACTCACCTGGGAAGGATGATTTGTGTTTTATTTTGCTGCAACTTCTCACATTCGATATAAAATTGAGATATTTTCCTTTTATGTCGTATCTTGATGGGAACTTCATATTGCATCATTTAATTATAAAGTTCATAAAATTTGTTCAATTATCATTTTCCATCTACTTTTTAATGTTTATTTTTAAACTGCCTGTTAAAATTAGCATTATTGATGTTATCGTTTTAAATGCATAGTCAAGTTAGTTCCAATTTTATTAAGTGCAGTTTTTGAGAATGAATCGGGCAAGTTAGTGCAATTTTTATTTAGTGCAGTTTTTGAGAATGAACCTTTATAATGAGCTTTATAATCGAGCTTTATAATGTTCAAGCTTGTTTGAAACTTAAGGTGGTGGCTGCTTCCTGTTTATTAAGTAATCTATGAACTTTGTTTGCGTGGCTGCCACTGCCTGTAGAGTGGGATGGTTGTTACCCTAAAAACTGAAAATTGCCTAGAAATTAATTTAAAATGGCGTTAGTATGGTATGGAAAATCGATAAAGCTTTTTGCTATCTTGATAACATATTGTAACTGATGTTTCCAATTGTTATTCTTTAAGAACTATTGACATCGTCATTTTGCGTTTTTTAGGTTCATTCAAGCCAGAAGCCTTTGCAGAGGTCCAGACTGCCAGACTTGACGAAGTATGTCCACGAATGTTTTGATACCGAAAATTTTGTTTATTTGTTGAATTGAACTAAGAGACATTTCTCGAACCGGAAGCTGGCATGTATCTTCACTCTCAAGCCAACTGCATACAGTAAAGGGTTCTCAGATCTCCAGCCAACTGCATGCAGTAAAGGGTTATCAGAATTTTGAATAATTATTTTGAAGCTAACTAGAGATTATTCTAAAGCTAACTAAAAGTATTTTCAAGCGAAATAGACATCTGGCAAAGTAGCTATTATCATTCTTTATTTGACGCACCTTTCAAACCCTATTTTACGTCCTTTTTCAACTTGGGTAAGTGAAGCTTGGGCTTTTTATTGGAAATATAGGATTCGTTACTTTCATATTCAGTCTGAGTCAAGCTATTTTCTCCCTTAACCTTTATTTTCACTAAACAAAGATAATTTCGGCTTGCATCTTTGGATAAATAACTATAAGCACCGGAAAGTGAGCATCTTGATTGTCAACACAATTAATTAACGCCCTTACTTTTGATGCCTTCTTTTTCTAACCGCACCTTTTTAGAGAGGAAAATTTTTTATTAATGGCTTTGAAAAAAGCAAACATTTTAGAACATACTTAAGCTTTTCGTCCGACACTCTTCAGAGTATAAAACGTCAGAACACGGATCGAAAACTCTACGCTAGGAGATATATATATACACAGTTGTGGATCGAAATAGGCCAATCAGCGTTGCGTGATTATCGAATAAGTGTTTCAAAGATCTCAAGCTTACAACATTTGATTAAATAAGTCGAAAATGGATATAGAAGAGAATCATTAGTCATAAGAAATATTTAGATGTCAGAAATATTTAAATATAAGAAATTTTAAGATATTTTTATAAACTCAATATGGTAAATATCTAAAAAGGTCTAAATACAGAAATGTCGAAATACAGTAAATATCTAAATACAGAAATGGTATAATATATCTAAATATAGGATTGTCTAAGTATGGAAAATATGTGATGCAGAAAAAAGGAACGAATTTTTAATTCTTTTTCAAAGATAATAACGATTTCAATTGTTTGGTTGTGGATATGAAGGTATCAACAACCTACACTCTGTCTCTAATTCTATTAAAGTGAATAATTTCAGAAATAGACCTATGTGGATCTTAGTTTTCTCCGCTTCTGTTATCTGTTTCTGATCATTCCCGATCACAAACGACACAAGTCAATTTACTTGAAAAAAGATATCATTTTATTTTTATTTGATAAAAAGCTGTGATTTTAATTGCAAATATTTTGGTAATTCAGAGTTTTCCAGCTCTGAGGTTTTTTAATGGCTTAGATATCACTTTACTGGTTTAGACTAAATTCTTGCAGCCAAAGGTTAGCTCTTATCTAACCAAATGAAACCAATATTATTCTAAGTATATCTGACTTTGTTGTAGAAACGAGACAGAGTGTCTGCACTTGGGGCTTGTCTTCGTCTTAACATGATTTATTTTATATTGAAACAGTTCAGATACCCAACTGTTTAAATTCAGAATTACGCTATTTGGTGTATTGAACAGGCCGGTTCTAGATTGCTACTCCGAATTTCACCCTAAATATGATTATCAGGCAAATGATTTCAGAAGTATATTCGCTTTCTGAAAAATTTGATTATTATAACTGAAAATGATTTTTTCGCTCAAATGTCTTCAGAACTATTTAAGACGATGATTATACTTTATCCACATATATTTCATTTTTTTCTCACTCCTTCTTGGAAATCTTAGATTTATTCTAATGCCTCGTATTCTAATTTGCTGTTGAATAAATAGACATATTAACAGTTTCGTTAATGAAGACTGCCTTTTCTATTTCAGGTCACGGAAGATTTGCAAGCCAATCCTGAAGACAATATTTTCATGTTTATCAACGTTCTTATTGAGGCCTTAGAAGTTGTCGGTAAAGTTCCTGAAGCAGTTGATTCCCTAAAAAGCCGGATAAAACGTGAAATGGCATTGGTTATCCATCGTGCTACTGACATTGTTGCGAACAGGTAATAGTTTTGGATATTTGATGTACATTTTGTTTGGAAGGGGAGAATTCTAGAGGGGAGAATTAGTTGCGGCTCAGTTGTTAGAGGCGCTGACAAATACCCCTTGTTGTCGTGGCAAAGGGGCAAATACCCCTTGTTGTCGTGGCAAAAAGTAACGAAGAAAGTAGCTTCGAGGCTGTCAATAATTTAGAAGAATTTAGGCATGGGGCAAAGTTATATATTTCATACAGTCGGAAACTGTCATTCTTGATATGTTCTGGCCCTTGATATCTCTGAGCGGATCTTAGTTATTAATACACCGAAAACCCAGTGTCACAATTCAAACTGTCTTTATTACAGGTCTGTCAATCGATGAAAATGCTGTAAATGGAGCACTGTAGTGGTTGATATACATATTAGTAAACAGAAAAAGCCCCATTGAAGCCCGCTACAGAGGCACCCTATAACCCTTCTATGATTTTTAGTATGATTAGCCTCGGCATGACAAGAAATCTCTTAGCCTCGGTTTTGGATAAGAAATGCGCCCCCGCGGAGGGTCTTGTGATAATAGCAGCTTGTTAATATACATATTAGTACACAGTTTAATACTCAAAATCCGTTTTCTATAGAAGTATCGCTTTATATAAAGTTCCCTCCCCCCCCCTCCTTCTGGAGTCTTGGCCTGGTTGCTCTGTTATCTTGTTATACTCTTTGTGTCTTTCTTATGCGTTTGTTGACATTTTCATTTTTTGTGTCTAGGGCTATCGCAAGGGGTGATGCTGTAACTGTCGAGGTAATGATCCTAAAATCAATGATTTGCTTTCATTTGCAAATGAGGCTCGAGTTTTTTTTATTGGAGAAACTGATTTTATGATCTAACAACAACAAAATCAGCAGCTCCTAGCTACCGGCTGCTTTTGATGATGAGTTTTTTAACTTTTCTTTTCTATTTTAACTTTGCTTTTTAGTCTTTCCTAAAGATTAAAGATTATCTTTAGGTCATCTTTCCTAAAATCAATTTTAAGCAGGGATTCGTTTGGTATTAGCTTTTATCGATTGCAGATTGATCAAAAACAAATGCATTTTTAAGTTTACTTTTAATGTTATGATGCATAAACCTTCTTCTAAGACCGACACCTGACATTTTTTAAAGGACTCCTAAGGCATCTTTTTGCTTTAATATTGAAAACGCAAACATTGCCAATGATTTATTTTCTGTTACCATGAACGTTGTTCTTTGCTGTGGCCAGGGGTACACGAGGCGCTGGTTGCACTTTTTTATTAAAACACCGAATCCATGAAACCTCCATGACCAAATGCCCTTTGCTGATTAAACGATACCAGTTGACTCCCCCCCTCACTTCAAGTGTACATCTAATTCGAAAGGTAAAAGATTAACCAAATGCCGGCCTGATTTGTCCTTACTGATCTTTTTCTGAACCCTTTTAAAAAGTATCTCATGGCTTGAGATTGCTAATTCTTGCAGGTTTCAAATATATAGCCTGAAGAACTCTGCCAAAATAGCCCTTATATCCTTACTTTTCAAATATTTTTAGCGTCCAGAGACAAGAACACGGAACCCTACTGAAATTAGATGTATGACACAAAGCCAGCGCCTTTCTCTCTTAAATATTTTCTTGCTAACAAGTTTGCATATTTTTCAGATCCAAATATTGCTTGGTTATTGTCTGGACATCCAGAGTCGTGCAACTCGGCAGCAGGCTCTGTCTCCGTTTCCAAACACGGAAGGGTAAGTTTTAATATCATTTTGAAGTATCTTTCCACTGGATAGGAAACTGTCTTGATTTTGCTTTGAATATCAAATCTATCATTCTTTAATAAGTTTCTGAATATTATTACAGCATATCATACCAGATTGAAAGCATATTTTTTGGACCATATTTTTTTGATCATTCGATAAACTTGCTTTGTATTATCATTGGCTTTGTATTTTTTGGTGGAATATTATATTTTCAACATATATGTTAGCATTTATCGCACCCAGTAAGGTTGATGGTTTTTTTTGTTTTGCAGCGAGATAAATTCATTTTTTGTTAGCAAGAAAAAAGCGAAATCTTCAAAGGTTTGTTCGGTTTTCTTTATTCATGTTTAGGTTTATTTTGTGCCTACTTGTGATGGTAATTTCTCAAAGATAAAAGCAGCTTATTTTTCCTTAGCCGAGTTGGTACGTGGAACATTGTATGTTTTCATGTTTAGAATTTGCTGGCAATTAGGCCTTTTTGTTAGGAAGTAGTCATAGAAACAGTTACGACTCTTGCACAATTAACCATAGATAGAGATGAAGTCGAGTTAGAGTAAAAGAGTAGTTGGCGAGAAATATCGATGGAGTTGAAGTTCGAGTGCTGGGTTGAACTACGCTATGCTTGTAAATATACGCTGTAAATTGATGTTAATTCTCTTCGATTGTGTTATGCTGCAATCTATGATTACAACACTGTTCTCGATTTCTTCTAGTCCCCTTCTCTATTTTATGCACATTTCTAAAATTAGAGAGTCTCGCGAAAAATAGCGTTTAGGTAATGGAAAGAAAAGGTTTAGGTATTTCATTTTTTGCAGTACCCACTGTTCCGGTTCGAAGGTTCATCATCAGCCATTGCAATGAGTAGTTATATCAAAGACCAGGGACAGGATTTGGTATCCTCGGTGAGCCAAATTTATGTTAATTATTCCTTCAAAAAAACTTTTCGTGATTTTCTTGTCTTGTTTTGATTTATCGCAAATACTAGGGTCAAAGCAGTTTAGCTCCCTTTCCTCAATTTATTTAACTTGCTGGTTAGATATAACCAACGGATGCCGTTAATTTGCCTACCATTGTATCAAAATTCAAATTATAATTTTTTGCTGCTTAAAAAAATTGCCTATCATTTATTTGGATAAAAAAACAGTAATTCGAAGTTTGCTTTGTTGCTAAAACTAATTTCCTCTTTCAATGTTTATTTAATAACTGCAAATAATTTCCTAGTAATCAAATTTGTCATCATTAACTTTGCTTTTGGTTCTTTTGTCACCTAATATTCTTTGTTCATAACAATTGATAAGTTTTCGTTTTGTTTAAGTTTCCAATTTTTTGGATGATTTTGACTCATCTTTTGTTGTATTTGTTTCCCCAGGTTAAGTAAGGATATTTTATAAAATGTTTTGTTTTGGCTTGCAGATCCCCGACGATCCTTATGCAGACTCTCTTCTCTCGAGCAAATGTCAACTTCTCTGTAAACCATCAGCTTCCAATGTAACTGGCAAGTAGCAAAACTACAAGCGTTTTTATTTATAATGCCTTATTTTATTGCCGCTATTTAATTGTCCTTAAAGCTGCACATATGAAAATGTCTGTACCTTAATATCTCTTATTGACAATTTATCAACATATTTGGAATTTCAAAAAACATACAATAATTCATAATATATACACATTAACAAGTCACTCGTGCCTTTTGTACCAAACGGATGTTTCCATTGTTACACAAACATTTTTAGATGTATAGAATATTTATTAGTAGATTGTTAAAACTGTATTGTTAAAACTTAATTTTTATCCGTAGTAATTTTTGCCTTGTTGTCGCTTGTCGTAAACTTCGTTCGATTTGTTTTTTAGTTCTTTTTATTCCGGTCATGACATTTATTGGAGAAGTTGAGAGAATAACGTCATCAAAACTTGGGTACGTCATTTCATAAGAATGTTGGTGCTACTTGAAGTTTTGTTGCTCTGCACCTTTTAAAGAATCGTTGATATTTTCTTTTCTTACATTTTGCTTTCTTTTATAAGTATTATTATGAAATTTTAATGCGGAGCATGAAGTAGGTTTGTTATTCACGGATTCTCTTAATTGAAACTTGCTTTGTTGTTTTGTAAATTGTACAATGTCCTTTGTGACTGCTTCTTCGTCTGTATTTTATTTGTCAATCGAATTTAAATTTAAATTTTCGTACACAAAATGCCCCTTTTATTATACACATAATAGTAAAACTCTGCATTCTTCGCTGTATCGCAGTTATGTTTACTGCTGCTCTTAATTCTGCTTATAATTGGAAGAACAACATTTTTTAGATAACATGTTTGTCCTTTTTGTGCCAAAGAAGGTCTTGTCTACTTGTCTGTAACCTGATCTAATTTTTTGGCAGGGTCGAAGGAGTACTTTATCATTCAATAACTGATTTCGTCAAAAAGGAATTCCTAAATCAAGTTCTTTATGCTGTTATGGAAAAAACAAAAGTTGCAACACGTGGTAATTTAATATTAACTCCTAATTTTCCGTTTTGGACAATAATACAATCCCTGGATTTATCGAGTGTTTAATAACTTTATACTGAGAGAAAAAAGTGTAATCAAGTCTCTGATATTCACAGATATTTTCAGAAATTACAATTTTTGTAGCTTCACTGCCCTGAAAAGCTACTTTGCCTATTTTTGTATTCATGAAAATCTTTAATTCAATCTTTATATTAACTTCTCTTCGTATTTTTTGTTATTGAAATTGTTATAAAACTCTTCAGAAGACTAGTTTTCAATACATTATCAAACATTAACAGCCTTTCAATGAAAATGACCAATTTAAATGTGCAAAATCTTTTTGGAAGCTTTTTTTAAAAAAATCCTCATGACAAGTCAAAAGATGGATTGTGCTGATATAGGCCATCTCATTTTGTTAATCATGTGCTATCCTAAAAAAATTATATTCATTTAATAAACGCTACTACAAAGGAAGATCGCTTTACTTCACATTATTATTTCAATTAATTTGCACTGATTGCCATTAATTCATGGCTGCCAAAACTCGAAACCAACACCGATGGCCAAATGCAATGCATGGGACGTAATGAATCGCGTCCTTCTTTCACAAAAAGACAGTCAAGCTAATTCAAATTTTTTCTGTTGACAATCTCGTTATCGTCTTGCGAATTCTTTAACTTCCAATCTGGAATAAAGCGGAATTTGTCCCAAACTGCATTTTTGTTGTTGTGTTTATAGGACTAGATGCATTAAAGAATCTTACCGACCAAGCGACCCAGAATACCCTTCGAATCGACAGGCCATTGCTAAAGGTTTGTCTTTTCATATACATTTTTGTTCTCGTTCTTCTGGGCCTTATGTTCTCAGTTTATAAACTTTCTATAAAAAGATTTCATTGCACATTTTCTGATTAACTGTTGAAGAATCAATTTATACGATTTCTTTATAAGCTTTATATTTGATACTAGATGTTCATATACAAATTTTAGGCCTTTATTGTTATTTGAACCATTGCTCAACGTATTTTGGAGCAGTTGAAAGGTACAATGTTGTTTAATGTGCAGGTTTTCTTTACCGTACTAAAGAAAGTTTTTATCGCTTCTGATCTTTTCAGTCGATAAACATTTATTTACACTAGTTAGAATTCTTTAAGGTTTTACAATTTCCACGAAAGTCCCTTTATTAATGTCAATTTTACTGGGACGTTTTGAAATTAACTTGTATTTTTAAACGAATAAACAAGTGGTAATTTTTGTTGAACAAGTAATCTTGATAATTTCTCTGCTGATTTACACATAGGCCACAGTGTCCATATACAATGTAGTGGAAGAGCTCTCCTCTTTGATGAAATCACTTCCTCTTTACACCACTGAATTCTTGGAAATAATTGTGCAAGTTATTGGAAAATATCTATTGTCTTGTAAAGAGGCATATAAAGGTATGTCTCGATGCAATATTTTTAACTGTAAAAACATAATACTTCTTTCATTACAATTTTTCTATGACCTTTTTAGGTTCTCAATATCTTTCAAGCTTTGAGTTTTTGTGTATCATTTTCTCCAGTCTGAGATTTGCAGCGAATCAATACGTTCATTGAAGGGCTCAACGATAATTCCATGTTGCAGAACATTACAAAATATTATTTTTAGAATCTGTCTTTTTTTATGCTGGTATTCAATAATGATGGAAAATTGGCTTTGAAAAAGCAAACATTTTGAAAAATCTTAACAAAGCTTTTCGTCTGGCACTCTTCAGAGTATGAAACGTTTCCAGTCTATAGTCGCTTTTTCGCTTCATCTTGAAATGGTTTTGTACAGAAAGCTTGTTCCGTGTTAAGGGAAATGATTGTCTGATTCTAAAGAAAGGAAGAAGATTATTTCTGAAAAGTGCTAGACGAAAAGCTTTAGTAACATGTTTCAAAATGTTTGCTTTTTTCATAGCCATTTTTAAATTCTATACCACGAAAAGAAAGGTAGAAAAACAATTTTAAAATGCCAAGGGATATACAAGGGCCTCACAAAGAATTTTTTGAAGATAGAATGCCCTCTATTTCCCGTGAAGCAACTTAATATGATACACTCAATTTTGGCATTGTAGTCGACCATATTACCCAGGCAGTTTAACGTATGGGTTTTTATTTCTAGGTCTTGTGTTAAGGGAAGAAGCTGGAAAGCCATCAAGAATATTTAGTGCTTCTTGGGCAAGAGACGAAGATATAAACAGATACCTCAAATCTTTGCCTAACTGGCTTAATCTTCAGGAAGAAAGAACGAAGGGGAAGATGCTTGTATGTTATGGCTATTATCATGATTAATTTGATTTAATGAAATAGGAAAATTAACATGATATAAATTTTGAAACTTTGTTTGGTGCACATGTCTGCAGCAAAATATAGATGCATTTTCGTTTCATCTTGAAATTTTCTTGATGGAAAGCTTGTTAAGTAGCGAGTTTGTCTATGAACATGTTTGGTCAGTCATCGTATTGCAAAACTTGTTGTTCTTTGAATTTTCTTTGATAAACATTTTATGGTTGGTGTCTACCCAATTTTCAGATTTGAAATAAATCGCTCTTAATAAAAACTGGCTAAAAATATCGTTTACTTAACTTTTACTGTTACTGCAAATTCGAAGAATCCCTTGCCTGCTTTGGCATATTGTTTAGCTTACATTCCATTTTTTGAAGAATTTTTGGCAGTACAAAATTTGAATGTGGCGTTGAAAAGGAAACAAATTTTACAACATGACTAAAACTTTTCGTCTGACACGATTCAGAGTATAAAACGTCAAAAATAGAGCCGAGAAAATATACCCAATTGTGGATAGCTTAAGTCATGTTGTAGAATGTTTGCTTTTTTCAAAGCCAATTCCAAATTTCGAACTGTCAGCCCCCAAATAAATTCATTGTGATACATCAGTCAATTGTTGTGTAATCATCTAAATTGACTACTTCTGTAAGAACCCAATTTTACGATCGCATTTGACAAAAAAAGATATTCTTTAAGTTTGGTTGTTTGTCTTACTAGTCCAATTTGTGTTTTACAGCTTCTAGACGAAGACATGGAGTCGGTTAGATTCAGAAACGCGCAGGTAATATCTTCATTTTCTTCCTTGAATTTTGTTTAAATCTATTATTTATAGTTTTTGTATTATTGTAGAAGTTAGGCTAATAATGAGACATGTTCACTGTTACTCCGAGTTTTGTGCTCACGCTACTTTACCGACTGATTTGTGCTACTGTGCTACTGTAAAGCAGTATTCTTATTCTATATTTATTCTAGGTGAAGAATTGTAAAATGAATGAATAAAATTTATAAAGAGCTTTGGTGAAGCTCTTAATCAAATGTTGAAAATTATTGTAAAGTACAGGGTGCTTTTTTTAGTGCGACTTGCCCTGAAGGGGGGGGGGGTCGATTGGTCAAATTATAACGGTAAGCGTGTTATTCGGAGAAGAAGAATAAGTTATTTTATTTTATCTCTAAGGTTTTTCATAAAATCTCTGGAGTTTTCAAAATGTTTGCAAGATATTGTGCATGCCGGTAGTAAATATTAATGGCACTACAGCTAAAGCTGGCAATATAAATATAAGTTTGGAAAATAAATTGCTTTAAATTGTATTCGGTAAGTCAGGGCCTTATACATTATTAAGACTTCCACGATCTTCGACATTTCAAGATTTCAAAGGTTGATTTGGAAGAAGCCCCGTTTGTCATACTGCTATCAGAGAAGCCAAATAGCAAATGTTATGTAATTTTTGCGTGTTTTTGTTGTTTTAATGTGATCTCAAGGCCATGTTACAGGTCAAATATTTTCATCAGATCTTCATCAGATGTTATTCTTGTTCAATTTAACGTATTCTTATCGTAACGTATCTGACGAATGTCGTTTTGAAAATATGACCGTGTAACAGGGTTTTAAACGTTTGATATATTTCTCATTAGCAAACAGACAAGATTCTTGGGACCTTGAAAAGGGGTGCGATAGCAAAAAATGAGGTTATTCTGGATATCGGTGATCTGAAATCGCTTGTGAGTCTGCAAGAAAGCCTTGTAAGTGCAATTTATTGCTTCCTCGTAATTAAATATTTCTGTGGATTCTATGGTTTACATTTTAAACTCTTGTATTTCTTTCATTACTGCAAACGATTTTAGTAAAGAGATCCATCGTCTCATGTTTGATTTGAATTTTTCCCACAAGAGTTGCTTTGGCATGAAAGTTTGGTTTTTGGATTATCATGGATGTGTGTCTCCGTAGGATCTGATATGATATTTATCCTTTCAGATCAATTTTAGTATCAGATGTTTCCATCGGTGGTTCTTTGTTCTCAATCTTTTGGTGGTACAAAATATGAAAATGGCTTTGAAAAAAGCGAACAACTGAGTAAACTAAAGCTTTTCGTCTGACACGTCTTCAGAGATTAACACGTCAGAACATAGACCGAAAACTCTACGCTAGGAAATATATATACCCAGTTGTGAATTGAAATAGGCCAATCAGAAACGCGAGCACATGACTGTATAGGTTGACCAATCAGTGCCGCTTGCCTATTTAGAATGTTCACCTTAGGACTCCATTGATCACATACCGTCCAATTCTTTTATTCGAAGTTCTCTGTACACTGACATAGGGGAAGCACTTATACAAAGCCATAGATGTTGAGAAGGGGGGATAGAGTGAAATGAACATGTTTTGCTCAGGAGGTTGTTGACAACAAAACTTTTCTAGTCAAAAACTCTTTGATGTACCTATATCCTCCATATTAAATTTGCCCTTTATATCAAATCGGTCTCATTATGAACTCATCTTATCAAAGGAATTGTTTGACGTAATTAATCGATATAGCTCCAGTTGGCCTCAAAAGCATGTTATTGGAGGCGTATTCAAGCCGAGGAGCTTATTTCAGCGTAGGGCTTATCCTAGCATGCATTGACAAGATAAGCTTAGACCCAGGTCAATGCAGGATATCGCATGATAATTTAGAGGATAGTTCGGATCTTTGTTTACCGTTGGCTCGTCAAACACTGCTGTATCGTCGTCAATTGGAGTAAACAAATGTCAAGCACTTCTTATATCATCTTTAATTTGTCATTGTGCAAAAAAGGAGTTCTGTTATGAACACTCACATGGGGCTATTCTTGCTTTTAAAGGTTTTGAGAAAAATTCGTATTGATGGAAGTAGATAGATCAAAGAGCTAAGTTCGAAATTGATGTGTATATAAATGGGTACAAAAAGGGGATATAAGGGGTACAAAAACGTTTTGAAAGCAGTAGAAGGATCTAAATTGCAAATAAAGACAATGACAGGCGAAGCAATGAGAGCAGTTGTTATCCCAAACATATAGATCGCTGAAACAAGAGGGGGCCTTCATCTCGTTTGTTAACCTCGTTTGTTAACCTTCTTAAGAATTCTGCTTTGATTTGTCTTTGAATAATGTTATTGTTGTTGTTCTGTTCTTTAGTTGATTTGTTTATGATTTATATAACTAACTAGCTTTTTTAGAAATGTAGTAGAATTTGAATTAAGTCAAATCAAATAAAAAATCAAATCAAATCAAGCAGTGTTCATTTGTTGGATTCCATTGAAACCAAAGGGAAGGGGGGAGGCACTGTAATGTTTTTCTTCAAGGTTGGATTGATTTTTGCAGAAGATCTTGCAAAAACTATTCATTCAATGATGCAGATTTAATGGCCACTAGGTCCTCGTATATCTCAGTAATTAATTCCCGTATATCAATGTCCCTTATATTTTCTATGAAGATATGTTCATACAAATGCGTCCAATTTTCATTTTCTGTTTCGTGCATCCAACTTATGTATTTGTTTCAATATTGTTTAATTGCAGGATTGGTTTACGAGAAAGCTGCAAGAATTCATCGTCAAATTGTCTGCAAAAGCTACTACAATTCAAGTCGATGGATCTGATTCGCTAGGAGACCTCCTTGCTGTAAGTAGGCCATTTATTTATGGGAGATTTGAACTGGTAATTAGGCATTTGTAACCTTTCCTACCGAAGAGGAAATATAAGTCAATTGTTTTAAAAAGTTATATATTAGCAACAAAAGTAATTGCTCATCGCTCTTCTTCCATTTGTATTGGTCCTCTTTACTGTTAATCTTCCCTTTATTATAATAATCAGTGGATGGCCTCTTCACAGCGTTATTTTTTTACCAACCATTGATACTTCGTGTAGTTTACAATAAGAGAATAGTGGAAAGAGACTGTTTTTAGAGTTGAATTTTAAATGTCTGAAACAGCATTGAATTAATTCAAATAATTGGACAACAATTCCTGCTTTACTAGTCAAATAGTGCTTGATGCCGTAAAACGCGCAAATTTTTAGATGATATTCCTCCCTGAATATTATACATCTATATTTCTTAATGACTTTTTATTATCCTTCCATATCCAGAAAATAACCCTTACTCCTTGAATGTTTATCCTCTAAGTTTTCAAGACTATTTACTGACCTGTTTATTTTTTAGAAATATTGTCAATGTTTGTTTGTCAATGTTTTCAAAGTCAGAATTTTTTTTAAACGTTATTTTCCTAACGCAAAACGAAATTCTGATACTTTGTTTCATACTTGCTGATGCATCTTTTTTTATCCAGCAACTGCCACCCATACCTCAAGATATTCTCAGGTATTTTTGTTACTGCTCGTGGTATTACCAAAATCATGTCTCTCTAATTTAGTACCTTATGTTTGCCAATTTAGTTATTTTCAACTATTTCAATAGAATGGTGTGCTTTTAAAAAATTACGAGAATTTTCTTTTTTAAATTTTAAAATTACTGGGACCTTAATTATCTTTAAACGCCATGTGATTTGATTAAATATTGTACATAGTTAGGGGACAGATGGCTGGAGTTAAGGGACCGATGATCATTTCTAAAATGATTTGACGATTCATTTTCTAAATGGGGTACCTATAATGAAATCATTCTACCTTCGGAAGTTAATTTCATTATGTTCTTAAATTAGCTTATATGATTCTGAAATAACAAATAGTTCCAGCTTCTAATTACTTCCGGAAAGTGTACCGAGATGATACTGTAGACCCCAATTGAGACTACTTTCATTGTTGCTTGGAAAGGTATGACCAATTCCGCGTGTGGCAGTAAACGAAGTTTCGCATATTTGGGTCTAAATGGAGTGTAGGGCCTAAACACGGTCAACAGCCGCCAAGAAAAAATATTGAAAGCAAAATAATTTTAGCGTTACACCCAAATCTTGCCATATTTTCATCCTTTTGTGAAAAAAGTTTACAGAAGTAAAAAAAAATTGACAACTAAAGAGTATTGTTCGGAGGAAAGATAAACACTTTTCTGGACTATTGTTAAAATCTTGTGACTTTGTCGGGAGTTGACAATTTTGGAAGGCAGACTTTCCTTTTTGCAAATATTAGCATGTCAATTTTCATTATTTTTGCAAATAATAAAAATTTCGATCACTTAGGTCTTTAGAAGCGCTGACCCTCGAATTCCAAGATCTTGCCGACACGTGCCTTTTGGTTCTGCATTTGGAAATCCAGTGCCATTGCCTCTATTACCTCATACCCGCAACGAGGCAGGTATGTAAGATATTCAATATCGTTGTAGCAGAAGCAGAAGCTACATGAAACTTTTATGTCGTAGCTGCTTGGCTGCAGTTGTATAGTGCCCTTGTATTTATGCTGAAATGTTGCATTTATTCTATAAATATCTAAAAGGTCACAGCTACAGGGTACAAGTTCTCAAAGGAGCATTTTTCAGTTGACAATGGAGGCAAATGCTCACTATATTTTCAAATTTTTTTAAAGAATCAGATAATTTATGCCGAAGCTCGATGTCTTTAGTTTTTGGATAACTTGAGGTTCGGGTACTTCTTGATTTTATATTTTAATGTTGATTTTTCTAAAGCTGCATTTTTACCAAATTGTGCCTCCGTGTTCTGATAAAAGTGTTTTCTTATACAAAGATAAATGTACTTGTTCTTTAGTCTGCATCTTCTGTTTTTCTGTACAATGTACTTGCCTAGTTTTATTTACGTTTGTATTTTTCACCTTCCTCGGGTAGTCTGTGGCATCATAGCCCGCTTATTGTATTTGGTGTCTATTGTGCCAATCAAATGCAAGATGTTTGCCTGTTTTGATTTTAAGTTGAGTCGCAACTATATTTTATTGTCAGCCAGATTTCAAAAGTATTGCGGGAGGCCTAAATTAAGGCGCAACCACCAAGAACGAAACTTTTATTATCTCCGATAGTGGTCTTTGCCTCTTCTTGTATTCGTGCTTTCTCACGCTGGGGAGTACAACGTTGTTATTGTGCACATCTGTTTTGTTTCGTTTTGTTGTGAATCTATTTTGCTCGAAAAATTAAGGAAAGCACAGTTGCTTCAGCATCGTCGCCACTACGCCACTGTTGTGATACACCTGTGTTACCAGTTGGAATTTTTTTGCTTCTATTTGCTTTCAAGTGAAAGATTTTGTTTGTTCCCAATCTTTTTTTGCAACGCTTGCATCTTTTAAGTATAATTTCTTGTAATTAATTTGCATTCCAGTCAACCTATGTTTGCTCAATGGACGCCGTCGAAGTTGATCCTCTAGTTCCACAGCTGACGAAGGATTTGCGAGACATCGAGGAAATCTGTTCAGCTTCGCTGTCACCTTTTAAATTAAAGTAAACTATCCTTATTCTTTCTTCAATTCCATTCTTATATTCACTGAATGTTGCCACTAAAATTATTTTGCTACATACACTCATTTTAATAACAAACGTCTTCAAGAAACCGAGCAAAAAGAGGACAAAAAAATTGATAAACCACAGTACTTGTCATTCTCAACATTAGACACTGTCAAAAATGTTTTTGGGCGATTAGTTTACTATTTCGGTATAGATTGGTATTGATAACAAAGGTAACAACTTCTTCCACCTGATGAGGTTTTCTGTTTACGCTTTTTATATTACGTTTTTGTGTTTCTATAAAATGAGCTCTTGGTATTTGAAAAACCTTTGAGAAACTTTATCACACAAAAAAGAAGAGTGAAGAAACTGTGTAATAATTTTGAGCTTAGTTTCATATAAAAGGTGCGTGTGATATGACAGGATAAAATACAGGATTTATACGCTTGTGCTTCTCTGCTGTTTTCAAAGTGGATCCTGCAACGTAAAAAGAAAATAAATCTACCAATGTCCTATAAAATTATGTATGAAAAATAGACATTAAATCAAGGAATATACATTAAAAGCCTTACATCAACCTTTTTAACATAAAACTTGAGTAAAACGCTGTTCATAAGCATAGAATGACTAATAATGATGACTTTTAATTAAATTCCTAGTTATGAAGAATGACTTAGTTTGTCGTATGTCAACAGGCAATTTATTGTAGTATTGCTTGCATATTCGGTTTTAATTTTGGGTACTAATTCAATTTTATCAAGATGGTGGTGTACTTGAAAGGTTTTGTTGCCTGGTAATCAACAACTGAAGCCAGATTTCAGATCTTTATTGATAAGATTATATGTCTAAACCGTAATCAAGAAATCCGCAATATCTGCAGGGGACACCTACAAAAAGCTCGTTAACTTCATTTGCACCAAAGCTCTCTGTTCAAAGTATTTTTGGAGCAAATGTGTTTCCCAGACACCTTATAACTTTAATCTCTAAACAAGGGAGATCTTCCTATAACGGACACCTAAGATGAGCGGGCACTTCAAGAAAATTGACAGCTTCATACCTCTGACGCCTCCAAAAAGCAAAACCCTCCAAACATAGAAAATAAATTTTGTCCTAGCATATTTTACCTATAGTTAAACCTTGCACAATTAGTCTCTAGACCCCTCCGTTCTACTTAATCCATCAAGTGATTCTACTAACTTCCTATGCAGGTTTTGCAGAAATATTGAAGTTTAACACTTTTTTTATATATTCTCTTAAAATTTTACAAGCCGATGCCACAGGGAGTATGGAAATACATAGCAACCCTGTGACCATTAAATTAAACATGTTTACTTGAAATTAGAGTGACATCAAATGTTACAAATTACATGTTACAGATTACTGATAGCAAAACAAACACTTACAATTTGGAAGTTAAAACAAATGCAAAATACATTGACAAAAACAAAACAAGAATAATGAAAGACAAACTACATAGGAGAGAAGATTTCTAAAACTACTTAATGAAGTCCTTCAGAGGTCGGAATGTATTTTAATGTTGCCTGGAGAAATTTTTTATTTGAGTTCAAAGATAATTTTTCATGACCATGAAGATAATTTTTGGTAAAACATTTTGTTCCTATCTCGAAATATCGCGTAGCATGCCCATTTAAAAGTTTAAATGTTTTTCAAAAGTTTAAATGTTTTTGCAAAAAATGTTTAATTGTCTAAATGTTTTTTTGAGCTTTAGACTTTCTACAGTAACGTAACATTTTGGTCAGATTGATCCTTCGCTAATACCATATCGTATTGTCATGACAGTTGACAAAAAGTATTGCCGTTTTTCAGATATCTGTTTGAGGGCATTGGTTACCTATTGGCTTCTATCATCGTATCAAGTACTGCTTACATAAAGAAGATCAATAGAAATGGCGTCAAGAAAATGTGAGTAATCTTTTCTTTGATCCGTTGTATGTGTCTGTAAAGTTACACAAATCTTGTTTGGTGTACCAAAACTTGGCAAGCTTTTAGTTGGGACGAGAGGCCTTGTTGCTGAATTCTGAAACCATTCTTTCTTTAATTTCCACTTGATAGTTCTCAGCCTGCTGTTATATTGTCAAGGTGTATTGCAATGTCAAAATGTATTACACACGTTTCAAATGACTAAAAATCTAAAGTAAATACAGAAGTGATGGTTGCCTTATTTCGGTTTTCAAGTTATAGTTTGAATATCACAAGTATTCTAAGAATTACTCGGACTATTTTGTCTTAGGAGTCAAAATATATTCACCTTACAACAAGAGCTTGTAGATTTTATGAAGCCACGGGAACCTGATCTGGAAAACGCTAAGCAGTACATAGAGTTGCTGTTTCTAACCCCTGATGTAAGTATTGAATCACTGTGTTTTTTCAAAATCTGTGTTATTTTGAAAAGTGCTAAAATGAATTTGGCCGAGGGGCAATTCACTCTTGCAAATAGCGTACGAGATTTTACCTAAAACAAAAGGATTTCTAGGGATTTTCAGATAAAACAAAAGGGTTTTCACAAAAGGTGTTCGAGATTTTCTTGGAGTGATTTGCCCCTCGAATTTGGCTGCTGCTTATTCAGAAGCCATTAACCCATCCTTCAAAATAAGAACTTTATCATATATTCAAAGCATAAGAAACATTGGTACAGCATCTTGTCAGGGTCAAAAGAAGTAAGAAACCTCAAATGTTATTTATCAAACGTTTAATGTTTTTTTTGATTTTTCAAAATTGTTAGTCCAAGGCAGGGGCGGATATAGAATAAAATTGACGGTCGTACATAACACTACCCAGCAAGCGGTCCAGGGGGCCTCTTTCATGGTCAAGGGCGGAGCCTTGATGGGGGCCGCCCCCCCCCCCCTGGAACGATAGAAACTAGGTCTAACCTAAGGGCAAAATGCCCTAAAGTTTACCACTTCGATTATTTCAACTACTATCAATCAAAAAATTCATCATGCTCAAGAAAGTCATCTTGATGTTTGGCATAAAATATTATTTTCATGTCTTGTAAGTGTTTACTTTCTAAATGGGATTTGTCCTAATACAAATGGGACGAAGCAAGACCGATACACTTTGATCGATGAGACGCCTCAATTGGACGCCCTTCTTTTTAAGAGCGGAAGTGGCGACACAAACGAGGCTCGTAAGCCTTTTAGTAGTTTTGAAGGTGGCGACGAGACTGGGAATATCTCAAAGTTTAGCCAGCTCTGAAACGTTCAAATTGTTCAGTGAAACATTTTTGCCTGTAAAAGGTTTTCCAAATTTTCCAGCAAATCCAACGCGCAGTTAAAACAAAATATCTTGAGACTCAGAAATGTACACTTCCTGTGCATCTCTTCCGTATAGATAAAGAAAATTGGTATTCTTCTCATTCACAACTTCAAGCCTCATCCATTTTCTTCCCTCGCCAGCAGTTGTGAGGCACATTAATCTAACATAGTGTTTACAGACTTTTCGTGCCGCACAAATATGTGAAAACTTGAACCTTGATTAGTGAAATTTGGTAAAATATTTGCATAACAAAGGGCCCGGCATATTTATGCGGCGCGGGCGACATGCTTAAAAATCATACTGTTCACGGTCTAGGATGGTCTTCTATATTGAATTAAATCGTGGCATTGGATGTGAGATCGACCAAGTTCGGTCCTGTGTTTATTGTGTAAAGAGAGTTAAATGTATTGACTGTAAGGAGGAAAATAGAAGATTGTGGTAAAAATGATTGCCTAATTTTAATGACTGAAGACGAAAACTAAATTCTGAAAATCTGACGGTCTTCTGTGCGACCTGTGCGACACCCTGAATCCGCCCCTGGCTCCATGCCTTCTAACTTCTTGCTAGAAATGTTAAAGAAACTCGCTAGGAACCTGTTTGTACTAAGATACTGTAAAAAGTTAAGGAACTCAAGTACCAGGATTTTTGCACACTGTTTACTTTGGACTTAACGAAAGCGAAACGATTCTTCCTAGCGGCCAGTTACTAGAGGCTATTTGGAAAAGACGTTTTTGAGACTCTCTTATCAGTTCATTTGTTAATTTTTGTAAGGGTCAAAGTAATAATGCTATCAATCTTGGTCTCATTTATCTTGGTCACATATCTTATGATGGAATTCTCAAACCCTAAAAGCACATAGAACTTCATTAGAAGCTCGTGAATAACAAGATGTTTTTCCAAGCCTGCGGTGAGCCACATCTGTTTCTTTTATAAGCAAAGATTTTCTCGATGGCCATTATTATTTGTGGGCGTTTGTTGCTAAATCTGCTCACAGTGATCCCTAAATGAGATGCCAATCTGTTTCGTTTGCATGGTCAAGTAGAACCTCATGCGCAGTTTCGTATTGTTGCCAAATGATAAACATTTGATAAAAATAGTAAGTCAGCTGGTGCAACGTCATGTCTTGTGGCTAACCTTGCTGTGTACTCATTTTTTAATTATAAGACAATATTAGCGTAATAGAAAGATATTTTCGTATGATATTCCACTTTAAGTATGTTACATTTTGTAATGAACCACTTTACAAGGAATTTGCATGTAGAAGACCAAGAAAGCCAAAGAACTTTTAATACTTAAGACATAACCCCTAAGGAACTTTTCAATTTTGAATGTTTTTATCACTGCAAACAAGCAAGAAAAGGATTCCGGTTCCATTCATTTACAGCCAAAACCCACATAAAAACTCACATCGGTTGTGTTGCGCATGCACCAGGCTTTTCATACATTAGTCATTGCCCCTCTCCTTATTAAGTGCAAAGGTTAAGTCAAGTTAAAGCATGCAAGATTTGTTATGAAATTCGGTCATTTTTCTTGGATCTGTTGGCCTTTATTCCAAACAGCTTATGTAGGGTTTCCATCAAAATCTTATCCAATCAATTTATAGCTTTCTCTCGAACTTTTTCATCGGAGCGATGGCTTCCTTTCAACTCCTAGCACAGCAAATGCTGTTGTGCCACCGGGCTCAGTCATTCCTGCTATTTTGTTCAAATCATGCAACAACAGACTTCGCTTTATCTTCCTATCATAAAACCGCATTTTCTTCTCCTGCTAGAGATGGACATCAACTTATCTCCCTTCCATTTGTGGTGGTCTTTATAAAGTAAGGATACCATTTCAGTATGAAGTATTGGTATTTCTTTTGCAAGAAAAATCTTGAGTATTGTCCCATAGGCTTTTTAAAGAGCATTCAATGCGCATTTGTGCCAATTTTTACTTCCTTTTTTCCTACGCTGTGTTTTTCCTAATATGAAATATATCTTGCAGGGTTTGTTGAACAGTCTGGTTGAGCAAGGACCAGTATTGCAGGTTGAAGATTACATGAACGCCATTGAGCTGCTTTGTCGTAGTGAAATACCATTCGACAAGAATGCTTTAGAAGTAAGGAAACGTAAACTGAAGGAAATTATTAACGAGCGACGAGGAAATAAAAAATGATAAACTCACTGCTAATAAATTTGGAATATATATTATTGCACCATTTATACGTTATTTTCCGGAACTGAATCAATAAGAATTATAATAATTAATTTTTTTAATAATCTGCCAACCGTTTAGCAGAAGTAGACGCTATTTTGCAGGCCCCCATCACTTGGCATTTTTCAAAGTGAAAATTTTTAATTTTTTGGATAATTTTTAAGAAAGTTCATTGCAGGGAGGTATTTGAACAGGTATTTAGTGTGCTCCTGCTCTTAACTGAAACGAAGAATTTGCAACCTCGGCAGATAGAACAGAACTAAAATAACCATTAATTTCTTGTTTAAGACAAGAATAGTGCTTTTGGTCTTGATCGCCAAGCTAGTACAGACACGAAGCCAAAATAACAAAATTGTCTATTGATTTTGTCCATAGATACAACCTTGGCCCCTAAATCGTAATTAGAACTACATAGCTATATTATCTATCGTTTGCTGCCACTCTCGGCTGGTAGCACAGCCTGCTGAGCTCTTCAATATAGTGTTGTTGAATCAGTATGTCATTGTGGGAATACGATATCCAGCTTTTGCCCCAATAAAAAGCTTTTAAATGTATTTATGTTCACACAATTGCTTGTTAAAAAGCCATTAAGTTGGTTAAAATATTGATTTTTATTCTTTGCCGTATATTGAAGCTCGACGGTGAAAAATGTAACTGTTGGAATTCTTAGAATGTTGTTCTTTAAAAGGAGATCAAAGGCGATGTAAACAAGGTAGAAAGTAAAATTCCTGGGCTCCCCTTTTTCGATTTCCCTAACGTATTTTTCATTATTTTTTATCAAGTTATACGATGCTACAAACAGTTATGATGAAAAATGTCGAATGTAAGCAGCGTTTACACGCGACCGGTTTCTTCTGAAAGCATGTAAAAATGAGTACAGTTAGGCCTACCGTTTACAAAGGACCCGTGGAACCGTACCAAAATGGAATCAAGGAAAAAACCTAGGAAAAAAAGTTCCATTTGAACCGTTCCAAAAAGTTCTGCGTAAATGTGTGAAAGGGTTCCAAATTGGTACGGTTAGGAAAAAAGGCTTACAAAAGTCACCTTATCAATTTCTTTCATTATTAATTTATAGGCACCAAATATTTTCCCTACCTTGAATTTCTATTAGCTTTCCTTCCGCCTATCTAGAGACGGACTTACCAGGGAATATGGGTGTGCGGCATTCCCCCCTCCCCCTCCTAAACATTTTGTGTTATGCGCTCAATTTGTCTTTGATCCGCTAAAAAAGATTTTCGGCAGTAAGCAGTGATCAAATAACGCCAAGATTTTTTGTTGATCTTCTTATCCATTTTACGTTAAAGATAAAATGTAATTGTGAAAGTGGGCGTTTCTGTCATTTTATAGGCACCTGATGGGCGTGGCACTTAAATCCAATCATTATCTATCGCTTACCCGCCTTAATTATTGCCTTTTGAAATTGTTGTCGGTATCTTCTCTTGATCTTCACACAAATTCTGTCTCTATTTCAAACAATATTGCAACTTTGTAACATTCTCAGTGAAGTACAGCAACGTTCAATGAAATATTCAAATCTTCCGGTTAATCATAGATTTTGAACCTATGTTAGAGAAATTGCCAAGGAATTTCTGAACGGATCGAAGTTGAACGCGTACATAAGGGCGTAGCAGCCATAGACAATTGTATATTAGACTTATATGAATATCATTGTCATGTAGTTTTCATTTGCTTATAAATATATTTTCAGTGCAGTTGATTTGAATTTCCATTGAAACTTGATTAATATAAATTGCGAGAATTTCCATATATAGCTCTGGATCTTTTTTCTCTTATTTTGCCTTTTTTGGTCACTATAGAGTGTCAAATTATTGCGTCATCAAAAAATCTTTTTTTCAAGAAAATTTTATCTTGGACTACATTACATGAAAGAAAGCAATGAGATGTATCTAAATCTGCAAATCAATTTTGCTTTTTTGGTAGCTATATTCCTCAGGATGGCCATAACTGTAAGGAGGGTAGGGGAGGGCAAATGGTTTTGTCCTTTGCGTTTTGTCAACTTGTCACCCTTTGCAAGTAGTTTTCCAAGTTGTCAATAAACAGTTTTATACACAAACAATTTGTGCTAAAATATTATGATAACTTTTATTCTTGATAAACTAACCTGTTGATGTTGTAGAAATGTTTTCATTTTCAAAACATTTCTTCACTGATATTCCTCAGAGAAACGAAATCCTAGCTTGGTGGGTAGTGAAACCGAAACTAGCACATTGAGAACAAATTAATCATATCTTCGTTGGCTTCCAGATTACAATCTTTACGATCTGCTTTTTCTTACTTTGGTAGATGGATGCAAAGAGTTTTTGAAACACTAAAGTCTTTTGCTGTGTTTTGCCATGCCGAGATTTAATAATCCTATAAAATTTATGAAATCTAGAATTTATAAAGAGAAGCTTGGCTTAAGTTCATGTCGTATGTGCCAACGAGGAGGTTATAGAGATTTTTTGTATTATTTTGGTGAATAAAATGACAGTAGATGTATTGAAGCCGTCTGTTAAAGCCTTTTATCCCAAGGAAAGCACTTTTAACCTTTCTTATTTGCCTGGATTTACACTGCGGAAAAGCTTAATTCAAATCTAACGTCGTACCATTTTGCCTCAGGTTAAGAAATGTCAATTAGATGGATGACTTTCGAAAAAGATAAGCGCAAATCTTTTACAAAGAAAGAACCAATTTTTTATTGAAATTCCAAAGCTCATTTTATAACATTTGAAATATATGTACGCTCCAACATAAATATTGCTACAGGCATCCAAAATTAATCCAGGTAGCTGGCCTACATTCACCATCATCTGCTCCAAAAAAAACATAAAAACATACGATATATAAAGTGACAACACTTGTTTGTTTCCATCTGCATTAGAGTCACGTCGCCGCGTATGGAATGATTCGATGCAATGACTGTGCAATGTTGCTCAAATGTTGTCCAGTTTGGCCACCATGTCGGCCGACAAATTCATTAAAAAATTTGTTGCTCGAATGTTTGAACATGCTCAAACATTTTCCGGCAACATTTGTTGCTCAGCTCTATGTTGTCCAGTTTGGCCACATTGTCGGGCAACAATTCACCTTAATTTACCATCTGAGAAACAATCAACATGCGCAGTGTTGTATTGCAAAACAATATCCTCAACTCGATTCAATCAAAATGGCCTGTCAAAATTTAAGCTTCGAAGTTGATTTTGCAGAATGGGAAGAAACCATGGAGTGGAAGAATAGTTCAGGAAGAATTTAAAGGTCTCGTCTGAAACAAGTCCAAGTGCAAGTTCTTGAAAACAACAAATCAGCCAAATGCTACTGCTTCTACGAGTGCTCAACCAAAGGGGGCTAAAAGCAACAGGATGGTGTTGTTCTGAGTCAAAATCAGCTTCCAGTGGCTGCAGCTTGCTTTCTTTCAGTCATATTTATCCAAACTTTTGAAACCACTTATCAATTCAAATTTGGCCCGCTGTTTTGAATACATCAGCAAAAGATGCTGCACGACAATGTTGCCCAGTTTGGCCACCATGTTTCGACGACAAAAAAATCAACAAAATTTCAAGCAACATTTGTCGGGCAACAATGTTGCCCAGTTTGGCCAAGGCTTTATGAATTTGTGAATGTTGCTCAGTTTGGCCAAGGCTTTAAATATTAAGCCGATAAGACTGTCTTTAAACAAACATGTAGATTATACAACAACATGTTTTTAAGCAATATATAGAGTAAAAGTCATGTGATTAGTAATTAACGGCGCATGCGTATTATGTGACAGAAGAATGAACTTGTTACAGGGTAGGGTCCATCCGATAATTATGTTTAACAATTTTCTTTGTAATCTGATAATTTTCGGTACCTGATTTATTTAACAATAAAATCGAAAATTGCTTTGAAAAAACAAACATTTTATAACATATTGGCCATTTTCAAGTTCTGTACCGCCAAGAACTGTTAACAATAACCCTTTTTTATACTTATAGGTCCACTAACACATAATAATATCAAAAACATGAATAAATAATGAATAAAAGATAAATATATTATCAGATGTGTTTAAACTCATTATTATTGGAAACAGCCTATATTATTGTGACTACTAGTCTCTTATGTGCTTAACGACAATATTTTGTATTTTGATATTTTTAGGTCTTATCAACACACTTTACCTGATAAAGTTGGTCCTGTTAAATTTCTTTTCGATACTTTTAGGTGAATTTTGATTATTGCGGATGGACCTCCCCTTATATAAAAAGTCTGTGTGACTCCCCTGCGTTTTAAATACAGATTATTGTGTCTGTCCCTCCTTGAGCTTAAACATGTTTATATCAAATAAGATCCTCAATTTTATCAATGAATTCAATGCCTGAGCTTATTAACCATCTCAGACTCTTATTATCAATGACCTGTAATAGATTGATAAAAACGAACCCACGACTTTCTGCCGTCGCTTTTGCTTAAAACTTAAACTCAATTGTTGTGAAATCTGAAAATGATGATTAAATGAAATTTAATCAGAGTTAATTTCACGAGGGGCTTTTGAGCGTTAACTAAATTGCATGAGATTGTTGTTATTACTATTTCGTTATGTTTTCTTGTGCCACGCTTCCTCGCGTTTTGCTTGTATCTGCTCTACTAGTTTATGGGCAATGCAGGGAGTGTTTCGGCCTCCTGTGAATTTGATTTGTATAACAAGGGTAAGATGTGTGTTTCGTGGCGTTTTCATTCCCCAGGTTAATGTATGGGTATTTAAGATTTTGGCATGGCGTGGGTCTCATCTTGCTTGGTGAAGCCACAATACAACTAGGCTGTTTCATCATATTTTCCCAGCCCTCCCTCCCTCATTTTGGTTTCTTTATGCTAAATGCCTTTTCAGTATAACTTTGCGTGTTGAGTTTCTTTTATGGCATCGTTAAAACCTCTCATACCTTTAGGCATCTTTTATGCTTCTTAGAGTTTTCTGATGCTATTAGGTAGGATTGGTGCATCGGCTATCAGTGGGGAAAAGAAGTTTTTCCTATCGATTCCCTCCCATTTATCAACCATATTTTGGGGTTATTGTGTAACTTCCCTTAGTAACCCCTATATGGTAGGTTGAGCGATTGGCGCCGATGCATCAACGGCCCAACTCGCTCTCGATGATGTGGGAACGTAGCCTCATGACTGACCTTTCTGATGTCTATGGCAGTTTTTCTGAGGAAGCTTTATGCCCTTTATGTTGGATTGGTATTCCCTAGTTAGTAAATTAATCTATCCCTGCAATCCCTGCGTGTTAAAAACCTCGGAATTGAGAATAGCGATAACGAGGTCAGCTTGTTTCTCGGCGGGAAACGGACGAACAGCTGACGCTAAAACCATGTCGTTCCAAAGTGTGCCCGTTCGCGGAGAGACCCCTTGATGCCAAGCAAAGGTAGGTTACCATAACTAACTTTTTTAGTATCACTTCTGCATCATAAGTTGCAAGACAGGAGGCACAAATGAAAAGTAAGAGTGGGGTAACAGTAAAAGAAATGATTGACTTTGAAAATGGCCTGCATCTTGAATTTTTGCAGATAGGCCTAAAAAAATTTACAAAATTGTTTGGATATGAGAACTGCCCTTTTGCGACGATTTTAAAAAATTGGCCAAACTCTCTTTGAAATAGCAACGGGTGTAAAATTTCTATCTGAACATAATGATTTTTAGTTTTTAGATCATTTTCCAGTCATTAGTTTCTTCGGATCCGGATGTGGTAACGGATGACCAGGGGCGGTTTGGCCTATCTACAAAAATTCACCAAATTAACGAAAAGGGTTCATTATTCGCATTTACAAGGGGGCCCTACAACTCTGCCTGCTTCCTCCAATGATGGTATTTCAGAATGACTGTGACTCAGTTCAAAGTACAGCTTGTTGCTGTAGTTATGATGCAATGTCTCGAACATGATTGTTTGAGAGGTCATCCGGTACAAATTCCGTGGAAAAAAGTTGCCTTGATTTCAACTTTAAAAAATGGAAAGCAGTACGGTAAGTGTACCGTTCTTGAATGTCAAAATATCTTCTGCGCATGTTCGTACCGTATACCCTCTTCTTTTTTCCGTCTTTACTGTGAAGAGGAAATCCATCTTAAGTATTGAAGATGTTCTGGTGCACATTTAATGTGCTAGGAAAAACATTTCTCTTACATACCTGCATGTAAGTTTTGACTCTTTGGCCTAAGAATCAACCGAACTTAAGATTGTGCTACATGACATCTTGCTTTCTTGCAACTGAACTTGAAACCTCTCTCAAGAATTTGCAAACAACAACTCAATGATGATTTGGCAAAATACAATCTCTTTTGAACCCATAACATCCATGTAATATTTATTGCATAAATGTAATAAAACTTTACATGCATTTCTTTTTATAAAAGCTACTTGCAACACGAACATTTCCTTCAAGCATTTACATTCTTATGAAAGTTATATTTTTCAATATTATTTTTTAGTATTATCATTTCCATTACAGAGCGATACATGAAAATTTTTCCTGTCGGACTTACTAAACAGTTGAATCAATGCAAACAGTGCAAACACAAAATATGTGTGCACTGGTTATCAGGGATACCCGAGCACATTCTAGCGTTGGGGGCTGTAGAAAAGTTAGAAGGGGTCTCTGCACATAGTTTGCCACCATTATCTTTGAAACCACAACCTTGATATCATACTAGCAAAAAAATGGGGGTAGGGGCACAGCCCATCCAGCCCCCATGCTCTGGGGGGTCTAGTTATAGTCACACCACATGAAATAGTCACTTAAAAACTGCACTGAAATCTACAAAACAATTTAACTATGCTCTGGACGCTGTAAAAACTGGATAATAGTATCCAGTGGAAACTGGATAACTGGATACTATTGAGGCAAAATCTTATGAAAGGGTCATCGACTTTAATTCAATGTAATTATTTCTTGTGGTGACTGAAGTGGTTGACTGTGAGCTTTCATAAAAAGAAATGCATATATTCTTACTACTAATTTAAATATTCTGTACAAACTACTGTCAAATAGGTTTGGAATGTCCATATTTGTACCATTTAGTTTTGGCACATTATCAAAACTATTTTTTGCATTATTTATTTTCAAAAAACATTAACTAATTACTCTCAACCACTTATAGACAAAAACTTGTAAATATGTTTAATGATGAATGCTTAACTCTAAAAAACCATATAACTCTAAAAAGTCACAAAATTAAAAATACTATTTAAGGTACTACAACAAGAAGATAAATTTGCAAAAAAGACTAAAAATTTAAAACAATTATTATATAGCACGGAAAAATGATTTCAAGTGTTATTCCAGCTTTCATATTTCAGGCTATTTTGATAATTATAAAGAGGATATAAAACCCTACTAAAAATATGAAACCTTCCAATTCAAAAAATGATTATTGCTTTATTTTTTACATATGTTTTATTTAATTGTTTTATTTTATTAGCACATGATTTTGGAATAAACAACCATAAGATATTAGATAGCAATAAAATTCGAACAAAAATTAATCAAGCCATTAAATCTTTATTACTTAGAATGAAATTTTTTGGCCTAAGGATTTCAAACCAAGGAAAAGGCCATGGTCGAGCTGATAACTTATTCTAGCAGGAACTTTTTAAAAATACTTGCCACATTCCAACAGTTGTAACCGTTCCAACACACAGCCCTTTCTGACCCCGATTTTCAGAACTGATAAGTTAAAACTAATTGCGTGTGCCCATAAACATTGTCCCATATTAACATCAAAACCTTTTCCAAAATCAATTTTATAAAAGTTATTGAAGACTATAAACATTGTCATTAAAGAAGATCTCAGAATTCAGCATCTTCGATAAATAATAGAAAACTGCACAGTCATTGTCAACTTCATAGATAATAAAAGCAATCGCCATCTTGATGCTGCTGATGATACGATCTCCTAGTATTTGAAATATTTCATTTGACAGCCCCAAAATCTCCGTTCCTACATTTCTATTTTTGAATTCACTTTCACAGTATCAACGTCCTGTTTTCTTTGATTGTAGATAACAAGTTTGAATCGAAGTTAATTCATGTTCCTTTAGTGAATTAATTCTTAATCTGTAAGATTCGCTATATCATCTTTCTTCGTTATACTTGTTATCCATTCATTAAAATGCGATACATCTATGTAATAGTCTTGATCCGTTCCGCAAATTTTTGGTCCGTGTGTTAATATGCCTGCTACCACGAACGGTCCGTCATTCAATTGGCAGAACAGTGGGCCACCAGAATCACCATCACAAGGTCCAATTTGTTTGCTAGGATCAGGACTCCGAGCGCAGACGATGTCCTGTCTCATCAGACAATGACCCATAAACTGCAGCTCCGAATATACCAAGCTTGACGATGCCATGCCATCGCTGCCTTTTCCCCATCCCGCCATCCAGCATTTTGATTTTTGTATAAGTTCTTTGACAGTATTTGAATCTGGCAAGCATATCGTCCGAATCTACAAACAAATTCGAAGCTTTTATCACAAGACAGGTCATGGTACTTTTTCATTAGAGTGAAAAAGTATTCAATCAGCCATGGTGAATGAACATGAATTAACTTCGATTCAAACTTCTTTTTGACTGACATTTTCATTGAGAAGAATCCCCCTTATCACCTAAGAAACTAAAGTCTGTTACAAATGCTCAAGGCCCGGATAGTTCGGTTTAGGATAGAGAGTATTGCTTTCTTGAGATGTAAACTGTGGCATGGATTCTCAAATGATGCTAAACAGTCATTGAATATTTACATCTTTAAAAAACGCATAAAGGAATGGAAGGGCGATGAATGCAGCTGCCGATTATGTAAAACTTTCGTAGCCCAGGTTTGGCACTCATATATTATACGCCTACTTTAAGGAAATTGATAATAATAATAATAATCATAATGATAAATAGCAATAAAGTCGTGACAAAATAGCTACTCGCCGAGAATGACATTGACAGCTCCTCCCCAAGTTCCAAAACCGCAAGGTCATTCACTAGAGATCCAAAATACGCTGGATGGGTGTGAACTTTCCTTACAGCTACTGTCTTTGCACTAGGGTCTTTGCTCCCTTCACCACCTACGTAAACTTGATATGAAATTTTTTCCATTGACTGAACACAATGTGCAGCCGTAAGCACCCATTTCTTTCCAATGAGTGCACCTCCGCACCGCAGTTCTCGGATGTTAGAAATTGAGTTCGTGTACTGCGATGCCACAAGCTAATGAAGTCAAATGGAACTATTTACCCTATCACTGTGACTACTATCGTTGTTATAATCGTCACCAGTTCATCATTTCATAGACAAAGCTTGTTTTCTAAGTCAATGCTCTTTGTAAAGTTGAACTATCTTATAGGAATTGTAAAACGCTGAAGCTATGTATATAATTTGATACATCATGTTCCGAGGGAGAGTTGGGAAAAATTGAAAAAAAATGTACATTTGGCATACGAAACCGGAATATTACGCCACTTTAGAGCAATGATTTATTTAATCTTAAATCGTTAGTTTACTTTAAAAGAACAGCCAATCAAAAGTAGATTTTCAGAAGTCTACCAGAGTAACTAAATCATACCTGAACAAGCCAAGGCATGAGCCCTCTGTGCGCATTTTCGCCACCAACAAAACGTTTTTGACGGTGGCCATACGGAATTGGTTGGAAATTGGTGTATCCACAATTTTTGTCTGTTGGTGAAAAATTTTCCAACATCAATATGGGTTGATTTATTCTAATCCTTACATTCATTTGTTAAAATATCAACTTTTGTTGACAAGAATTTTGTTACGATTCATGCCTATATAGTACTTTTTTCTGCTATAAAACTGTTTCTGTAATTGTTGAGGTGTTGTAAGAATTTATTCGGAAGGCGCAAATTGCAATTTTGTGCCCTTCAACCAATAGTTCAATACTCCAATATCTTTCTCCTATTCTGAGCATCTCCAATTTCCTCAATGTCATAATCGAATTAACTACATTCTATTTCATAAGAACCAGATCATTTTTGTAGGGGTTCAGTGTTCTTATTTTCTGGGTAATTAAAGGTACGGATGTTTTTAATGTTTTTATAGTCTCAAAATTGATTCTATGAATTGTTTCTAAGAAACAATACACTAATTTTTTTAATAAGAAACTGGCTATAAGAGATGAGTACTGGACAGTTAGAAAAAATTTAGAAACTTCAGTACTCGAAGCAAAAGAATTAAGAGAAACTATTAAATCGTGATGAAACTGAGAACAACGAAATCTTGTAAAATCCAAGAACAAGATTGCCCTATTGGCCTAGAACTTACGACACAAGGGATAAAAATCTACTTCCCACATCTAAATACAGCATCAGAACGGAAGCAAATCTCTTGATGTGATAAAAAAGGTCACGAACATTTCATAGCATCATTCATGATATCATAATTAAGAAACTCTTAAGAAACAACGAGTATTGAAATTTCAAGAGAAACTGGATTACTCAACATTGACCTTTGTTCCTTGTAAAAAATTAGCACAATAGCCTGATAAAACCTGGTCGATTTCGAAAATTTACAAAAGCACATTGTTTTCTCTTCTTATTTCGCCCAAGGCTGGACATATTCTTGCTTTTTTTTTACTTTTTAGCAGATCGAGCCTTGTGTTCTTATTAAATATACAAACATAAAAAAGACTATTTACACACCGTTTTTGTTGTCGAGTTCTGCTGCCCATTCAATTTTAAACCCAGGGAAATTCTTGCGTCGATTGGATTTGAATGTTATTACTACGGAGTTGCTTTTGATGTTGAGCTCCTTCACAGTGTCCTTTCCACAAAAGGTCCCTATAATATTCTTCTGTCCATCCTTTATGATGAGATAGTCCTTCCTACGAAACATACACTCGATGTAAGTCATTTTTACATAGAGTTGGAGTCTTCCTCAAATGTGGTCAATGTTTGTATGCTTTAGAAGCCGAAAATTGGTAATTTGTATGATTTAAGACATAAACCTTTGATGAAAAGTTAGGTACCAAATATTTTGATGTGGAAAACAATCGATCGGCAGTCGATTGCGAACGATCACGTAGGCCTAACGTTAAGAAGACTGGATCCCATTTTCACCATCATATGAAATGACACTATTCATATGCAACTATAGCATGGAGGTGAATTCATTTATAGGCCTGCCAAAGGTTTTTATAGGCCACTAAGGAATATCAATGAGATGGACACCAAGACAATGTTAAATATTTTAATACCAACTAAAGTTAGATGTAGGGGCTTCTTAAATATGTCGAGTTCCATTCGAAACTCAGCTGTTTAATTTGCATAATTTTCATCATTTTTCCTGCTAATCGTATACCTTGATTATATGTTCCCTTTCTCCTACCCCGTGCTCGCTGTCACCTGCTTCCAGCCTCCAACCCCATAAATACCCTACTGATCACCCTACACCCCATTTCCCCCTTGCCATATATCAACCAGCCAAGTGCTTTCAATTCTTCTCTGTTTCACCAGTCACAATTTACCTTTCTATGGTTGTAATTTAATTTACCAAGCTATGGTTGTATTTTCATCAACCTTCCTCCCACAAAGACTATTAACGGCGTTTTCTTTTAACGGTGACCACAATCTTTTTATGTACTTAAATAATGTCCCGGGTTCATGCTTTGAATGGATTCTATATTAGTGTCTTTTTAAGGGGAAAAAAAGGTCATCCAAAAATTAGGATTATACGTAACTTACACGGCCAATATTGAAGTATCAAATATTCAAACAGATGAAAATAACCCAACAAGATCGTTATCAATAAAAAAGATTCTACAGTAAATGCCCACAAAGACTTACGTTTTCAACAGACACTATGTTCTTGGGTTTCAGAAATGTTTTGATGAACATGGTCAGTAAATCTTGGGTGTCTCGTGACAAAGATAAATCAGGGGCAATGCCCTTAAAAAACTTTGAGATGATATGTGAGGGTAAAATGAAAGTAAAAAAGCTGTTTCTAAATTCTTCGAGGATTCGCTGTATTAGTTTAATAACCTGCAAATCTCACCACAGCTCTTCACCACAAATCTCGTCAAAATTTGCCATTGTTCATCTTTTTGTAGTTTTTGTTTCATTACCTTGTTCTTAACACTTAAAAATGATTTGTGTGAATTTAGAAGTATTGAGGGTGATATCTTGACATTGCTTTTTTTTCAGCATCGTTTAACGCCGAGCATTTTCACGCTGCTATGGAAACAGAGCCTATGCTCCAGATCTCTGCTTAGGCACGTAAGTGATTAATCATCAATTCAGTTATTTAGATATTTGTTATGGCGTACGAAAGAGGAGTCTGGGGCAGGGTTAAAGCCCTGGCGGAAAACGTGACATTGGGGTACTGGTGCCAGCATTGCCAGCGCATTCCAAAACGGTTCCGAAAAGTCTTCTTTTTAAGCAAACAGAGCTTTTCTTGAACGTAAGATTATTTGCTGTTAAGTATGATAAAGGACGCCTGCACCAGGGGGGGGGAGCGGGGGCAGTGACCCCCTAGCCCTCGAGATATTGAGCACTTTTCTTGATTGTTTTGCCCTATTTCTAGGCGCTTTGCCCAAGCTGCCCCCTTCGAGTGCAAGTTTTCCCTGATAATGGTCTTTTTAAATTTCTGGGCAAATGAAAAAGATAGTGCCATCTTTTTCAAGACATCCTATCTGATCCCAGGTACATAGATTTTTTAGATATAAACTTACCTGCACTTGGGAGAATGTCCTTGCAAATCAAATTTGATGAATCGTAATCTTATTCTTCCGCGGCTGAAAGGTGAACTGAGTCGCCAAGTGCAAAACGTATCTGATGGATAGTTATCGGGGTAGTTTGGCGATTGGATGATGCCATGTTGTCCGTGTATAGCGCTGCTGCAACCTGAAAAGGGCGATTAGAAATTCTGGCATTCAAAGAGGTGCACAGTTAAAGCGTTCAAAGGCGTCTATAGTCTTCTAATTTTCCTTCGAACTATTTCCCTTATTTTCGTGTAAATTATGAAGTCTGATTTGCTTTCCAATGGAGTAAAATTAAGTTAACAATATGATGATTCTATTAGTTTTTTGGCTCTAATGAGTCTTCTAGATGATAGATTCGAGTTTGTCTTAAAAATTGATTTTCGATATGATTTTAAACCAGCTGATACATTAAGGTTCACTAACTTGAACAAAACTTTTAAAAAAGATACTTAATTTATAAGCAATAGAAAAAATATTGACAAAAACATTAGAATTTATGTCTTTTTTGTATTTTAGAGTTTCACTTGCATAGAATGAATGTCTATTCTAAGGTTTTCAATAAAGTTTCATTACTAAACGCAACCCCCCTACAACCTTCGTGCAATCCACTGCAGCCCCCTACAACCTCCCCTGCGACCTCTCTGCAACTGCGCCAACGACATAGCCTTAAGACATTGCCTTTCTCGGAGTTTCAAGTAACATGTTTGTTATCCCAAATATCACATTACACAATCTTTTTAATGTCGGCTATGAGTGTAGTAAATTACCAAGGAAAATATGCTAAAATTACTTACAGCAATTTAAGATAAAAGAACAAAATGTTGACAGTCGCTATTGATCACTTAGAATGATCACTTTTAATTAATACTGTAAAATTACCTCTGCTTGCAAACCATAGCAGCCGAAAGCTTGTTCTGTGTTCTGTCTCGCTCTCCCGAGTGGGGCTTGCCCAGAATCTAATCTCTGCCTCTCTCCCAAATGTCCTAGTTTTAAAAAATCCATGTTTTCCACAATATTTGACCCTTTTTTCTCTCCTGCCATCAATAATTTGATTTATTGCTAAATGGTCCGAGAAACAATGTGTTAAATCGTAAGTCAATTTTTTGCTACCTTGAAGCCATAAATAGATGTATATTTCGTTATAGTTCTCTGGTGCAACAATTTTCCATTTGCAAAGCACCGCCTGCGAGTATGACGCGGGCAACCGCGGGGACATTATCATGCCACTTGCTCTTTGCTTTACGTCACCACATTCATGACCTGTAAAGATATTTTGAAGAGGATTAACAAAGTATATACGAAATGACCAAATAAGTAATAAAGGTATGGAACTACTATGAATGATTTGACTTTTGGAAATCAAATTTCGATAATTTCTTAAATTAGATTTAGTTTCTAAAAACTACCGAGAAAAGCAACAATTTGGTATTTGCTTGTTGGGAAGACCTTGCATGATGGAAACTTTCACTGAAATCTATTAAAATGTACTTAAATTAACAATTGTTTCTTCTCCTTTTGTTTTAAGTGTATTAGTTGGTAAAATATATTTAATAACTTCAATACTGTACTGAAAATCAAGGGACGAATCACTGAAAAAGATCCTGTACACTTTGGTAACAAATTGGTAAGAATCGTCAAAAATTCTCAAAATTTTCTGAAAATCCTCTAAAAACTGATAAAGCTCCAAAAAATCTGAAGTATCTTCAGAAAATTTTCAATATTTCAAGAAGTCTCCAAAACCTATCTGAAAAAAATCAAAATCAGAAAAATTATTCAAAATGGGGAAAAAAATTAAAATCTTTAATAACCTTGAAAATCTTTTAAGAATGTGAAAATCTAAAAAATCTCAGTAATTCTTTCGAAATGATTTGCCCCTTGGTGAAAAAATTTACCAACATTTAGATGCACTAGCCCTACAGATTTTAGTTATGGATATCTTCAAGTATGCATTGTCTATCACAGGGGACTCACTTGGCCCAGGTCATAACGGTACTCAAAATGGTACATATTATTTTTGTTTACTGTGCATATTCTAATTCTTACTGAAGATTCTGCTATTTTGTGTGACGATCACTTAAATAAATGAAACCTCCTGTTACCGGAGGTTTATGAAACCTCCTATTACCTCCTATTTTTTCTAATAATGAGCATGTTCCAATAAACAAAAATGTAGCATCTGGGGTCGTAGTAGCCGGTGCCCCCCAATAATTTCCCAAGCATTTATTTAGCCAACAGCTATGAAAGGATTCACTCATTGCTCCCTCTATCTCTACCCCTATAACCTCCATGAAATAATGAACGAATACCTCCCTACAGACGAAAGGAATCTGATCCAACAAGTGTCCGCTAGATAGCGATTTCGCTGTGTTCCAAAGGTACTTTATTGAGCATAACTGTGGGCCAGGGGTGATGCTGCGATGGCGGAGGAATGCATAAGTGTTACGGTTAAGTGCCTTTTACTCGGCACACTTTCCATTACAATGTAATACAATGTAACATACTTCTTACCCGGCAAACCCGGTGGTCACTAAAATTAAAAAGAGCCAGTCTAGCACCGGACACCTCCCTCCAATAAAATGTTTAGCGCACCCCTGCCAAGAGTACTCACTCGAGGATTTTCTGACAGAGCGATTTCTCTCGCGGACTACTTCCCTTAACTCTTGCATTATGCGTGCATTAAAGTTATCTTCGTGTTTGCAAGATCAATACTTCTCAAATCCCAAGGTATGCTTTCAAGGATCACGGTATATGCCAAGCATTAGCGTCAAGATTGATGCAAAAACCTCTTGAATAACGGCAATTGCATTGTTTGCACAAACTTGCCAAAAGGTCAAACCACTTCAATTTATTCCAAATCTTCAATATAAAAAAATAACTTCTCGCATTCACTAATCATGTTTTATGCGACATTGCTATTTTTAGGTACTTTCCAACAGATGAATTTGTTTATAAACTTATCACGGGAGAAGAAAGGGAGGGTTAAGTTACGGGAGAAGAGAGGGAGGGTTAAGTTACGGGAGAAGAAAAACTTCAAGTGCATCACACAGGGGGTAAGAAGCTGAAGTTAGTGTATAGTGCTTCTAAATTTGAAATGAAAAGTGGAGCACGAAAATGAAAAATCTATAAGAAGAATGGTTAGAGCAAGAGTGGGAGATGGAAAAGTTATTAAAGACTTGAAATGACGATTCTTGGTAACATAGCCCTCTAATGGAAAGTGTTTGGATGAAAAAAAGAAAGATGTTTTATTTAAAGGAAATATTCTATCCTTTAAAGATCCTATGGTTAACAAATACCCTGTCTAGATGTAGTCTAAAAACTTCATTTCGAAATAAAATGACAACAGTTTTTGGACTCATTTGAAAACATGTTTGTATCTAGAGAGTCAATAAGGTAATAATAAGTTTATAACCTGTTTTCTACGATTTTTCCCATTATTCAATGAGGCGCTTTGTGATAAAATTTCCGCATCCAATTACTAGACTTGAAGAGGGTGACCGCGTTCAAAGAATTAATTGAAATCATAAATTTCTGACTTAGTTATCAGCTAAACATTTAACATTGGGTCGAAAATCCCCCATTTATAGTGGTATGTCCTTCACAATTAGAAGCCGAACGGGAAAAGGAAGGCTTTGACCGCATGGATGTTTTCGTGTGACTTTTTAAACCGATTTCATCGAATCAATTTAAGGTCAATGCAAATCTTATACCGGATAGGATATCCTTATTTAATATACACTTATCTATTACCAGTTTTGGTATATATTTTTACGAATGAACTGATCTCTAAAAAGGTTTACTTCTTTTATGTGGAAACGGGTTTTCAGCTTTAAGATTTTTTGAAAAATATACAGTGCCGTCTGAACGAAGAACGAAATTCATTTGGGGGGGTGGGGGTCCTTGTATTCCGTTTGTGAACCATTTTAGAATACACAGCAAATTGCTTATGCAGGAATGGATCCAGTTGCATTGATGATCCATTGTGATCATGGTTACTGTAGCCTGCTTGCAAATTTTACTTTCTGTTGCGAAGGAGAGCCAGGACGGAACTTGTAAATTCCGTATTTGCAAATTCCGTATTGGTTCTCCTTCGCAACGGAAAGTAAAGTCTGCGCGCACTCTAGGATACTGCTATTAATGTATTTTCGAAACGTTTTATCAATATCCAATAGAACTTAGAATACAGACAATTGTTTTATTTGCCTAGAGAACTTGTCAATATGCAGTTAAACTTTGCCCCTGCATGCATCTAAAAATGAGGGCAGTGGTACTTCCAAGTGAAATGAAATAACTGCAGACTAATTACTGGCTCATTCCGGTATTTAGTTGCATCAAAATACCCATTGGTTCAGCGGAGGCTAATCGTTTAAGGGACTTAGTATGGGTCTTGACCAAATATCCTTGCTTCACTGAGGTAAAATTGCCTGACTGGGCCTGAATTTCGGTAAATTCTGTCTCATTGGGAGCCCTCCCCCCTTCCCAGCCCCTATGTGCCCTTTGCCTATGGAAATACAACATTGATAAACAGCGATCACGCCCAATCTTCTAGCTAAGGATTGACTCGTGCTCTCCTTCAAAAAAGTGTTTAGCAAAAGCCCAGTCACTTGCGCCCATTGACCCCCGTCATAATTTAAACAACTGCGCTACACTACCGTTGTTGTTTGTGACAACATGGATGACTACAGTTCCCATTATGTTCGATACTTTTTGCTCGTTACTTTTTTTGTTGAAGACAACACTATATCGTTGTCTCACGTAATGTTCAAGCCGAAAAAGAAATACACAGCATTACATCTCACGGAATGGGCTTAAGACAATATTTTTGTAAATCTCTCGGCATCAACAAAGAAATTTGTCTCCATCGCTAGACTTAAAAGAGGTACAGTCACGATGTGTATTCTCGTAGAAAGTCTTGTATGACACTGCTGTGATATCACTTTTTTCTATGCGGCAGTCTAGCGATGCCTTTTGATTTCATAGCAAGAGGGAAAAACTACTTTTTTATTGCTTAATATGTCTATGAGAAGTCATAAGGTAACTTAAATGTTTTATGAATGTGATTTTTATGAGTTGCGTAAAATTAATCTTTTTTCTCAGTTCAAAATCTCAGTTCACATTAAATCAAGCCGAAGAATTTCTAATAAATCTTAGTTATACAATTTTCATCAATATCCAAAATTTAGGGGGGGGGGGGGTCAAAACTATTAGGCTTCATTATCATCCCTTCTTCAGCACTTCTTCTCTTCAATCCAACGCAAGGGCTCCGACAAATGATGAAAATTAGGGGGTCAAAGGCGAATTAAATGTCTATAACAAACATGTTACAAAAAAGTGGAGGCCATTGCCCGTCCCCGGTCCCCATCGTCGAAGCATAGTTGATAGGACATTTCTATAAACTATGGTTGGAGGCCCTGCAACCAACCCAAGCAGCTCTGTGTTCCCAAAAAAAATATCGCAAGTAAATCGATTGGTATATATATTATGTCCCTAACACTGATAATACTTGAGCAACCAGAATAAAAAGTTCTTTGTCAAGATTTACATTTGAGGATTTACACTACGTTTTCAGGTTATGTCATTTCAATGTGATCTATTCATTAATGGCCTCATGTTCCCGAACATTCTTCCAATTTGACAGGCTGCTGGCATATGGCATTTCATAAAGCTGAAATTTACTCGGATAGTAAGGGATGATGATACAAAAACCAGATAACGGTCTGGCTCTGATATGTGGTTTAAAAGATTTTTTTGTTGGAGGTTTGTTAAGTTTTCCATAATTCCATTCTGGTAGGACACTCTTGTCGATGTCTTGGAAGCCAAAAATGACAGCTTTATGTCTTGATTTACATGCCATGATGTAAAAATAGGCTAAGTGTTGGATATCTGCACACAGATCCAATTTGTATTTGCTTTTTAAATATATCGAACTCAGCAATAACCACATCAAATAATTATTCAGTCTTTGTAAGTTTTTGGCAACATTATAACTAAAGATGTTTCTTTGTTCTTTTTTTGCGAACGTCAAGAATATTTGTTTCTGACCTAGGGCGAGAGCAACTCTAACAATTGTCTGTTTAAATAATTTATTCAATAAGTTCAAACTGATACTTAAACATGATTCAAGTCCTATAATTTTCTCAAGCCCATGAGATATCCTTGCCTTGTTCTGGAGTCGGTCCCATGGGCGCAAGCGCTTCTATATCATTGCAAGGGCGCTTTTTCTAGGAGGGTCGATACATCCGACAACGAACATCAGCTGTAAA